TTGTACCTATATGGAGATTATGATTTTCTGCGTTATTGATAGGTGCATTATCTGCCAATGCATTAATATGTGCCCATATATAAACAGACACAATATTGTGCACCAATAAAGAAGACCTTCCATAACGCTGCACCGGGGCTCCACATGCCCGATGCGTCTTGGATATTGCACCGCGCTATTGTCAGTTACCCATTGCTTCGAGAAATCTTCATAAACAGAGATCATCTTTGATCTGCTTACACCTGGGCACATCTATCTGTGTTGAATGAAAAATAATTTTCTTCCAGATATGATAACTCCAAAAAACGTGAAGACATCTTTGGATATTTATTTTTACACTCTAGTATGAACAGCAAGGCTTCCTCCCTTATTGCCTAATTGATTTTTGTTGTCGTGTTCACGTTGCCGCTTGTTGTTGTATGGGTTCTTTGAGAAAACAAACAATGGAGATCATCTCTTGCAATATGAACCCCAGAAGTTCTGAATTGCCATAAACTATTGGTGATAACAAGTCTACCATTTTGCCAATGATCTGACGTAATATATTTGCTTTAGTTGCTTATTAGCCTGGTGGTTACTTTATATGAACCTTGCATTTTCCTCATATATCGGCATTTTTCTCTGGGCCTTCTTCAGTTTGAATATAAGCTTTTTCTATTTTGGGCATTTGGTATGGCATATGCCAAAATTTGTATAAAGTGAACCCCCTGGCTTATTAGCGCATGCTCGTGATATCTGGATATGTAAATATTCCATAAAATCTACTGGAAATAACATTTGTCTCATCTTACTTTTGAAAAATTAAGAAATAAATATATTAAGGTAGAGAAGGGAAAGTGCGTCGAGATAATTTACCTTTACATTACTTCATCATTTAAGATATGCCGAAGAATTTTTCAATTGTTTTATTTACACTTTATGCACTGTGATGTAACTTGGAGACAATTATCACACTTTGTCCATGTGTGTTACCCAAGAAACAAGACTTGGACATTTTCTTTGAAACAGCATATTAACGATGTAGTTTGGCTTATGTTTTACCGCACATGTTGTAGGCAAAGATGGAAAACTTGTGAAGTTTACAGAAACTGCCCGACTTTGTAACGATGTTTTGGAAACATCCATTCCGCATTCGGGGTGTCTGTATTGCTTTAAACAGTAACAGATGTGATCCGTGCCCGTATTTTCAAAATATTCCACCATGTGTGAAATAAACATGTTAGCTATAATCATAAACAAACATGCATGCTTTTTGAAATCAAGAAACTTTGAGTAAATGTTCATACGGCTGGCATTAGGTTTGGAATGAGAACTTAGTTAATTTTCAGCTCCTGCTACCCACGTGTGTATAAACATAAACCAACATAGGAGGGTATAGGTGACCAAATATAAATCCAACTCGTCTATTTTCTATGTCGGAATCTCAAATGATAAACTGATCCATCCCACCTAAGTGTCATATTTACCATACATTTTTAGAGGTTGAAATATTACTGGTAGTTCATTCCAATCGCTATCAATGGCATTGATCGTTATTGGAAGTGAGTAGAAGAGAAAATGCGGATTTCAGCGCGTTTGCGGTCACGCCGAAGATTATTAGGGGGCAATTGATGTCTCCACGAGTCGCCCTCTTGTGTTATCAATCCCGTTGAGTGAAATTCTTGTAGTTGGAAGTGTTTTAACGATAACCCTTGGCTTTTACAATTCAAGCATTTCATTCCACTGGCGAGGTTGATAGATTATGTCGAAACAAATGTTTTCTATTCCAACACAGTCTGACATAAACAATTTAAGAATTCATTTATAAGATATTTACTTCAGTCTGTCGGTTTATGCTTAGTTTAGTAGGTTTTAAATCTACTTATATTATTTCTAGATTAACTAGGTTCTTGTAGTATGGGCTTTAAATTGAGTCGGCGATAAATAATTAAAGTATGCATTCCATTGACCGATCAATCGCAATCTCATCTGTTCGCCGAACATCAGATTGTAAAGTAAAAAATGAATTCATAATTTAAAACACAAACTCATTTATTTGTAAGAAGCGGATACCATCTTGTACCAACATTTGCTGTAGTTCAGTTGCTCTAATATATTGTGAAACATTCGCTTTTAATTCTAAGTTACTGATGTTCAGTTCAGAGTTGGTATTCCTAGCGGAGGTAGTTAATTTTAGTAATGATATAGGGAATGTTTGAACAGTTCACAATGTTTTGTTAGTAAACAGCGCGTCTAATGGTTACATGTGTCTAGTTGTAAGAGATAAATCGTCCCTTGATGGTATGATAGAAAGATAGTATCTTTAACAAACCATAACTCTCAACAACCATAAATCACAATTACAACAAACATCTCAATTAAAACCTTTAACATTTCAATCATATTTCACGTGCTTTTTGGACTATTTTTTTCGGGAATTTAAATTTTTTCTTATAATTGTTACTGTTTATGTTGTTAATTAATGCCCTCGACGTGTTATTCGGACATTTACGTATCTTTAGAGACAGACTTGGATTTACAATGTGTTTTGAGTTTGTCTTCATTTAATCCAATCCACTAACAACTAAGCTGAATCTTTGATCCATGTAGCTGTAAAATATCAAATCAACATGACAACATTAGAAGTGATCTCACCCCTATCCTCTATTCCTACCTCCCATGCTTAAAGATACCAAAACCTCTGCATTCCTACCACCCGTGCTTAAATATAGCAAAACCCTTTTATCCCTACCATCCGTATTTAAATATAAACTACCACCTTGCTTAAATATATTAAAACCTCTTTATTCTTACCTCTTTAACTTGCACTCATTCAACAGTGGAATGGGCATTTAGTTATCAAGGGAGCATTGGACTGCACCTTTCTAGTATGGAGTGATGCTAAATAAAAACAAGAAGAATATTGCCAACTGCATCGAGGATAAGTTGGCTCCAGAACAAAAAACTAATTTGGGTTTTGTAGTATTGTTTTTTTCCAAACAGGTACATTCAAATTATATGTGGTAAAAAACGTGTTTAACGGAGTGAGAGAGGAGACGGGTTCCCTAGAAACAACTCGATGATAACCATCCCCAAACGGCAATTCTCATTCTGTCAAAAACGATTTCCTAAACTGTTCTGACGAAAAACTAGTAGCTACTCTCAAAGTTAAAGTTAGGGCACAAAGTCTGACATATTAGATATATGCAACATGGGCCTATGTTCATTTGGGTCGTGAAGTGTATTTTTAGGAATTTGTACGGATCACAATTTGGATAGACTGTTCGAATTAAAGATATGATTTATAGTGATGTGGATTTGAATAATTGAAGTGGAAACATGAAAGGGATGTTCGGGAGTGTGTCTGCCTGCTAGACTCGCAATATTGCGGCAGCTGTAGCATTTTCCCTACTACTTGCAACCCTGTTCTGAGTGTTCACGTAGCCTGCCTGTTCCTTCAGCCGATCTCAGATAATACATTAACAATTAGACAACTCATAGCATCCGCTGGTGCCGAACTTAGCTCAAACTCAGAAGTTTCCAAGGGAAGATATTTTAATGAGTTAGAAAATTACCCATTTGGACATTTCAGAGTTCATTGCGAATTAATTCGGAGTCAGTTGGTAGTTAAATCTTGAATTGAAATATTCCCAGTGAATTAAATACAGGGGGTTCAAGATTGTGTGTATGGTCTTGTGTGTGTGGCTTAGTAGATAATATAAATCAACAGACAATATGACAGGGCAAATAAAAACAAGATATGTTTACTGGGTAAGAATTCACAACAAAATTGTGCAACACACTTCTTAGTGCGTTAAAGCTGACATGATATACGAGTTGTAGAACTTATTTCTCATTCCGTCTTTTACTTGAACTTTTAAAAAGTAGCAATTCATTGTTACAACATTTTTAGAAAACAGAAACAAATCTTCGTCAATTATGTTCATGAAGAATTGAGTACGATTACTTTCCATGTTCCAATAGTGAAAACTATTTTCTTTTTTGTTTTGGAGCGAAGTCACATATTCAATGACGGACATATATATGGTAGAAAGCACGAAACGTGTTTACAATAATAATTTCTTCAACAGTACACAAGAGTAAACAGTTTAAAGTACTACAGTATTAAACAATAATTTTTTAAATGAATTCAATGCTAGAACAGTGAAAAGATCAGTAAAATGATTTTGATTTTTCTTGTTCCCATCGTGCTCTCTAGCTTATATTGGTATAAAGAAGACAACTCAGAAAACATAACTAATCTGAAATATGAAGGTTTTAAAATGATCAAGTAGAATGCGGTATTCAAGTTTAATGATAATTGAAAATAACCATCCCAAAAGACTACGAATACGGGAGATCACCGCATTTCAGTCTTGGCCTAGTAGGATTGAAAATGTTAAAGGAAAGCGACTCTTTTTTAAATACAGAACTTCTCTTCTATTACCGTAAATAATTTCTATAATAAGTTATAATATTAAATTTAAAATACGAAATAAATCGAAAATAATGTAAATGGAAGTTTGGTAATACGTAAGTGGAGCCATTGTTGCCATGACTACAGTACTGCTGTGATCTAACGGGAATGAAATATGAATTTATTGAATAATTTGAATCTAACCAAATGAATATTCAGACTTGTTAATAATATACGTTCTGAAATTTTATATCATATTTTAACGTTCCCAGTTTTCGACTTTCCTCATTTTATGACCTAATCGTTCCATATCTGTGACACGATTTTACTCATCTTTGATACAAAAAGATACAAGATGCGACGTTCTTAATTCCTGTATATCGGAAACAAAAAGAAAAAACGGTATTCTTGTCTCAAAATAACTTTGTATAAATATTACGTGAATCGGGAAAATCGAAGGTGGTCTTTCATGTAGTATAAAAAGTGACAAAAACTCTTACATTGACACTTGACAGTGTTATCTAAAACAAAATCTCATATTAAAATTGATCAATTATAAACATATTTTTATTTCATGTTATAATAAATATAATTAACGAATATAATTAATATCAATATGTATGATACATATTCAAATTTGCATAGTGCCATATAGAGCTACGTGCAAATCATAAACTGACCCGAACTTATTTTTTCATAAATGTACAGAACTGCCAAAGTTCTCATTTTTAGTAGGTTCTTTGCGTTTTGCAGTTATAATATTGGTAACACCTATCATACATGATCCTTGTACAAATAACATATGGCATCATCAAAATGAACCATTGCTTTAAAGTCAGACATTCATTTTATCATACATTTGATGGGATTGTCTTTTTCAGCTTTTGACTAATCTCCGTCAACTTTAATGAATAAAAACAATCAACCTTGCTTATGGTTCCTAGTTTCCTAGGAACCGTTTCCCAGCAACCTTATTGTCCCCAGTTTACAAGTGCGATTTGACATTCTGTGGTGTATGAGAATCTCCCGGTGCCATCAATGCTGTTGATTTGAACATTGTCGTCACTCTAAACATTCAGCTCTTTAACATTGCAGGCCTGCAAAAGAACAAATACATCATTCGACGAGATAATCAAAACAGTTTATGGCAGGCATGGTAGGTGACTATAGACACGTGTCAACTCATCAGTTCAGTTGGAACATAACCAACTCAAAATCGAAACGATTATTTAATGGGTTTCAATGGTCTGATCACGCAAATATTAAGAAATTAACGAAAGCTAAATGTTCTACCAACGATAAAACTGAAAGGGTTGTTGGATACTTTAAGGTTCGATCACATTCATCAAGAATTACCAAGTGCTAAATATTCTGTTGACTCGTGTAATTTTGGCATCTTAACATATTCATCACATCCATATATATTTTATAGCATCATCGTTTGACATACCTAAATTTTGTGTTATAATTGATTCCTGTCAGTCCAATATGGATAGTGAACCGCCGGCGTCTCGGTTTGCTGACGACAAGGGAAACCAAATGGAGTTGCACTGCACGAATTACCTGAGCTTTGGATGCCCATGTCCCGCGCCATATCACCCATCTGAGTGTACATTCCAGGGGAGAGCTGCATGGACTGTAGAGACTGTGAGTAGGGCGCGATCGAGCCCATTGGGGGAACCCTCTGACATGAGTTATAGTTGTACGAACCCATGTTCAACTGTGGGCTCGGTGTCTGATGACTCAGAGGCCAAGAGTTATACGCTGATGGGCTGAAATAGTTCTTGGTCAGGCCAAACTGGCCAAATCCACACGAATCAGCAAATAGAGGTTTGGGTAACGATACTGGCGGGCGATATGGGCGTTTCATTCTCCTCCTTCGCCTGTAGTTTCCCTTCTCAAACATGTCCTCAAAGGCAGGGTCCAGGCTCCAATAATTACCCTTTCTCTCACCTCCCCCCTCACGCGGAATCTTTTGAAAACATTCGTTTAAACTAAGATTGTGACGTATACTATTCTGCCATCCTTTCTTATTTTTCTCATAGTATGGGAATTTGTTAAGAATATATTGGTAGATGCCACTCAGTGTCAATCGTTTTTCACCCGATTCCTTGATAGCCATTGCAATAAGTGCTACATAAGAGTACGGTGGTTTTTGATTAGGGTCCTTATCTTTGTCTTTTAAATTGTCTTTATTTGTCATATTTGATGTAGCCTGACTGGTGGCAGTTGTGCTATTGTTTGTCAATGAGTTGTTAGGCTGGTTAGTGCGACACTCCTTGCTTTCTGTCGTGGTTTGGTGCGTCCGGGTCGGCGTTGATATTTCCGCGCAATGTGACAGTCGTTCCCGAACCTCCTGACCGAGCTGCATTTGAGAATCTAGAGGTTCACTTTTGAATTCAAACCCTTCCATTATGATGTATTCGCCTTATTGATCTGTTTACTCCATATATAGCTAAACAATATGATGTTTTGGTGAAATGTAGTAAAAATTGAAACGTCCGATCTGTTTATAAAGTTCCGTTACAATGCCAATTCCCACGACTGCTCGTCAATTTATTTAACCAAACGCTCGTCTCTTATTTCTTTCATTCCAACCACGTGACCATCAAAACTCCGCCTTCTTTACCAAAAAATATTGTTTTAAATATTTAACAACTTATTATTTATCGTTTTATCGAACAAAACTTGACCAAAATAGAGAATTCAGTTGCAGGATATGTTGGTTAAACAGAGAAGGTGTCTTTATAAGTAAAATATCAGGCAGCTGGTTGAGAGGAATGCTTTTAAATGGGAATGCAACAGACAGACACCGGCCACATGTTCTATGATTTCCTTGTTGAAAATAACACTTTTGTGTAGGGGTGAAAGGTCTTACAAAGAGAATATTACAGAATATTGATGTGAATAAAATCATAAGTTATCCCAATTTAGGATCATCAGACACTGCAATCAACAATCTCCTTTTGCATTTAGGTAGACCTGTATCTTAAATCAATTTTACATTGTACATCCTAAAATTAATTGTAAATACCATTTTTACCTACATGTAACATTATATAAGTGCTTTCTTTTATATGTAGTCTAGATGTCATTTTAAGATTTTCTGTTAAACCGCAACATATACCCACTAGGGTGTCTGGCGGCTTGTTTTTATAGTGTATATTATTTAAGAATTATGAAATAAATAAATTGAATTGAAAATCTTTAATAAAATTTATATTTGATTTCATCTAATTTCTTTCAGAACAATATAAGTGCACCCACCCGCCCAAACGTTCGCCCGCCGGCACAAGACAACGACACGATTGATTTAGCCCTTCTTAAAAGTGCGATAATAAGAATTGTAATGGAAACTTTGAAGTTCTTTGAAACCATTTCTTCTTTGGACCACATTTAACACTCCTTTAAGTGACATCTATATAAAAAATGAGAAACGTTGTTCTTGTAAATTAGGATCTTGAGCTAACTGCCTTGTACTGTATAAAGTCAAGTTGCAGCTAGACTTCAATTATATATAAGCACGGTGTTAGCATGACGGTTACGTCAAGGCGATTTGCAAAATTTTGCGGTAACGATAACAAAAAATGGCGGATGGGGAAAGACAGCATGTCCTCTTTCTCGCCTGTAGGCAAGATTCACGGATACGATTTCCTTTTCAACTAGTTCCATTCGGTGACGTATATATGGATGGTTATAAAGACTGGGTCAAATCTGCCAGGTGATTTACTAGAAGCAGAATATAAGCTGTAAACTTACCGAGTGAGATATTAAAGTTCATAATTTTTAGTCCATTCTCGTGTTTTCTCAGTATATGTGCCTAAAAGCCACTCAAACTATTAACTGTAAGTAAACTATGTATGAACAAGCCATAAAATGACAAATCCAGAACAGGAACGTGGTGTATATTGTAAATAATAAGGTTTCAAACGCAATGTCGTTAGACGACTACGTATAAATTCTATGGACGGTAACGTATTGTTTTAGTTGTACATTAGATATTTAGCGGACGGTAACGTGCATGTACACCTTTCAAGTCTAGCTGGTTCTGATAGCCTCTTTCCATGTCATTGTTATAACGGGTAAGAAATGGAATATTGAATTGCTTATATTTGTTTTCAGGACTCGCAAGAGAGGCTCTTGTTTGAGCCTCTATAGGGCAAGGAAAAATTGTGTCTTGCTTTCTTTATGAAACCAATGAAAGTAAAAAAGATAGCAATGAAGAGGCAAAAGAAGAATTCGCATGAAGTACTGATGAATATGACAAAATTAATAACGATGTTCGCGTAACCGTCCATCAATTTTTTGCGTAACCGCAAATTCAAAATACATTATTATGGCTTGAGTAGAACATATTAGGTGGTTTCCAATGCTCAATTGGCTTTTTATGATCGTATGTAGGTTACGTCTATATACCCCGAGGTCGTCAGGCAATGTAGACCATGCCCTTAAGACAAAAATAAACAAATTACTAAATTTTGTGTAGTTTTGAATTTCAAACTCAAAAATTTTTCGCTTATTTCATGTTATCCCCGGGCATCAATTTGCAAAGAATACGTTCAAAATATACATTACTCAATGCATCACCGAGTGCGTTGCCTACAAAAATCGTTCATCCTTTCATTGACACACAGTAGTAGAAAATAATGCCATTTTATTGGATAAATCAGTGGACGTAGCCGTCCAACCTCGTTTTCAGAGGTGGCGTAACCGTCATGCTATAACACCGTGATAAGGACACTGGGACTATTTCGCATTCAAACTACCTTACCCGACTCTGTGTATTCATGCATAAACAGACAACCACGTGTTTTTAAGTACACAGTACATGTTTAGGGTTTCCTTTGTAATTGCATTGCTGTCAACTATTTCAGTAAACGTTCTCAATATGGCTGTACATGTTTATGAGCCTACTGCACAATGTACCTTATACAAGTCTTCTATTCCCGTGGGACCACAAACAGCTTTAGACAGTTCTGCTGGGGTAACCGCTAAGGTAGGATGTGTCATAATATTCAACAAGGCGAGATATACAGTGTGAAAAGTCTAAATATAATTTAATCTATTGATTAGCTGATAGGGGAAAACATATGACCTGTATCACCCTTTCCCAACTTAGGAAGCAACACAATAGAATGAACTGCAGTTAGTTTTAGAAAATGTACAGTTGTAACAAAGATGAGTGCATTCTTTATCTATTGTTTTTAAAGAATCGACCCTTGGCAAACTATACAAAACCACTATGGCACTTGAACTTCTCAAATCTTCTAGAAAGCCCGACAATTTCTTGAAAATTGTCATCTTTCACAAAATCCATGTAATATTCCTTACATCTTGAGATATATCATTATGTTATAGTGAGACGTAACGATACTAGAGGCATATCTGCTTAGCATGGACGATGTTTATATGAGGAAGAAAGGCTCATATCCTGTCAAAACGTTGAAATAAATAAATAAATAAGCACGTCGCCCAGTACCGTTTGTACGACTTGTTGTGGATGGGGTGTGAGTTAACGAGTACAACACGTTGTTGTGATGTTCTTCCACTGGCTAAATAAGTCATGAATGATAGGCAAACAGTTTGGATAGTATGCACGAAGTTTGGGATTTTTGGCTAAAGTAGGCACGCAGTTTGTTTTATTTCTTCTATCTCATGATCTTCTGATTTGATATTTTGATTTGTACACAAGAACTGGGTAAAGATTTGCGAAACAAAACGAAACTCAAGTATCATCAATTTCTGTGAAAAGTGCGAGATCGATTTATGTGTATCACAGTCAGAATGCAGTCATGGGGCAAGCCCAAATCATTAATCTACCCTTCTTTCTGCGATTCATTCACTGGTAAGTTCAGCAAGATTACAGTGTCATAGTATTATTTATACGTATTCACAATTCACGGCCATTTTCGTACGTGGGACATGATACAGTCTTTGAAGGGTTCAATTTTAAAGATCTTAGTTTATTAAATCTTAGTTTATGATGACTCTAGATGCATTTGTAAGGACCCTTGATAGAAAGTTGTTACTACATCCCAGTTGAGTTCGATTTCCACTCGGGGCATCGAATTTAGCGCTCTTTCTTTCAATTTCTTTATCTGGCTTGTTAGACCTATGCTCGCGGTCGTTAGTTATTTATTCCCCTGGGGCGCCCTCGGGTCATTACACATTAAAATGCATCCATATGCCTTTATTTATGGACCTGTCATCTGTCTAGTCATAAAATAAAGCCAGAATTGTAGAAATGTTAATAATTTTGAGATTTAATAATCTTTAAAATTGAACCCTTCACTGACTGTATCATGTTCAACGTAGGTGGGTATGAGGTAGGAGCTTTTTTATACAAAGCCTGGGAACAGGGAACATGGATATTTTCAAATTTTCGTTATTGAACTGGAAAGTATAGATCGTGTGCAGGTAAACTTTCTGAGCGTGAATAAAACCAGAGGCTAAGGACGTTAGAAATTATTTTAAAAAAAAGATGGCATGATAATCGATCTGTGTTTATTTATAAATAGATAATACTGGATTCTGTTGGTGTCGGTGTAAAAGGGTAAGCGGTCCTATCAAATTATGGTCCTACTCTCCGTTGATTTATATGGTGACCTAAATACTTTAATACGTTAATGTAAACAAAAACAGTTATACACTTGTATAAAATATATATAAAATATTTTCGCATTAAGGCGCTGTAAATCAGTGACCATTACATAAAGGACCGTGTTTTTTACAGAATGTTTTCAATAATTGGTTTAAGAGAAAAATATTGTTGAAGTCAGTTCACCATATCGATACCAATCCTTTGGAGTTGTTAGCATTTTAAGGTTTCTTTAACATGAGTGTCAATAGGAAGAAAACACGAGACCAAAAATGACTGAGAGGTGCCCGATTAGCAAGATGATTGAGACAAATGTAATTTTGTCCTATACTCTCCAAATGCTCTTACATTTTCAGAAAGAGAAATGCACGGGGTTTTATGTTGTTCGCAAGGGCATGTTGCTCTTGTACATTCAGGCATCTAAACTGAAGAGGCGGTGACAGTTCTTAACTTGTAACTCTTAGGTTGCCAAGAAAGATGCATTGATATCTTTATACAAAGCATGTCAAAATCAAAGTGTACTATTACAGTGAAACCTGTCTAATCCGAACACTAGGGATTTACTCAATGCTTGGAGTATTCTTGGAGGCTCGGAATCCAAAATTCATAACATAACATTTGCTGAAATTAGACAAATGGTGATTTGGCACAATAAAGACATTACTTTCAATAATGTTTGTATTTTGAAAATTGGATAAATTCAAATATATTGTATGTTAACGATCTTATGTGTACCCAAGATGAAATTCTTAATAAACTTAAATCTAGAGTCAATTGGATGGTAGAATATATAACTGTTAAGCAATCTTTGCCATTTCAATATAGAGTTAAAATATTAAGTGAGGAAGGCAGATGTACATATGTTAATACAAATGTAAGTTTAAAATTTTATGACAGTAAATTGAAGCATTAAATTCAAAATTTGCTGTTTCAACAGACTTGGATACTTAGCAATCCAAAAATAAAAAAGTGGTCAATTTTAAAATACAAACTTTTACAATTACATTTTACCATGCAAACAATTACTTCTAAGATGGAAAATAAGTGTTAATGACAATTGTGATATTTGCGGACAAGTAGAAGACTATAAACATTTGTTCTTTCAATGTCATAGAGTACTTAATGTAATAGACCATCTTTAAAATTATATTTAAGATCATTTTAAAATTGAATTAAGCTTGAAGAAGTATAAAACTCTTGTCTTTGGCTATAAGTAGCCTTGCCCTAAGTCGGTCTCTTTTACACCCTATGCTTAGTTTGCGGACCTAATTTCAAGGGTGATGGTAAAGACGAGGCATGGCGCCCAAACCTGGCCTGTAACTAGGTGCACTGATGCTTTCTTCGCAAATTACATCGCCATTGCTCGTCATCGAAATTCTGATCGCCGAATAGACACTCTAGTAAACATTCATTTTGCATTGGATGTACATAACTAGAGACCGCCTTATTTCGCATATATGAAAAAATAAAACATATCTAGGTACATATATCTTTATATGTGACATCGATCAGGAATTATTGACATATTGACAATATTAGGTTGTAATTTCTTGCGGTAAATTCAAATTGTATCTTTAAACGACTGTTTCATCTTAACTATTCGTTTTATTGGATGTAAAACAAACGGTATGCATAGTTTAACATCTTTCACTTCTAAAACAGCATAAAATATCACAATATCATCACCTTATGCTGCAATAATACGACTTGAAAGATTATGGTACTAATATTTTTTGGTTTTTGGGCGCCCTGCCTCGTCTTTACCATCACCCTTGAAATTAGCTCCGCTCACTAAGCATAGGGTGTTTTACTTATCTTGATTTCTATTATGACCGCCGGTAATAATTCAAGATCAGATAAAGTAAAAAATACCGACTTGGGGCAAGGCTAGGCTATAAGGTACGAGACACTAACTATACTTATTTTAATGAATAGTTAAACAACTTATGGTACATTATACTTGTAAACTATTGTTATAATGTCACAAATATTGTAATATTGCAAAATTACCTGATGTATACAAAGTTATAAAATGAGAAATATATACATGATTTAAAAAGAAAAACAAAAAAGATTCATTCGCACACACATCATTTTCCTAGACACAAAAGTGCAAATTTCTCATGAATGGGATATATTAAATCGTCTTTAGACATTGATGTTATGGGACAAGTTTCACAGAATACAACGTCTAAAACCACTTTTAAAGTATCATTATAAAGCTGAAGAGGAAGACTCGCGAACGGTTCGCCCACCTAACATCCATAAAGTCACGCGACAGACTATACATATTATTCACGATGTAAAACCCAACCCACCGTATAATCTGTCCGTGAAATACAAGTGATAATATACGCAATTTGAAGCTTTATAATCTCTCATTTCACATATTAACCAAATGTATCAATTAATTTCAGTAGAAATGTAAGTTAGATTCAAATTCACGTAAGATAGTATTGTCGTTGTAAAGATTATCTAATATTATAATATGGCCAGAAATGAAAGGGTAAATAATGAGATAAATTCTACATTGGCAATGCATCAATTATGGTTGTTGAACCGTGTATGAATACCTTGATGGGTCAAAATGGGCTGTACCTAGATTATGGTCAAAACAAAACATAGCTATATATGATTTGTCAGATACTGTCACGCAAGAGGTCATTTTATGTACTCTTATCACTACTAGGGCTTAGTAGTAAGTATTACCTTATTTTAATTAAGAAGGAAGAAACAAACCAATTTTACATGACATTTTAATCGTCGCTTTATCAAATTTTTGTAATACTCAGGGGGTAGAAACGCGTCCAGTATTTTCGTCTGGTACAACTGGAAATACTGGACGCAGACCTCCATTTTCAGAGAGATTCAGAGAGAGGTAGGTGTGATTTTATTTGGTAGCCTGTGATCGTTTCACAGCGTTTCCTTACCTAGAAACAGGCTCATCAGATTCCCAATACATTGAAGAACACACAATTTTTATAAAATGACAGTCATTCATCTAGATTTTTTGTAATGTGGGGTTAAGCACGGAAATACTTCGATTTTTCCCAGGAATACACGAATCCAGTCAGATTTCTTTTTATTTACCATTTCATTGACAAAATATGCTTTGAAATGATCGAAAATAGAAAAATGACGAAATTTAAAGAAATACCGGACGAAATGAAAATATACTGGACGCAAGTCATCCGGTATTAACAGGCTTGCATCCAGTAAATTTTTCATTTCGTCCAGAATTTCTAAACTTTCGTCATTTTTCTTTTATCGATCACTTTTAAGCTAAAATTTGCAGATTGGAGGCTGTATTGTTAGTTTATACACAAGAAAATCGCATATCTTGTCAATGGAATGGTAAATAAAAAGAAATATAACTCGATTCGTGTATTTCCTGAAAAAATCAAAATATTTCTCTGCTTTACCCCACATTACAGAAAAACTAGATGGATAGTTGTCATTTTATAAGAATTGGATGTTCCCCAATGTACTGGGAATCTGATGAGCCTGTTTTTAGGTAAGGACACACTTAACGATCACAGGCTACCGTGTAAATTTACACCTACCTCTCTCTGGATCAAAAATGGAGGTCTGCGTCCAGTATTTCCAGTTGTACCAGACGAAAATACTGGACGCGTTTCTATCCCCTGATACTGAATATAATTTTTGATTAGCAGATTTTCAGCTCAAATGATTGTTTTACATTTTCACATGTTGGCACTTCAAACAAACAATATAATTTCAGTACCATTCCACATGTGCTTCGTGTATTTCAGGGGGGACGTAATAAAATCATGAAGAGGGCGGTTGTCTTAGGAGCCGGAGGGTTTATCGGTGGACACTTAGTGAAAAGGCTGCAGCGCGATGGTTACTGGGTCAGGGCGGTCGATATAAAACGCCATGAATTCTTTACTGAAATGGGAGACGACTTTGTCGTTGCTGATCTGCGAGATGTGGATCAGGTGAAGAAGATCATAACTAGCGATATAGACGAGGTCTACCAACTCGCTGCAGATATGGGTGGCGCTGAGTTCGTTGCCAGCGGCGACTTCGATGCGGATATTATGCACAATTCAGCTTTGATTAACCTCCACGTTTGCAACCTTTGCCAAAAGATGGGCGTCAAGAAGGTGTTCTATTCCAGCACTGCATGTGTATACCCTGTATACAACCAACTAGACCCAACGAACCCAAATTGCAAGGAAGACTCGGCTTATCCAGCTGAGCCGGATTCTGAGTATGGTTGGGAGAAGCTGTTCAGTGAACGCCTCTTCTTGGCTTATGCGCGTAACCATAGTATGCGAGTTCGTATTGCACGCTTTCACAACATCTTCGGTCCTTATGGTACATGGGAGGGAGGACGGGAAAAAGCACCTGCCGCCATCTGTAGGAAAGTCGCCATGACGAAAGATGGTGGTTCTATAGAAATATTTGGCGATGGCAAGCAGACGAGATCTTTTCTAATTGTAGATGAATGTGTAGAAGGTGTTATCAGACTGATAAATTCGGACTTCGAGGGACCCGTCAATATCGGTTCAGAAGAAATGGTCACAATAAATGAACTCACTGATACAATTATCAAGATATCAGGGAAACGAATCGAGGTCCGTCACATCAGTGGCCCCACTGGAGTTCGAGGTAGAAACTCAGACAATACCCTTATTGAACAAAAATTAGGCTGGAGACCAAGTCGATCCCTTTATGACGGTCTTCTAAAGACATATACTTGGGTGAAAGCACAAGTAGATAAAAAGTACTCATAGTATAAAAATCCGAAAGGCCATTTTATTTGGGATTTTGACATTAAAACAATTGTATTCTAAATGATATTATATATAGCAGAAGGGTTAACAATAAAATATGTATTTGATCAAGTGAATTTTGATGGATTGGATCGGATACATAATATATGAATTTCTATTTATTAATGGTTTATATTTCGTACTGTTCCTCAACTAGTTACTTAGACGGAACGTCAATGCAACAAAATGGATAAACCTCCTGGGAACGAGTTTTTTGTTTGTTTTCTCGATTAGTCAAGTTCGGCTGATTATATTTAACAACAATTTAGTCTAGCTTTGAAATAGAGAGTTTAAGCTTGCAATGTTTTTCACAACCTAAACATGAACGGAAAATATTTAAGCGATATATTTGTATGGAGGATTGGTCATATATTTTAGTATATAGCAGTATACAAATAGCAGTTTCACGGTCCACATCCCGCTCCGTATGATATGGTCCGTTCGTGTGCTAGAATACGATCCCTTCGTGAGACAAAGAGGCCAAAATTGACAAAATGTCAGGAAAAAGTAGGAAACAGAGCGAATTTTGATGTTTTGTGAATGGTTAACTATAGGCAACATAATTACCTATGAATTCATGAAGAAAGCAAGAAAAAAATATCAAGGCTTCATAGGTGAAAATAGGTCGAACATAGACTTTTCACGACAGAATACACTTCAATTGCAATAATTCTTTTATATTACCGTATACATATCTAATTTCGTGCAATTTATAAAGTACATGCATTAATCAGTCAAGCCAAGTAACATTCAAAAATAAAAATCTCAAAAATCGTACATCTTTGATTTTGAGGTGGTTATTAAGATGATAATACATCTTTTAACGTATTAATTTTGAGCACATCTTGAATCCATTCTCAACAAAGCGTTGTCGAAATAAGGATTCGAAATATTTGAGTTCGGGATGATAAAAGTACGTTAAGATATACCGCTCCTTAACAAACTCCTTTGGGAAAAAGATATAGAATCAAATGCATATTCTTCTTATACTCCATGACACATGCCAACGAATGTTACATAAGTTAATATCTCCGTTTTAAATAATTTTGTAAACGTTGTTCTCTACAACTGCCATTTTTTATAATTGAAAAACAAAATTGAACATTTTGCATTTCTAAATTGATAAGTTTCTTGGAATACAACTTAACTGTTAACGATTTAAGTCATTAATAATATTTCCCTCAGTGATCCCATGCTAAATAGACAGTAACTAGGTTATTATTTTGTGCTCAACCTTGTTTTCATGACTTTTAAACATGAGTCGACAATTATGTAGGAAATTTCAATTCCAAATGTAAGCGTGTCAGCTCCTGTTTTTGCACAAAATTTAGCATTTTATAAAGATAGATCGCCAAAATCTGCATGTACCTCTCAATGAGGCGACACGTTTTTAAATTTATAGATGCTGAGCTATAAACTCAAACAAAAATTCAAACCACCCGCTATTATTTTGATTACACTAGACGAAATTTCCACTCCCGGGGAGCACTGTGGTAACACTTTGAAGGAGGATTCTTGAAAAATCGTTCAAATTTTCACAAAAGGTTTCACGCAATTTTATTGCTTTGTCTAAGCCTCAACTAAAATCATACTCAAATCCGATACCATAATTATAAATTAAAATGAAACATTAAACTCAGGTCAGGTTATATGATGAACCGTTTCGAGAATTGATGATTTGAGTTAACTGTGTATATTTAAATAAATGTAAGTCGGCATGTATTCGACGGTTAATGTAGACACATGATGTATGCATCCACGTGTGACTTAAATATCGATTCATGACTATCATTTTTGGCTTTCAAAAATTAAGTTGGAAGTTACAGTGGTTGGAGATTAACGAAAACGTCAATCACATCCGAATATCCGAACGACGTCAAGTATTAACAATACCCTTTCTGTGCATCTCGAACAAGGCAAGGTTCTGTGATCCAGCAATGTGCATTCCGAAAGAAAAAATTCACAAATATCAACAAATTTCATTGAGTTGGATATTACATTCGAAATCACAACTTTTGAAATGTTTGTTTTAAACAAGAATTGTAAGAACTTAAAACATGTTGTTAGTTTTTCAAACCGCATATCCTCATTTACGTTCTTTGACAAGGATGAATTCATTAGAAAACATGGATTTTCTTGATTATTCTTCAAAACTACCCTTGAAATATAAGTATGTGGGATATTACAGTGTAAATTGACACGCATTTGTTTCCTCCATATCATGAGAAAATAAATGCAGTACTATCTTTCAATATTTGGAAACAAAAAGTTCATTCTGTATGTAAACAAGAAAAAATACATTTATGGTTGATTCATAATGAAAAATGACAAATAACATACATCTTTTTAAGTAGGGGTATTCAGGGACATAGTGGAAATTCAGAAATTTAGGCCATATCCCAAAGACTGCTTCACCAATGTGTAACAGAACATCAAATTTATCATTTACACGTTTGCTGATAGGTTTATTCAAAATAATTAAACAGAGGTTTACTTCAATTGTGGCACCATTCTTAGTTAATACTGATGAACATACGAATATCGAATGTTGACTTAGTTACTTGGCTTGACCGTCATGCGTGCGACTGATAAACAAACATGACGTAATACATCACAAAAGTACATGAAAATGTGGTTTAAAACTCGAATAGAAGGATCCGACCCCACCACAGCTAGGATTCGACCAAGTCGTGTGAGGATAATTTGGGGACTCCGACCATGTCCTGTTAATAGTTCCATCTTTTCGTGTTCTTTGTACGACTAATTAAGCCCCAGTGCTAAGATTGATCTCTGAATGGAATAGGTTATCTCCAGTCTATTCCCACCATCTCTTTGTTCAAAAGTAAAATCAAAAAAAAATCTTGAAAGTTTAATGACTTCAATACAACTTCTAAACTCAATCTTTCTCGAAAACAAGAAATTACCTTGAACAGAATAAGATGCGGACTCTAATTTGCATCACAAAAGATTGCTCATGATTTCCCTAACACAGCTAATCTAATTGTCTGTGGTAAGAGTACAACTCCTAAACACTCGATTCTGCAATGTAAGCGCCATTCAACCCAAAGAAAAAAAACTTTAAGAAACCATTGAGCAGCAAAATCTTGAGACCCATCTAATTGAACAAGACAAAACTGAATTTTTGATTTTCAAAAACTCATTTTCAATTGAACAGGATTCTCGATTAAAAGGAAGGCTCGTTGATTTTATTCTTAGCTTGGCCTAACCCATTTTATTCTGACATACTTTTCACCATTAAGTTAGCACAATTGTATGTATAACTCACTCAATTAATTTGATTTATGTTCATTCCAAAACGCTAGCCTGTAATGCACATTGCGCTAGGCAGCGACCTGTGTAACTTTTTTACTGCAATATAATTTGAAATAAATGTATGATGAACTGAAAAAATCTTTTTGTGTGAAAAAATTCGACCAATTCGTGTTTTACGTATACAAAAAAATATATTCAAATTGGCATGCATATATACGATCATTGTATCATATAATTTATTTTTGTATATGCCATCCGTTTCAACATGAACTGGTCTGCTTGGACGACTGGATAATTCATGAGAATAAGTTGGCTTTTGGGGTGTGGATGTCGATGGTAGTTCATTTTTATTTTCGTCTAAATAAGTGTCCGTTTCATTCTGTATCGGCACTTTTAACGACATCTAGAAAAGATAAACACATAATTAGCTATTGAGCTTTAATACACTGACTCTAGTGTTATAGATATATTAACTTCCATGGATTTAGTATGGTAACTTTAAAATATGTTCATGGTATTTATTGGTTCAAAACACGACAATATGGAGCTCAAAACACGGTAGGGTCGGAAATGAAACACGGTAGGATCGTAAGAGAAATGCGCGTGGGTCGGATCCATTCTAAACATTTAACCTGCAGAGTCGGATCCTCTTCTAATTTGCTTTTGACCATTTTAAAATAAGTATATACCAAGAAACATTCAATTGGCGTTATTTCATCGATCAATATATACAAAGGCTTCATTTGATTTACATAATATACCACAAAGTAGTATATTTGACACGTAAATGACGATAAGGAACAGAAACTCACTCTCTCCGCATGTATGTCGTCACCACAAATCCAATGTTTTTGAGCATTCAAATACTTAGACAACTTTTTTCAATTTAATATTCATATGTTTATCAATTTAAATCGCGCAGTATAAATGTAAACTCAAAGAATACTCTAATAATAAAACTCACCTCCGAATTTCCTCCCTATAGAGGTGGTATGGTCGGATCTTGTGCACACGAACGGACCATATCATACGGAGCGGGATGTGGACCGTGAGTTTGTTATCAAACAATATAGAGTAACGTTAATTGTAGGTAGGGTTTGAACCCAAAATGAACCAAATAAGCATTAGTACTACATTCATGCAAAACAAGACATACTCTGATAAATATCGCACTTTTCATCGAAAAGTTTAATAAAGACCCACGGACCTGTGTTCACAGGGATTTCTAACCACATCATGTTTGGAAAGGATTTTTGTACAGTAAAAACTCTTTTTGTCCAAATTACATGAGTTAGTTACGTTACGAGCCGTTACGTTAAGTCGTTGAGTTACGCAGACTTAGATTTAGGTAGGTAATAAGTTATTGTGTTAGTTACTGAGTTATTTAGTAATTTCTTAAAACAATTTTCAATCACAAAACCTGCTATTGACTTTATACATGAGAAAATTCAATTAAAATGACAAAATCAACTTTTTCACCTTTCGGAGGTCACTGAAGCTCTCTTCCTTTTTTACTTCCTTACTCCCTTCCTCCCATAATCCATTTCTTCCTTCATTCCTTCCTCCCATAGTCTTTTCCAAACTCCATTTCTTCCTTCCATGCTCTCTTCCATACTCCATTTCTTCTACTACTAGTACTGAGATTGTCCCCTCTGTACCAACATTTTCTACCCTGCGTGCAGAGTCTAGTTAAACTACGAAGTTAAAAGACGAAGCTCTCTTTTAAGAAGTGAAGTCAAACGAATGCAAAGGGTAAACATTTTCTGTTTCGCTACGGAGATGATCATTGAGGACAATCTCAGTAGTAATACAGATTGGTACAGCACAATAACTGACCAATCAGAGGGCTTCATTCTACCATGGGCTCTGCCAAAGGTGGTAGAGCCCATGATTCTACAGATCATACGATAAATGTTTATCTTACTTCTTGTTTTGATTTTAACGGTAAAAGTAATATCATGAACAGTAAATTGTGCAACGTGATGTTGACGCCCGTTTCTTTGATGCCAGTGGCACAGAATCATATTTTATGTCATAGTTTGTTTCATATATCTGTTTTGAAGGTATTGTTGGTGTATCAAACAAAAGTAATGTGTATTCTTAATCATTTGGTCTAGTTTCCAAGGCGATCCAAATAATCATGACTTTTTGCTCGCGATTCCAGCGGGAACTTGCTCGCGATATCGAGAATTATCAAGGGGCCTGGATAGCTCCCGTGAGATAGATAGACTTTGAAATGGGTAAGCCCTAGGCCACTTTCACCAAGACAGGGGACATTTGCACTGGTGAACCACTTAATTACGCCGGTTACCGAAACGGTTCGTTTCGGTTACAAAATGTCGGGAATTTGAAGGTACGTTGTAAGCAGAATTTTTATCACAAACGTGTGTCGGTATTATATGTTTAAGAAAATGTACATGTTTGCGAACAAATAGTTCAGAAGACAACAGAATCGTTGATTTAAGAGGCACTATTTGTAAAAAGGGGGCAGGAGGTGACACAGGTCAAATTTTATATTTCAAAAATTTCATTCTTATATGAAAGTATGACCATTGGGAAGCCAAAATATGTCATTCATTTTTCTCACAGATGATTGGTTAGTGTATGACACCGTTGCTAAGCAACCCATGTTTGTTATATTCAAGTTTACAACCTAGAAAATGCACCAAAATCAGTGAAAAAAGATATATTTCCAGCTTATGGTATGCTTAGAAGATGATCCAAAACCAGTTAATAACTGTTTGATTTGTATATGGGACATGTTGAAGAGTTCATATGTATTGTTTATTATGACGTCACAATGGTTGCCATGGTTACGGAGCCTTTTCTGGAACATGGGTCAATTAAGAGACGAAATGGCAGCCATCTTTGGACCCAGCCAGATGTCCCATGTAGAGTGGGTATTACTGTTGGAAAGAGGAGCATTAGAGCTTTCATAATCTGCAATAAAATAACTGGGATTTTGGGTTTTCAAGATTTTACAAGCATTTTACTTTTGAAGCCATCTAGAAAACTTGTTTGAAGGGCTGGATTGCAGTCGAAAGTTGTTTCATTGTTCCATAAAGTGCACCTCTGAGTTGATCCTTCATCCTAGTGAAAACAGCAAAATCAAGGATTGTCTCATCTGGAGAGTATGTAACTTGGGGAAGCCATCTATTTTGCCAGTTATTTGTGATTGTTTCCTGCACAATATTAACAGTGTGATCGGCTGCATTATCCCGATGGAAAAATTTAAAGTTTGGCTGAATGGTAAGTTTTAATCAACTTACCATGTATATTACTTTTTGCTGATTCTCTGGCCCACTGGTACAGCATTGACTAGCAGGATTTTAGAAATGTTCATGAAAACAATGAACATCAATTTCACAACATTTGTAATTTGAATAAGAACAAATAAAAAATAGGGATCCTTCATTTCCACATATTGATAGATTTTCTGCAATGGTAAATTGTGTGACGTAAAAAGTGCCCCGCCTACCCAAAAGTCAAGTTACCATGGTAACCTTTATTTTTGACCAATCAAATAAGAGATGCTGATATTTTAAGAATCAATCAGAAAGTATATGTTATACATTGTGTGAAAATTTCATGAGAAAATATCAAAAATCTTTGAAATTAGAGCATTTTTCCGTGAACTTATTGAACGACCTGGTATCACTGAGACCTCGGGCGTATATGCCACGATAGTGACATAACCTCTAAATCCAACATCATTTTAGAGCTGTCAAGTGTCCCGCAAATGGCGGGATTATTCCGCGGATTTGATCAAAATTAGGCCAATTCGCGTGTCCCGCAATGTCCCACAAAGTCCCGCAATGTCGGCTTTGACCTCCTAATAAAGTATTACAAAAGTTTTACGCATTACACTGAATTTGGTAAACACTAATTTATTATTAAAACCTGTATGCGTTACTTACTCTTCCTCATTGCTTTCATTTTTCCTGAAGTTTATGTTAATGTAAACGACATGTGAAGATATAACGGAAACTACGTAATAATATTCCTATGCATATTGAGTGAGATTGTGTTGACGTTTATTTAACACCGTGTTTAAGTTAAGTGCATTATATTTGAATAATCATCAGTATCTGAAAGTTGGTTTGAGTACTTTTACATTAAGTCCCAATCGAGCAAATCCCTTGAATGTCCCCCGACATCCCTTATCACTTATGTTACGTAAACGGAACTTCAAAAAACACTTCTAACCCATTCTGTTTCGGTAGCGTAATCGAGTGAATCACCAGTGATTTGCATCATTTAAGGTTCAGCTGGAAAGTAACATTTTGGTAAAAAATAGCTATACATGCACATGTTATTTTCTGGTACAAAATTAAGTATGAAGGCATGTGTGTATTTCATTGTTTTTTTTCAGGAAAGTATCATTACATTGTCTACTTTTAGTAAACCTGGAAACAGGTCAATGGTAGCTCCTGTGTTGTCTGGAAACTTTGAAAGAAAATTTCGAAAAATAGAAAGTGTGAAATGTCAGAATTTCCTTGAGAAATAAGAAGACAATATAATGATACTTTCCTGAAAAAAGCAAGGAAATTAACACATGCCTTCATACTTTATTTTGTACCAGACATGTGCAGGTATAGCAATTTTTTACCAAAATGTTATTTTCCAGCTGTACCTTAATGAAGCTCAGTCACTTAAAAAGCACCCTTAGCGCTAGTAGTTTATAAATGGACAAATAAATCACAAGTTTGCATAACTTTTCAGCTCAGTGATTTTCTGGACAGCATATACACCCTTGGTATACGCAGCTAACGAAAATTGACCGGTACGGGTCAAAAGCTGGACCGGTACGGGTTAACGGTTTTATTTGAATTTAAAACAGCCATAACTTGCTCGATATTGACTTCCTCGTGTCTAATTTGAAATATATGATGCCTCCCGATGCTTTTAAGTACCCCAATTTTTTACAGATTTTTAAACGGACCAAAACTCTCTAAATGCGCATTTATGCTCTTTTCTCTCGAGAACGACTGTCTCATTTTCACGATAACTTTTATTTAGTACTTCTAACATATAAGATCTATTTTTCCCCATCAAGGTATGATGTAAATGACATGCTATTTACATCTTGTGAGTTTCAATGACGCGCGTTTGATTTTATAAAAAATGCCAAACATTGTGACAAAGAATTTCATCCTGCTTGCGGCGAGAAGCAAGTTATGGCTGTTTTAGATTCAAATAAAACCGTTAACCCATACCGGTCCAGCTTTTGACCCGTACCGGTCAATTTTCGTTAGCTGCGTATACCAAGGGTGATATAACAAAATCCATACTCGTGTACTGCAGCTATGCTTGTTGAGCCGTCACGGCAGTCACAGGGGCCTATTTAATATTAGACTACAGAAAGTTCGTACCAAAACGGCCGTGGCTATATGCTAAATTTAAGTGGATAGCATTGGCCAAAACTCTTGAGCATAAGGATACCAGCAGTGTTCAAACTCTTCAAATCGAAGCATCAACTGTTTACACTTCAATGTACCAGGGCCAACTAACCAGAGTGTATGCTTCATCTCGATACAAATTGTTTTCACTCCTGAAAATGGTTATCAACATATTAAAAATAAATGATAAACTATTGGAATGTTTAAGTTATTAGAGTTAAACCATCAAAAGCCTCTACCTGATAGACTGATAGATTCAGGTAAATATTAGTGTTAATAATTTAAATAGTGGGTTAACGTTTTGTAGGATTAAAGTTTGGTACGTGTTGATTTTCATATGTATTGTTTACTGATTTTGAGTTTCTTTTGAAATTAGGTCTAAAATCAGGTTAAAGAAATTTGTTCTTTGGTTGGACCCCAAACGCAGGATATCAAGACATATTGCTACCAAGTTCTGGTGTTGGAAGTTTTAGAGCTCTTGATCACGTATTCACTTCTACATGGACTACTAAAAAGACCTAAAAGGGCAAAAATACAGATATCACGAAGAATGTGAAAAATACACTATACAGAACAATTTATCTCTTAAATGTTACTTTTATTTGACATAATTTCTGATTCTCACTCCAGTTAGTACCACCAATGTAGGTGACTTCTCGAATATCTTCTTAACTAAGATTAATATGATGTTCTCTTGTAAATGTAACCATGGTAACAAGATACATGACATATTTTAATAACCCACTGGTATTTCATTTTTGGAGAATGCTTAGCTCAAAATCATGTAAGACCCCATCATACTATGGATATATCCATCAAAATTGAGTAAGATTTATATCTCTGTCAACGCACTTTTCGCTATGGCAACCATTGTCTCATCGTTTGAAACTTTTCAGATAAACTTAAATTAAAGGCATAGTGAAAATTTAAGCATTTCTGAAAATCCTAAAAATTTGACAAAATGAGAGACCTAGTGAAGAAAAAATACTGCGTGATGTATACGATATCAAATGATTTTGAGTGATATCGTTTTTATTCACGAGGTGATTTCTTTGTGCTACGCTCACTCGTCCAGATATTGATATCAATGAGTGGATTAAAATGGTATGACACTTCTGATTCCCCATAGTTACAAAATCACAAAAAGTAAAATATCTTTTCTTGTGGTGGGCAGACAATATTTTCTTTTACTGGACATATTTTAGTTTGTATAATCATCAGACACATAAGTATTATATAAAAATTGATCCACTTAAACTGATAATATTCAGGTTTAAGGGAACTTTCTTAAACACCTACCATGTTAATTAACCCGAATCAGCCACCTGGTGCTGAAACCGGTAACTACCTACTCGCATCTCACTTTTGTCTGATTTTAGTTGAAGCTCAATTTTATCTCCTGCAGATTGACCAAAACAATTGTGCTGACTGCGTTGATTTTACCAATTTACTTTCAGATATGATCATGATTAGTGGAACGAATGACACGCAATCATGGTTATTCCGTAGAGCATTGTGCGTAGTCATATGTACATGTTTTGGATTGTTCCTCTGGACACACAACAATCATTTACCATCGCCCATCGTAGAGGGACACAATAAATGGTTTCCGTGGCATACGTTCACCCCAAATCCTGAGGAATCTCATCTAGCTAAAGAAGTGTTCGATTTGATAAATTCAACAATGAACCCGACAAATTGCACATCAGCAAAGTAAGGAGGATTACTTATTAAAAAACGAGTTTCATATGAAAGATTTCTTCAATTTTATATAGAATTGAGTCTTATGTTGAATTTCGCTTGGTTTCATTTTAACTTGTGAATTTATTGGGAACAAACATGAATAATGGTGACCCCCCCCCCCCTATTGTAAAGACGTGTCGCAAAAAGGTCGCGCACGCATTGTTACACATTGTCGCTTTTTAACACCACAGAATGTGACGTTTTTTGAGAAAAATGTACACATATGGAAATCCTTTCGTCCTCCACATTTGCCTTTATATCTCAAAAGATTTAAGGCGAGTAACTCTGATATCGTATATGTATTAACAATGGGATGGGAGCATCATAAAACACGAATCAATTGATATTTTAGGTGATATAAATATACGTGTTGCTGTTAGCCCTATTTTAATGAATTTTGAAAACCTTTCGTCCTCCACTTTTCCACATACAACAGAAAACACATACTTTTGCGAACAAAATCAACTATTTATTAATAAACTAGAGTTTAAGAGCAAAATAATCATGTATGATTTATTAAAAATTGATCTCGTATTTTTTGTTTAATGTACACCTGAAAAGCTGAAGGTAACAAAAAATGAGCAAAAAAGGTCGCTGTCAACAGATTCTATTTTTCAAACTCTATGACGTCACAATATGGGACGCTTACTAAAATTCACCCTTTGAAATAAAACGTCCATCTACCTTTATCAAGACGAAAAATAAGTATAATAGTCATATATTGTGTGAGTTATGAGCGTTTAAAGACGAAAAATAATTCAAAATGTAACGTGTCAACAGGGGATATTTGCCAGATGTTTTGGTAAAAAACTCTTTTTAAAAGAACGCGCAAGAATCGTGAACGGAGTGTAGTTGATCTAAAAACTTCATCGCAACAGCTTTAAAATGATATATAACTTTAATTAGAATATTATCTTATAATCCGGGGAATCAAAGTTACATTAACGCGATACCCTTAAAAAACAAATGCGCCACCTTTTTGCGACACGTCAAATATGTAGAATATAGTATACAAAGTGAACCCCTGCAACTGGCCATATTTCCCTTATTACTTGCAGGAATTATTTTTTATTTTCACATATTGTAGAGGAAGGTCTAAAATTTATGTTGGTACTATACATTTTTCTTAGTCTTGAAATTTGCAAAAATTATAAGCCCTAACCAAACATTACTGAAAATGGACAAATTGTGATTTTCAATATCCGCGATTCTTCAACCCTTTAACACCTTTCCCCTGAGAATTTTTTAAGCTGCAGTCTTAAAAAACTTATATTTTCTTACTTTGTTCAATTTTAAATCTTGCACATTATGGCTTAAAACTAGCATCCTACATTTGTTAGTTGCAAAGTTATTGTGATCCAAAGAGATGTGCTAAGCTTCCAAACACGAAAACATTTTCCAGTGAAATCATGAACATACCCCTATATGATCTTGAAATGTCAATATCTTCATAAATCATGGACCAATTCTAATGATATATGGCTCAAAACATTGAATATTGGATTTTTTTTGATTTTTTAAAGATATTTGATGAAGGGGTTATCAGATTCCTAGTCACAGGGGGCAACTTCCTTCCATAAGAGGCCCCCTCTAACTGTTGGTGTAGGTAACATACCCCTGAACTGTTGAACAGTTAAAAATGCTTCAAAAAGATCAATGAAAGTGTGAAATGTGTTTTCTGCTTGAATAGAGTCCCTTTTGTCATATGGTAGGGTTTTAAACTTGTATCTCTAACTGAAAGCTGTTTAAGATCATCCAATGTGTTTCAACAATTTCCGTGAATCACATTTGTAAAATTTTGTACAATATCTAATTTCCAGGCATGTTTGTTAAACGCTTGTAATTTTTTCAAAATTTAAGACTGAGAATAAATTATGGCATCAACCAAAATTTTAGACCTTTCTCTACAACATGTGATAATATGAGCCAATTCATGCATGTATTAAGAAAATTGTAGCCTGTTGCAGGGGTTCACTTTTTTGGGCCAACCTGTATATCTGCACATTATATTATTATTTACAAGGTATCTATTATGCGAATGGACATGGCATGCTACATGGGGAATGGGGAGCCTTATCCATCAAATAACAGCATGTCTCTCTGCAGCGGTGGCCACAAACAGGGTCCTCCAGATAAATTCAACAAACGTCTCACCAGATTCTTGGGGGAACGCTCTACTATCCCCAAGTGATACCTGTGCTAATCACCCCTTGAAAGATGTTCAAAATTGGACAGCTGTGAAAAATCCAGAAGCAAGTTTGGTAAATACTTTGAAAATAAATGTACCCCATGGGAAGCTCAAGGAATGGTCACCTCACGAAGCACTCCACCCGTATAAAGTCCCTTCTAGGTTTGCAAGTATTGCTTTAGAGCACCAACTACCAGAACTTTGGATGGTTGCTCAATATATACGATACCTCATACAACCAACAGAGGTACTAAAACAGCACATCTCGGATGTTGTAACAAAAATTGGCTTTCGAAGACCTATAATTGGCGTTCATGTTAGACGAGGTGATAAAGTTGCACCTGGTCCACTTAAAGAGGCTGATCTTACCCCACTTACCAAATATATGAATGAGATAGACAAGTTTGTCTTACAAACACAAACTAATAAAACAAGATATGCAATATTTGTAGCAACGGATGACGTACATGTTTTAAATGAAGCTCGTAATACTTATGAACAATATACCTTTATAAGGTACGATTCAAATCAGACAATACGAACTAACTTCTTGCCTATTCTAACAGATATACTATTATTAGCAGAAACCGATTATTTTGTTGGAACATTTACTTCAAACATAGGGCTTTTGGTCCATGAACTACGACAACAACGATATAAAGATGGAAGCTGTATGGCCAAATCAACAGATTTTCCCCTATACCACTATTTTATGTGTTGTTATTTTGGCTATTTCAGAGCAACTAAATCACCGAATTGTCCATCTGAGGTCTTAAAGGAACAAAATCGGATAGCATCACCTATATTGTGATGAACATATAATTGAAGTTCAGTGGTATTTGTTTACAACCAGATAAAACATCAATTTATTAATTTATAGCCAATGAATAAATGAATACAACGAATGACTTGCACCGTTGTCATTTTCACTTGATGAATTATTCCACCATGAGTAGTGATAAAACGCAATCTTAAAGAACTACCAAATATTGTCTGAAAAGCAGCTTTCTCAACCGGTAGGTTTGCGTATTTTGCTATCCCATTTCATAGTACCTGTTGCAAAGGTAATTATAGAGTCTCTGTTACTATAACAACTTGATTTTTGAAGGATACACACCCAGTGGTAGTGGTTGGTAGAATCTATATTTTCACTTGGATGTGTACAATTAAAACAGTTCAAACGTTTGCACAAGTTTCATCGGGGAAAGAACCACCCTATAAACTATCATATCAGTTCAAACATGAACTTCAAATGAATTAGAAGTCCATGGTTCAAATTCGAACATCGTGCCGTGGGTCTGGGTCTCTAGGGTGATGCTACAGTTTTAAGATCTATGAAAATATGTAGTGGTGGAGCTGCCGGGTCATTATTTAAATTTTTGAATATAGGTTTCAGTCCATAATACATAATTCTACAAGACCCGCTAACTAGAAAATCACTGCAGTATATGCTAAAATGTAATCGTGGTCAATAGTCCACAGCAGGACGAAACTAACTAAAGTTAGTATTATCCAAAATGGTGGACAAAATTCGTTTGAAAATTCGATTTCAGCTAAACCAAGTAAAATATGTTTTCAAATATTTTCCCACGTTGTTTGCTCAATAGACCTTGGAAAATCTAAAATTGATAAATATCACATTTATACCTCTTCGGAATTACATATCTTCACTTCGAAATATCTTCACTCAGTTTATACGCCCAGTGATTAAAAGGAAATAAATGGCATTAATATGCGACATATTTCAACTGTCAATTTATGACCCTTTCTAAAGATGTCAAAGAGCGAGTGTATGCCTGAGTTGTACGTGTAAGGGCATATGTTACAAGTCACTAATGAGGTGCATACGACGGTACCTGATCATTAGCGCCCGTTCCAAAGATTACTTGAGCCTCTCGCGGCTTGCTTATTTGATTAAAACAGAGCAGGATAGAATAGATGATGTAATTGTTCGATTCATGAGTGTGTTTATTTAAAAGGCACAACTTCAATTTTCCACTCCCCCAATTAATCATACATTATTTTTTCACGTTTTAAATGTTATATCATTATATCTGTGTTATGGATTGAATAAAAAATTTCACACACTTTATTAATACAAGTACATATGCAAGTATTGCATTGGTATGTGTGCATTCATTAAAACAATGTACGATAACATAACATAAGCCACGCCATGCCATTCCTCATGCAAATACCTCACATGATCAATTTATGAATACGTGATACGTCGCCAGGTTGCAGTACAGGAATGTAGGGGTCCTATCCCAAACAGCTGTGGGCATGGCTTGTCCTGCTAACATAGCATATATAAACCCTCTAGTCATTCAATTGCTTAATTGGTCTTAATTAAACCATAGGATCGTCAGATTTGTTTTATTACAGGATCAGTTGTCAAAAGGTAAGTGCATGTTTTAATTTAATTGTCTTAACTCTTAACGTAGTTTTTTGTTTTATAAGGAAATTGCGAATGCAAAGAAATATGACACTCTGGACCTGATATCATTGTTACCATAATTATTTCTATTTCGTAAAATGTAATACAGGAATGCAGAAGCCTAAAGGGCATAAATCCAGTGTTGGCCTAAATAAATTCTCAATGCTTGGAATAACGGAGTCGTTTTATCAATATTTCAAGATTACTGAAGATACTTAGGGATTATATATAGAAGAAAGAAGTGCAATGACCAAACATCTAAAAAAGCCAGATCTTTATAAAAGTTTTGAACACCAAGGGATCCTGTAACAAGCGAAGTTGCTGTGTTTAATTTTACGAAATGATTTGAACACCCAATTGAACTTTTTAATTTTGAATGGCTAATAGACAATTATTATTCTGAGGATAGCTTAACGCCTTTTATTGTTTCAGTCGCAATGCAGATAATTTTCCTAACAGCCGTGGTTGCCATGGCAACGGCTGCCCCTGATGGTCATGGTTATCAGACTCAGAACTCATACAAGCCCGTCCAGACTGTTTACAAACACCCCGAACCAGTCTACAAGCCAGTGTACAAGCACCCCGAACCAGTCTACAAGCCAGTGTACAAGCACCCCGAACCAGTCTACAAACACCCCGAACCGGTCTACAAACACCCCGAACCAGTCTACAAACACCCCGAACCGGTCTACAAACACCCCGAACCGGTCTACAAACACCCCGAACCAGTCTACAAACACCCCGAGCCAGTCCATTACAACGTTCATCCTCAACCCCATTATGGCTACAAAGGTACTGTATTCAATATATATATATCATCTTTAGTTTTGAAAACCGTTCGAAGAATACTAAGTTACGATGATTAAGGACCAATAGAGGCAATAGGTGTAATTAACTAATTATTCCAAATAACCCTCAATATCCTTTAATTAATAACTTAGATAAATAAAAAGAAAGCTAAACAAAAACCTTCTTTTCTGAAAATTTTTGAAAGCTTGAAAAACTTCCTCACCTAGTGGGCAGTACAGGAACTACTTGGACAATTTCAATTTTGAAAGGTTTAAAATTCACCTTCTACATGAACTTAAATATTTAAGAATGTTGAAACGAGAGCACTTTCCGTGAACTTATTGAACGACCTGATATAAGTGACATACCATAAACATTAAAGGATAATATTTTTATTTTTTTATTTGGAAACAGAATAACTGCTATTAGTTCTTTAACCTTATCAGATTAACAGGCCAGTGATTCAAGGAAATGGTGCTCAGAGACCATCATAGGTAACTATCATATTGTACTTGTGCAAACTCATCTAAATGCACACAAAAAGGCCCTTCCATATTCAAGTATTTTGTCATTTCAGTTGAGCCTTGTAAGAACAAGCCGGATGGCGACTACGTAATTGAAGGTGAATTTGTGCACAAATACAACTACGCCGACAAAGTATGCAGCTTTGTGAAATGCGCAAATGGATTTAGTTTCCTGACAAAATGTGGACTGGGAACAAGGAATGATGATTATGGCCGTGGCCCACTTAAGGACGGAAAACTCTGGTTATGTGACATCCAGGACAACTATGGACGCTGTGGCAAGCCTTACCCATCCCATTAACATGTAGGACCATGAACATCAGGACTGAAATTACCAGGACTTTTATTACGAGTTTGTAATTATGTCACAATCTGGAACAATAAATCACGAATCATTCACCTTAAATGTACGACTGACTGATCACAATTTGGAATTGAAATATTTCATATTTTCATTCATTTGTCATGGATTGTAATTTATATTATTTCAAAATAAACAGATAAGCACAACAACGTTGTTATGTTACATTTAGGTATTCAATATTTATTTACTAGAAAATATGTGAATAAATAGGATACAGGTATAGACTACCCTAGAATTGTACACATCCAAAAATGTCAATATTTTGTAGTTTGTCTCAATTCAAATACATAACTTATTTTTTTGTAGACATATTTTTGATAAATATATTTCCTTCTAACTAATATTTACACATTTTTGTTGGAATTTCATAAGTTGAAATGTATTTTTACTAGAGTATCATTATTCACATCTTCACATACAACATACTAGATTTCTTTCTGACTGGACTTAAGGAAAGTATATTGGATTTCAGTATATTTCCAATAATAACATAAAAGGACGATTCTCGGTTTGGAGAACGAAGTTCATCAATCTAAATGAGCATTATCCCTGCTTCGGACAAATTTGATTTTTTTACATAATATAGATTTGAATGTCTTCTTTTGAATAGTCATAATTCAATTTGGGTAATATTTCTAGATTTTTTGCAAAAAAATATTAGCGCAGTACACTGATGAACTCCTTTCCCCAAATTGAGACTTGTATTTTATTGAATCGGTCTAATTGAGCGTTATCCCTGCTTCAGACCAATTTGTTATTTTTACATATTGTAGATTTAAATGTCCTCTTTTGAATATTCATAGTTTAATTTGGGTAATATTTCTATATTTTTCATCAAAAAAATTATAAGCCCAGGAGACTGTTCTCCAAACCGAGAATCGTCCTTTTACAAGACACTTATTTGGAGACAAATAGCGGGGAGGAGTGCCAAAGCGTAAACCAAGTTGACATTTGTCTGCACTCGGCCTGATCATTATCTCGTCCAATATTAACTGCCTGTTGGTTCTTTTTCAATAGAGTATGAAATTCTACGTTTTACCAATTTAGTTCCAAATATCACAAGAGTAAGTTATGCAGTAGAACCTATGAAGTGGAACACTTATAAAGTGGAACACCTATAAAGTTTAACATCTGGTAAGTGGAACACCTATAGAGTGGAACACCTTTATAACTGGATCATTTTTCACATGTTTCCAATTGACTTTATGTAAAATAAACCTCTCTCTGTTAGTGGAACACATCCAAAGTGGAACACTTCTTAAAGGTACCAGTATGTTCCACTTAAACAGGTTTCAATGTTTTTGGTTGGGGGGCCAACAGATATTCAACAGCACATAATCTTGAATATGGTCCTTTAAAAAAGCGTTCTATTGCTGGAGAGGTCACATAGACCAGTGTTTATGCCACACCCTGTAAACCCCATCATTAACTGAAACAATACTAAAATTAAATCCAATGGCAACATTGTAATAATCTTTTTTAACCTAGTAACCAGAACAAGAATTCTGAAAACATTCCATTGTAAAATTAAACACTTCAAGGCTCAAGTTATCCCTAAAATAAAATTCCATTTCATTCTATGTGTGAACTTTAAAATGAATTCCAGTCAATTTTCACGTATGTTGTTCTATGTTTTCTGGTGCTATATACAAGTCTGGGTCATATATCCCAAGGCTATTTAATATCAGAGCTTCCATTTGTTAAGTTCATAGGCTGATCTGCAGCTGTACATGCAGATATTGTAGTTGTAGGTTTTCGAGAGAGATCTTCAGCTGTAGATTTCCTCGATAAATCTTCAGCAGCAGCTGTGGGTTTCTTAGACAAATCTTCAGCTACAGATGTAGGTTTCTTGGACAAATCTTCAGCTGCAGATGTCGAAGCTGATAAAGCTGGAAAGAGAAATTCTCAAAGATCAGAATTGGGCAATCACCTCAAGCACATGTTTGCCAGACTGGCATAGGATTCTTAGCAAGAAATTATGAAGATAGATTTAAAAAGAGAATGTACATTCAAACTTTTATTCAAATGAATCATAATAGGTGCAGATTAATTAATTGATTTATTTTGTGTTTAAAATGACTCAAACAAACTAAGTCAGCATCCAATTCGGTGCAATTCATACATGAGACGTCTACAATTGCAAAACATGGAAAACAAATTACAAAATTAAAGACAAACAAAATGTAATGAAAAGGTTTGAACAGCAAACAGCTAAATGACTTGTGGCTGAAATGCAAGACAACAAAATTGCATGCACGCTGAAAGTGAAAGAAACATAAGGGAACATTAACAATTTGTCATACGAAGCTTGGGAAACAAGAGAAGTCATTCAGTACATTTGAGTACTCACATGTTCTGAAGGACTCCTCAGTCGGTCAAATCTCAAACATATGCTACCATTTCGAATCCTGCATTCATTTACATGTACTTATCCTTAACTGTATTTCCTTGATATCTAAATTATATCTTAAACAAACTGAATGGAAAATCCACAATTAGTTCAAGAAGTGACCATTAGGATACAAGTGCAGGCAAAAATGATCTGAAGTAAATGTATGTTACGCCTACGATGAAATGTAAATGACAATCTTGCTTTTGGATTCAGTAACTACCAAATATGACAAAAGACATCTGCCAATACACTTACTCAGGTAAAGTACAGGCAGAATATAGTTGAACAATAACCAGAATTTATGTGGATGTGTAACTGCTTTATGAGGTGTCATTTACAAAACAAAGTTTAAGTAGTTTATTGTACAGTTTAACGAGTGTAGGAGTAACACAATCATATCAACATAGGCCATCAGACAGCAGCAACATTATTTGGCTTCATCAACCATATTTGGTGTCATCGACCATATTTGGTAACATCCATGCAGAATCCAAGTGGAAGGCGTCAGTGAACAAGAAAACCACAACATACACAAGCGTCCTACAAACAAGCTGATACCATTAATAGTTGTTCCCCTGCTGATTGTCTGCATGAAGTCGTGCCAGCAGTTCAGATTTCAGTTTGCGCCTAGCCGAGCTTGGCCGCACTTGCTCCACCAATGAAGGGCTACCAGTGCTACCACCTGGGGATGTAGAAAGATCAAGCACAGATCCAGAACCTTGGCGCGGCTGACCTAATATGGCATCTATTCTAAATGGCTCCAGGCTAGTCTGAACCGAGCGAAAGAGGCTGGAGTCAGAATGTTGGAAGGAGGCCAAACTGGATTGGTAGCCATGGGAACCAACCTTTGACAAAGCCTCAATGTCACCTAGCAACGAACACATTAAAACATATTATTTGAGAACCTCTAAACAGATCAACCATCTACATGCACCACAAAATTGAAAACACTCAGTTTGAGATATTTCAAATACCTCTATATCCAGGTTTTCTCTTGGGCATTTTTCTCTCAGGTCTATTTTCAATTTTGTGCTGTATAAATGACCTGTTAGTGGGTGGGGCCATTTCCCAAACATATCATTTATGAACTAAATTCAATTGTATTCTTGCATCCACAACTTTGAGGGAATACAGCTGAGTTCATAAAACATAAATAAATATATGAGAATTTGGCCACTGGTTCCAGTTAAGGAACACAAGAAAGTACAGATATAGTAAAGTATTTGAAATGGTTGATATAACTCACCTGGTGGTTCTTGCTGTTTTACAGGGGGTGGTTGTGGGGATGCCCTTGCACTAGACCTGCCACCTTTTAATAGAAATGATCAACAATTCAACCATCAACTGGATCAATAACTTGTTTATAGCCTGCATAGCATAGTTCAGGGTTCTCACCAGGTAATTTTTAGACCCTGGATTTTTCGCGGCATCACAACTAATCCTCCCCAATGTGTGATCAGAGATATCCTCTCAGTATACTTTTAAAAGTACTTCTTTAGAGATTATCTTCCTATTTCAATCACAATATACATTTCTAAAGGGTTTCTGACCTCCTATTCCTTGTTTGTATCAAGTTTTATGTATTTTCTCAAGAATTTTACCACAAATAATGGGACAAAACTGTAAAATTAGACTCCGGAAAAAACACTTTTGACTCCGGAAAAGCTATTAGACTCTGGAGCAAGAGGGTCTAAAGACGAAGTCTAAAAGGCAAGTGAGAACCCTGTAGTTTAAAGATGCATAGCATGCATGAAATGTGCAAATTATTATGTCATGACTGAGCATCAGACCCGGTGATCTCCCCAGCATTAAAGCAAGTGGGTGCAGCACCCACCTGAGATTTTGAAAATAGGCTTGCACCCACCTGAAAATTCATTTGTACTCACTTTAAAATGAGAAAAATCATGAAAAATTGGCACATTTTGACCAATTTTTGTCTGAATTGAATAGTAATTTAAAATGTTCTTCCAAACATCTGACAGCAATTCATTGAAGAAAAGTGTTTACTTACTAGACATCCCAGGTACGGGAACTGGAGGGGTGGGAGCACCTCGGGGTCCAGGAGAACTGGCGGCTGACTTGCTCACAAAATTTGGGGCAACATTTCCTATATTACTTATATTGGGCTGACTTCCACTTTGAGCTGGGCCGGCAGTGGATGGGGCAGCAAGTCGGCTGAGAATGCTGCGTTCGGACATCTGTAAACGTTGCGCCACTGGTGGGATGCGAGCCAGGGTTGCCGGGAGACGACTAACATCCTGCTTCATATCACTAAGAAGTTCTTCCAGCTGATTCAAAACTAAAAGAAAATCCATTCAGAAATATACATCAAAATATGTAAATGAACTTAAAAATGCCTGACATAATATTTGATATATTACCAATTGTACAAAAATGACCATTACAAATGTGACATGTGTTTTTGTGCAATTAAACTATCATGTGACAAAAAATAACAAAAAAACAAGAGACACAAACCTTTATGTAAGACTGCATTCGCTGGTTTATTGCCTGCAAGAGATTCCTTTGATAGGTGCTGATGAGACTCTGCAAGACACTCAAGCTCTGCAAAGCGGGCATTCAGAGCCATAGCAGGATGGTGAGGGTCCTGTGCAATGTTCAGGTAAGCAGCTCTTCGAAGTTGTTCTTCAATCACCAAGGCTTGTTCAAGTAACTAAAAAAATAATTTTGTTTATATGAGATCAGAAGGATATATTGAACCAATGACTTGACACCTCCTAACTCATTCTAAGCCAGACACCTCCAGATCTTCTATGCCACAATGAACAAAATGCTGTCATGGTTCTCATGTTCTTATAGTAATATAGACCTCAGAGCAGGTGTCTGAGGTGGTATATTGATGAAAACATATACCTAAAGCTTTTGAATCCCTTCAGTCGTTCGGGGTACAGAAAACGTTTGTACCTAGCCCTGCGGTATGTATTCATCAATATAACACCTGCTTTTTGTTTAACAAAATATGACTGAAATATCTATCAAAGTAACAATAACATATATACTGTTCATTTGATATGTCAATCAATATTTAATTAATCTCTTGAAGCATCTATCAATGTGATATACACATTTGATACATCATTAAATCGACACAGTATCTCTACTTTACAGAAAATAAGTTTGAAACCACTTACTACCTTAAATCTCCTGGCAAGAAACTTGTTCTTGATTTCCAGGAAATTTCCTTTGCCCTGTTCATTTTTAAACGGCTCATTAATAATCGCGAATCTCAGGTCATTCTGGATGTCCTGCCATCGACCATAGCCGTGTTGTATTATTCCTGACAGCAGCCAATAATCATGACGTCTATGCCACACCTCATGTTCGTAACCTGGAGTGAGCGCACGCTGTTCATTTTGCCAGAGGGTGTGCAATTCAGTAAAACCACCATCTGCGATGTTAAACATGAATTTCTGTTTAACTTCTTCCTTTTTGACATCCGACAGGTCCTTCTTATCGCCTTCTTTCTTGGAGTCTTCTGAAATAGGAACATGGCCAATAAGTGAGTAGTTGAGTTGAGCACAATACAATTGACTACAAAATGAACTTTTAGAAAATATACCACAGATAATAAAAGCAATATACATGTATATTACATTTTCACCGAATCATTATCCTATCAATCCGGAAACTTTACCTTCTTTACTGACTTCTTCTTTAATTTCTTCTTTCTTAATTTCTTCTTTACTGTCTTTGTTATCTTTGTTATCATCTGTCTCAGGTACAGCTTCTGCCTTTGGTGCAGTGGACTCCTTTTCTTCACCTTTACTCTCTTCTAAAAACATATACCAAAATGTGAAAGTTGGGAATATAGTTCTTTCAAAGGTACACATTTAACTTTGTTAAACTGAAATTATGGAAGATTTAATGTCACATGAACTGCTTTCAAAAAGAATATGTATATAAACTTAGATTTATTTACAACCGCAACTCACTAGGTGCTGAATTGAAACCAATACCTTTCTTCTCATCTTCATTAGTTTCCATTGGTTCATCTTTAGGCTTTTCCTCTGAAGTGTCATCAGGTTTCGCCTCAGACTTGTCACCATCTTTAACATTCTCCTCTTCTTGTTTGTTGGAATCTTTTTCTTCGTTTTCTGCCTGTTCCTCCTAGAAGATATTCAACAATGTAATTAAATGACATTTTAGAGTTTCTAAGTTGATGTGGCTTTATAATTAGCCTGCATATGTTGAAATTAAATGCTGAATAATTGTCATTGTAAAAAGCACTGATTAACTGTTACAAATCAGTATGGTTACATAAAACACCAACCTCTTTCTTGGAATCATCTTTCATTTCAACGTCTCCTTCTGCAGGTTCATTCTTCACTTCTTCAGCCTTCTCACCAGTCTCCTATTAATAAAGATGGTTATATCATATATATTCCAATATATTGTTGTCGCCTTGTTTTTGGAAACAGTTTAAACCTTGTTTGATCTTTAGACCAGGATGATAATTAGTTTTATATGACTGAGATATATATGATTGCCTTCTATCAACAATAATGCAAAATCATCAAATTGCTTGAAAATCATCAAATTAAGCTATTGCTCTCTTCAGTATGAAGCCCCTTACCTTGGGGTCCTCTTTCTCCTCTTGCTTGGGTGTCGCAGGAGCTGGAGAGGGCACAGCAGATGGTGTTGCTGAGCCTGGCTTACTCTTCTTGCCCCCAGTGGCGCCAGATGTCTTCACTCTCTCTACTGCCTCAGTTGCGGTCAGGTATGGCATGCTGTGGCTGCCATTGATTGCCTCAAACTCTTGCACCTGAAATACATTAATAGCAAATAACCATTTATATAGTAAATAAAATACATGTTACTGTACTTCTACTTAATTTGGCAGCTGTTTTAATTTGGTGGATCCACCAAATTGTTTAAGTCCACCAAATTAAGAAGCCTCCAAATTCAATGTTTCATACTTCAATCCTAAAGTGCGGTATATACATTTACATATTGCAAGTCTGACAAATGTTCAAGACAGCAAATCTTCCATGAAATAAGAAACACCAAATTAAGTAGAAGTACAGTAATATCCCATATTTTGGTCCACCTTGTAGTACTGTGCATTTTTATCAAATATCAAACAAGCCATTTTTGGCCCAACCTGTAAAAGCATGCTCATGATACTTGATTTATAAATCAGTTGTGAATCCCTAACAGTTGGTCCATGATGTCTAATTCACTATTTAAGCTTTTTTAAAACCTCAACTCAATAGACTTAAATGTATGTACATACTTTTTTTCTGACTAGAGACATGATTCCCACTCTTGTGAGAACATGTTGTCTTGATAGACCTTCTCTTGGGACGCCATCAGCGAATGTCTCTGAATTATCTGCACCAGGCTCACACAGATGGCGCATGAAGAGAGACACATAAGCCTTGAACACTTTTTCAGACTTCCCTCGAAGATCTCGTACCAGCCTGTAAGAAAGTAATTGTTTTTGTTAAATTCCAGTTTTATTACAAACAAAAGAGGGCAGCATTAACATTAAATCCAAGTTAGTTTCATAAAAATAAATTACATTTTGTCATATCACCTTCAAAATTCTTTGCTTTTATCCTTCCTTTTTGCTAAAACTCAGATTTCCGATTAGGCCATTCAAAGTTAATTTCTATGTTTAGCAAAATCTTAGGAGGGTGAGCATGAAAATTTCAAATTAAAAACAAGACATTAACATGCAAAATGTCACCACCTGCCATCTGTTACAGACACTGACCACCAAACACAAACCGGTGAACACCATCCACAAAAGTTTAAGACTAAGAACAATATGTCAACACTTGTGGTGGTGACATAAAAACAAAACTTTTATTTATTGTACACTAGCACTTAATGGTAAATGCATAACAGAAGCTAAGATACAAGTACATTATAAACTGTAGTTTATCAAAGGGAATGAAGATGCACAGAAGTGACTCAGTGTACATGTTAACTTAATGGTTTGTAAACACTGATTTACTGAGTAAAGACAACTTACCATTGTGAGTTGAATGCGTCCTGAGGTGGCATGCCATACCTCATTACTGCATTGAGGAAAGCCTTGCGTTGCCGAGCATTGAATCCAAGTACCTAAACAATACAAAACAGTTGCATATGGACATAAATAGAAGTAAACAACTTGTTCACTATTTCAATCAGTTCACCTCCTTTAAATCAGTTAACATATCAATAAAAACAACATTATTTAAAAAGAATTTATCATGAATGTCATCAGGATTAAAGAATTGTATATCATATTTCTAACACTTTTATATGCAATGTTTAACAGTGATTTACATATCTTCAAAGGGAAACAAGAAATTCACTGAATAAACATGTTCTGGAATGCCTTTAGGAAAGACAATTCACTTAAATATCTTTCCTCTAATTAAAACCAGAATTACTGTATGTCTGACCGAGGCTAAACAGAATTATGGTAAAAATTATGTTTCCTTGGTTTGACAAAAGGTTTTAAATCATATAAGGAAAATGAGTCATCATTTGACATTCATATTTAAGGAACTTTAAAATTGAGCAAAATGTTTTTGTTAGAACCAGACAAGTTTGAGAACTAGTAGTGTACAGTGAAAATATTATGCGAAACAAACTTTTCTTTTGTTACGAAGGTGCTCACTAAGATTAATGAAGATTACACAATTCTATCTGGTTCTAAGTTGAAGCCTTATAGTAGCATAATACCACAACAAGCTGTTTATACACATTTGGCATTAAGGGTATTGTAAATTATTCTAAATTAAAACGGTGACAAAACCAACATAGTAATGCTACTGTAATATTAAGCTTTCAACTCATATTCCCCAAACCACATGTCGTGTTCTCAACAGAACAATTCCAAATAAATACGACATAAATTTCTGATTGCTTGATACTCATCCACTGACCTCTATTTGACCATTCACTCTGGCAAGCAAAGGCGGAAGAGGACGATCCTTTTCTGCCATTTGATTTTTACGCCGTCTGCGTCCACCAATAGACTCATCTTGTTTTTCATCAAAATCGTCATCTTCCGTGCCCTTGTCTACAATAACAGCCATTACGAAGATATAAATAATGCAAGCTGAACAAAATAAAGCTTAGCACACCCAAAATTTCCATTCAACACCATGGTGGTTTGTCCAATGTACACTCCCCTCCATAAGTTTGGCAATACACTCCCCTCCATAAGTTTGGCAATACACTCCCCTCCATAAGTTTGGCAATACACTCCCCTCCATAAGTTTGGCAATACACTCCCCTCCATAAGTTTGGCAATACACTCCCCTCCATAAGTTTGGCAATACACTCCCCTCCATAAGTTTGGCAATACACTCCCCTCCATAAGTTTGGCAATACACTCCCCTCCATAAGTTTGACAATACACTCCCCTCCATAAGTTTGGCAATACACTCCCCTCCATAAGTTTGGCAATACACTCCCTCCATAAGTTTGGCAATACACTCCCCTCAATAAGTTTGGCAATACACTCCCCTCCATAAGTTTGGCAATACACTCCCCTCCATAAGTTTGGCAATACACTCCCCTCCATAAGTTTGGCAATACACTCCCTCCATAAGTTTGGCAATACAATCCCCTCCATAAGTTTGGCAATACACTCCCCTCAATAAGTTTGGCAATACACTCCCCTCCCTAAGTTTGGCAATACACTCCCCTCCATAAGTTTGACAATACACTACCCTCCATAAGTTTGGCAATACACTCCCCTCCATAAGTTTGGCAATACACTCCCCTCCATAAGTTTGGCAATACACTCCCCTCCATAAGTTTGACAATACACTACCCTCCATAAATTTGGCAATACACTCCCCTCCATAAGTTTGGCAATACACTCCCCTCCATAAGTTTGGCAATACACTCCCCTCCATAAGTTTGGCAATACACTCCCCTCCATAAGTTTGGCAATACACTCCCCTCCATAATTTGGAAATACACTCCCCTCCATAAGTTTGGCAATACACTCCCCTCAATAAGTTTGGCAATACACTCCCCTCCATAAGTTTGGCAATACACTCCCCTCCATAAGTTTGGCAATACACTCCCCTCCATAAGTTTGGCAATACACTCCCTCCATAAGTTTGGCAATACACTCCCCTCAATAAGTTTGGCAATACACTCCCCTCCATAAGTTTGGCAATACACTCCCCTCCATAAGTTTGGCAATACACTCCCCTCCATAAGTTTGGCAATACACTCCCTCCATAAGTTTGGCAATACAATCCCCTCCATAAGTTTGGCAATACACTCCCCTCAATAAGTTTGGCAATACACTCCCCTCCCTAAGTTTGGCAATACACTCCCCTCCATAAGTTTGACAATACACTACCCTCCATAAGTTTGGCAATACACTCCCCTCCATAAGTTTGGCAATACACTCCCCTCCATAAGTTTGGCAATACACTCCCCTCCATAAGTTTGACAATACACTACCCTCCATAAGTTTGGCAATACACTCCCCTCCATAAGTTTGGCAATACACTCCCCTCCATAAGTTTGGCAATACACTCCCCTCCATAATTTGGAAATACACTCCCCTCCGTAAGTTTGGCAATACACTCCCCTCCATAAGTTTGGCAATACACTCCCCTCCATAAGTTTGGCAATACACTCCCCTCCATAAGTTTGGCAGTACACTCCCCTCCATAAGTTTGGCAGTACACTCCCCTCGATAAGTTTGGCAATACACTCCCCTCCATAAGTTTGGCAGTACACTCCCCTCGATAAGTTTGGCAATACACTCCCCTCCATAAGTTTGGCAATACACTCCCCTCCATAAGTTTGGCAATACACTCCCCTCCATAAGTTTGGCAATACACTCCCCTCCATAAGTTTGGCAGTACACTCCCCTCCATAAGTTTGGCAGTACACTCCCCTCGATAAGTTTGGCAATACACTCCCCTCCATAAGTTTGGCAGTACACTCCCCTCGATAAGTTTGGTAACCGGACTGTTGATGTTTGAATCTTACAAAAGAAATTTATGACAAATTCTATTAAACAGCCTTTGATAAGTGACTTTAAAGTTGTGGAGCAGAAAATAGGCGGTTAATAATCGCGACTTGATACAGTCGGTTTTAATTACTATAGTGAGGTTTATTACAAGGAATTTTAATTCGCAGGGAAAATATAAATATGACATAACCAGTGTAATGCTAATTAAGGAGAAATAGAGCTGTTTTAATTGAAAGAACATAGCAACAATATGATCAAACCAAGATCTTTGTATTAATTAAAGCATCATTAGACTGTTTTGAAAGTGAATTCACACAATTTTCATCAATAATTTTAGCACAAATAAAGATTTCAAAAGACTCCAGTTTTCTTCATGACCTGCACCACTACTTAAAAGGGACTTCCAGTTGCCAAACTTATGGAGGCAGGTGTATACATGTACAGAACTCTTAAGAGCAAGTACTAATGTAAAAGGTACAACTCCATCAGGTGAAACTCAGTAGGAATTCAGAATAGACCATTCATTTAAAATGTATTCCTTTCTTGAAGGTACTGCACCTTAAGAAGGTGATGTACATTTGAAAAGTATTATTCCTATTCCTTCCTACTTTCTATAAATGGAATGACCACCAAGGTATTCAAATAAAGGCGTGAGCTCTAAGCAAATAAGGTTGGGATCAGCAGCTGAAAGTAAACCAACAAATGAACATAATGATCAGCCATGCATGCCTGACAAGCAGCAACAGTACACTTTACACCTAGGCATTGTGGCCAGCCTCACATCTGTGTATAGCTAGAGCCTCTAAAGGCTGGATGTCACCTAGTGATTGGTCTAACACATAATGGCTGCCCTGACACCTCGTGGATAGACTAATCACTAGTGACTATCCCGACCCCTAGTGGATAACCCTGGTCGCTATGGCAACACTACCTCTATCTGGTGGTTCACTCTCGCCAAGAGGGGAGGCAGAGGGCGATCTTTCTCAGCCATATTTCTAAATCTTCGCTGAGTTCGATGCTCGGCTTTTTCATCAAAATCTTCATCCTCAGATCCATGCTCTAAAAGTGGCATTAATTTGTGACAAGTCATTTAATATTTCTACTATCTCTCTTAATATGAGAACAACTCCCATTTCAATATTTGTTACTGATAAATCAAATACTATTCATATCTTTATGTTACATATCAGGGGTGCAATACTATATGTTACCCACCCAGTGTTGAAAAGTTATCATGATTTATAAGGGAAGCTACTCACCACTGAAATCTGAGTCAAAGTCAGACATGTCGTTATCCCAGTTGTTTCCACCGCCACCTACCGCGTCATTGTAGTTCACCTGTTTCCGAACCCTCTTGCCTTTCCCAAGAGCCCCTCGTGTGACCTCAAGTTGCTGCTCATAATGGTGACGGAGAAGTTTCTCCCAGTATGCAGGGTCAGCATGCTCCACTTCCTGTTTGAGCACCTCTTTTTCTGGCTCATCTTCCTACACACAAGAAAATAGTCCAATAATTTCATTGAATATGATTAACAATTAATTACATTTAGCAAGTTCAGAGTATTGTATACATTTTGTACAAATATCATATTTACAACAGTGTTAAATATCAATTTATAATTCCAAAAATGGGATCATTGTACTGTTACTTTTTGAGCAAATTTGTTAATTAGGACATAATAAAGATAAATCAAGTCTTACTTCATCTTCCTCTTGCATTGCATATTGGGCAACTTTAAATGATGAGAAATATTCATTCATCGCTGCCTCCTTCTCCTCCTGCGCATCTTGGGAGCGATCCAAAAGTCGTGAAATTGCAGATTCGTCATAGACAATACGATTTGTATCAGCCTCAAGGTCTTTCATTTCTTTTTCTTTGTCCCAAGTATCTGTTGACATAAAAATAAACTTGGATAATGTAAATTGCTATTATATTTATTTTATTTATAATAAATCTCAGATGGCATTTATATTTTTAACATATTGTTGCAAACACTTTCATGTATATCTATATACATTTATATCTATAAACACCAATGTAAGAGAACTACTTGATTTACCTCCTTTCTGGTCTTCACTTTTCTCTTTATTTGCCTCTTTATTTTCATCTGGTACTAACTCATCTTTGAAGAGCTCCTCTGTTCCAAACTTTAAGATATCATCAAGCTCTTGCTTAGACATAGCTGCCCCCTTGCTGCCCATTCCTGGCCGTACCACTAAATGCGTCAACATCATTTTCTTTTTTGCAACCTGGGTGATTCGTTCCTCCACACTATTTCTTGTCACAAATCGGTAAATCATGACCCGGTTGGACTGACCAATGCGATGAGCCCTACTAAATGCCTAAAACAAAAGGGAAATGCCCAATAATGTATGTTCTGAAAGTATCCATATATAGAACGTAGTGCATTCCTGTCAAAATCATATGAGTTAATATATACCCTGAAACAAAGGTACTTCATCAAAAAGAGTCTTTTTACAAAATACTACCATAACATCATGAAGAATAGCCTATGTAGCAAGAGGGTAGAAAATATTTTTAATCACATTTAGGAAAGGAAAATTTTATAGTGTTACTAATTTCTGGATGAGGGTAAATTCTAAATTTGGTTGCTGGTGGATATTCCATGGTACTGTGATTGTCCCAAATCCCTTACCACAAGTGATGTTAGGGAGGGGGATACACAATCACCTTCATGAACGTTTCTTACCTGAATGTCATTATGTGGATTCCAATCAGAGTCATAGATTACAACAGTGTCTGCTGTAGCGAGGTTTATCCCAAGACCTCCAGCCCTTGTTGACAGCAGAAAGGCAAACTGTGGCGCTCCAGGGGCTAAGCACACAAAAGAAATGTATGAGTTAAGTATTATACTGCAGTTATCTGAACAAGATTAAACAAGACACACAGTGCTAAATATTGAACTTTGAAGAGCAAAATGGCCACAATGTAATTTACCCAGCACACCTAAAATATACTCAGATCTTGGCATCTATAGTTGAACAGAAAAGCAACTTTGATTAATGCGTTGCCTGCCTGCACGCTCACCAAGCAGCGCAAGGATTTTTCAAAGTGACATAAAAATCATGTAAAATATTTTTGACTTACCATTGAATCTATCAATGGCATCCTGCCTCATTGATCCTGTTATACCGCCATCTATACGCTCATACTTGTAGCCTTCACCCTCAAAGAAATCCTCCAAGATATCCAAAACCTTGGTCATCTGAAGCAAAGATACAAATGTTATAATATACTGCAGAAGATGCCTAATTTGAATGCCACTTGGATTGGAATTTCAAGGTTTTTAATGTAGATTTTTCTGGGACCTAAAAAAGTGTTCCCATTGAGATGTGCACAGACAGGTGTACAGATATGTGTACAGATATTTGTTCAGATAGGTGTACAGATAGGTGTCAGACAGATGTACAGACAGGTGTACAGATAGGTGTACCGACAGATGTACAGATAGGTGTACAGACAGGTGTACAGATAGATGTACACACAGGGACAAGTGTTCAGATATGTGAACAGATAGATGTACAGACAGGGACAAGTGTTCAGATATACATCATGCTTTTCTACATTCTGTGTTTATCTATTTCTTGTCAGATATAGCCTCTCAGAAAAATATGATAAATGAATGCCCGCTTATATATCAAACAAATATAATTGATGAATATTTTGGATGAAATTAGGTAAGTAGACAAAGCAACAAAACAAAATAACATAAATCACTGCTCACCTGTGAGAAGACAAGCAACCTATGACCTTCTGCTTTGAGTTTCTTGCACATTGCAGCAAGCAGCTCTAGTTTGCCACTGGACTTGATCAATGCCTTGGTCTCGTACATGCCATTGGGCAATTTGGGTGCCTCCTGGAATATGAGTGGAATACATAGAAAATACATTTTAAAGAGCAACCTAACCATATATGGCGGTGGCTTTTCATTAGGAACAAATCAATTAGACTTAGTTTTGATATCTTAGGGAATCCGCAAATCATTTCTTGGATTGCTAAATGATTTCACTCATAACATGATGATTTCATCAAGAAATATTTAGAACATGGCCAGTATCTACAAATCATTTAACATTAATCATGATAGGATCAGGATGGATGTCCTGTCTGGTCAGTTTTGGGTACAGAATTTATCCCAAGGGAAATATGTGTATCTCCTAGAGCACCCTAAAACTGTACTTACATCTGAAGCAGTAGGGAAAAGGTATGGGTGATTACAGCACTTCTTCAGATCCATCATGATGTTCAACAATGACACCTGATTTCCTCCATTGTGGTTGAGAGCCTCAAAATTACGAGTTAGAATATACTTGTAGTATTTCCTACAATCAAAACAGTTCCAAACTTAGAACATATTCATATAATACTTGTACACTACAATACTTGACATTCTGTCTTTACAATTTTCAAAATCAATTCAAAATTAAATTGATTTTATATCACATCTCATTCTTCGTGTTGTTCAGTAAAATTCTAGGCTCAAGTAACATCAGTACAATGAAAAGAGATACATTGCAATGTTTTTGCTATAAGCCTACTACACTGCACTGGTTATACCCAAACAGTGTAAGACTCTGGGACAATAACTATGCACAAATCTTACTTTTGCATTGGGGATAGCTCCACTCGTACAATGAATTCACTCTTCCCAGGCATGCCCTTGAGTACATCTGCCTTGAGTCTCCTCAGCAAGTGAGGTCCCAGCAGGTCATGGAGCCTCTTCACCTGCTCCTCTTTGCCAATGTTGTTGAACTCTTGAAGGAAGTGGTGCATGTCACTGAAATAGAGAGAACACATACATACAGAGAACCTATTTAGAAAATGCAATTATTGAATGTTTTGTTCTGTAATTGTAAGCTATTACATAATAGGGACAACATGTTTTTGTGTGTGGGTACAGTGTGACAAGGAACATTTCACTAAGCAAAACTGTCCAAATACTACCGGTCAATATTTTAGAAGTAAGGATGCTTAAAACCCATTTACAGACCATTAATTTGTCTTGTGTTTTGATTGAGGAAGTTCACTAGATGGAAGACCCAATACTCACTTAAACTTATCAGGGGTGAGGAAGTTAAGTAAATGGAAGAGCTCCTCCAAGTTATTCTGTAGAGGTGTACCAGTCAAAAGCAGTTTGTAGGCCAGTCTGTACTGATTCAGCACTCGGAAAAACTAAAAAGAACATCATAAAATAATGAAAAATAAAATGTTGAAACTTTAGCATGCTGCCGGCGAGTGAGTCCGCCCATGCTTTACTATCCCGTGTGACTGCCGGCGGACCCATCCACCCGATTTCAAACTTTTAAAAACTTTACTTTTTCGCGCCATTCTTATGATCCAATTAGATTGCTCGATTTATTCAGTGCCTCACATGACTTCCTGTTGACCTAGAATGGTGATATTTCTCAATTCAACAATTTAAACAGTGTTTTAGTCGCTTTTAGTGAACAAATCGTACAAAATGGCGGCAAAATATGATGACAACAAAAATGTGGAGGAAATGGATTGCGATTTCGAGCTCTTTAGGCTCTTGGAAGCCGATAATGGTCATCGGAAATAGAAACTAGAATATTTTCTGAACTCAAAAATTGATCATTCCATCCCTGCAAATTCAGTTTTGACTTCTGACCAGACTTTTAATCTTCCCAGGGGCGAAGCGGCGGATTCCAGAGGAGTATTCATGGTATATTTATGCCCAGTCGTGTTAAGGTATGAAAAAAATTCATGAGAACATTTTTTTCATGAGCCAGGCCAGTGTATCTTCCCTTTGTGAAAATTTTATCCAGATTCATTCAGTATTTATTGAGATATTAATTATTTAGTCCAGGCATATAATTTTTTGCACTCTTTGAAAAATAAGCCAGTCGCGTAGGATATATTTGCTGAAATAAGCCAGCATGCTAAAGGTTAATAAAGACTGATCCAAGTTTTGTACAACAGCATATTCCTATCTTAATTCTTTTTAGATAGTAGTTTGTCGAAGAATTAACACTGAACAATATGTACCTTAACTGAAATGCTGCCAATCATCAAGCAGTACTTCTTTCATTTTTTAGATATAAGAATGGACAGACTGATTGCTGCGGATGAAGTGAATAAGGGATTACCTTTGATTGGTTGTTCTTCAGCCTATGGGCCTCATCGACTACAAGAACCTGCCAGTTGACAGAGCCCAGTGTAGCTTGGTCAATGCTGATCAACTCATATGATGTCAAAAGTACATGGAACTTAACTTGACAACCCTGCCGCATCTTACACGCCTTTGTACCTCCTCTGATAGCATTGTCATCCAATGAGAATTCATGTTCCCTACAAGATGGACATATCATATTTACAGGTACACCCAAAAGCATGCATGTACCAAAGACAAGGAAGATTTTATTTGAAACAAAAACTTTAATCAATTACATTGTATAAGACAGTGTACTTTTGTACATTTTTGAGGTATTTAATAATAGACATTTTTAGACATAATAGTACATGTAAGTTGACTTACCTTATGACAGATCTGCTGTCCTTGTCCCCCACATATGTGATCACATACATATCAGGGGCCCATAGCTCAAACTCTCTCTCCCAGTTTATTATAGTAGATAGAGGGGCACTTATCAGAAATGGACCCTTGGAATATCCCTACAAACAAAAAAATACAAAATCAGTTGCTGGAACAGTGCTCCTTCACCCTAATCATTGTATATCAAAATCTCTGCAAATCGAGACCCCCAAACCTACCTCCTTATAAAGCGTGTACAAGAAAGTAATGGTCTGAATAGTTTTTCCAAGACCCATCTCATCTGCGAGTATAGTGTCAATGCCATGGGAGTATGAGTATCTGAGCCAGTTGAGTCCTTCCAGCTGGTACGGATGCAGAGTACAGCCAGTGTCATCTATATAAGGAGGTTGTTTCTCATACTGCCAATGTTTCTTCAGCTGAAATAGTTGATACAATGTTTAATATGAGAGTAAAGCTAGTGACATCTATATAAGGAGGTTGTTTCTCATACTGCCAATGTTTCTTCAGCTGAAATAGTTCATACAATGTTTAATATGAGGGTACAGCTAGGGACATCTATATAAGGAGGTTGTTTCTCATACTGCCAATGTTTCTTCAGCTGAAATAGTTCATACAATGTTTAATATGAGGGTACAGCTAGGGACATCTATATAAGGAGGTTGTTTCTCATACTGCCAATGTTTCTTCAGCTGAAATAGTTGATACAATGTTTAATATGAGAGTAAAGCTAGTGACATCTATATAAGGAGGTTGCTTCTCATACTGCCAATGTTTCTTCAGCTGAAATAGTTCATACAATGTTTATATGATTATTTTGTTGTTATGTGTTTGTCAATATTATTACCTCGTAGTTCTGATTATTAATTCTTAATTCAAAATGTAATGAATATGTAGAGGTATTTGTGGCTGGTGAACCTTTGCAATGAATGTTTTTTTCTCATTTCCAAAAACGTTTGAGTGTACAGGACCAGTACACGAGTACACTGTAGTATATTTGAATGTTCAAGCACATAGTATTGTGGTTACAGTGATGGATGATGCAGTGTTTGAATTCACCAATTCTGTCTTGCCACGCCCATTATGTTCATTTGACAATATCCATGACAATACTCAGAATTCATATATAAACCTCTAGATGTTCGCCATAACAAGGAGTTCCTCTATGAAATCTGGAATAATTCCTCCTCTTGAAAAACCCCATAGCCCACTTACATGTGAGAGATCCTGCTGTGGTATTTGAAAGACCCCATAGACCACTTACATGTGAGAGATCTTGCTGTGGTATTTGAAAAACCCCATAGCCCACTTACATGTGAGAGATCTTGCTGTGGTATTTGAAAAACCCCATAGCCCACTTACATGTGAGAGATCTTGCTGTGGTATTTGAAAAACCTCATAGCCCACTTACATGTGAGAGATCTTGCTGTGGTATTTGAAAAACCCCATAGCCCACTTACATGTGAGAGATCTTGCTGTGGTATTTGAAAAACCTCATAGCCCACTTACATGTGAGAGATCTTGCTGTGGTATTTGAAAAACCCCATAGCCCACTTACATGTGAGAGATCCTGCTGTGGTATAAGTCCAGGAACAGGGTCTTTACTGCCAGGTGTAGCATCAGTGTCAGTCTCCTCCTCCACTACAACCTTGGCCTTCTTCTTCTTGCCTTTCTTGCCCTTCTTCTTTGTGGGCACTTCCACATCATCCACTGCTCCCATCTGGCTCCTGTGTTAAATATAATGAACAATATGTACATGGAGATATCTAGCTCCTTTGGTCAACAACAGCTGAAAGATCATGTAGCAATATCCAATAATAGTCAAACAAGTTGAAAGAAAATACATACAGGGTACTGATTATGCTTACTTGAGGTGAATCTCCTCATTTTAAATTGCCTTCATCCTATTTTTACTCATGCATAAAAACACACCATATCTAACATTGAGCAGTAAATAGTTGGAAAGTTGTGTCACTGACACAATATGGAAAACAGCCTAAATCATATTTAAGACTGGAAAACATTTTGTGTGATTCTATCAGAGTTTTCGAAATCAGCTTCTGTATTTCAGAACCCTGGCAAGTTATAAAATAATGTTATACGGAGCGTACAGCATAACATAGCCTACCAGGTATATGTATTTAAATGAATTAGCCTATATGTATAGTAATAACACATCCAATATGTATTTTCCTACTAACCTGAGAGCTAAATAGGACTCTATTGCAACAGGCATGTCCAGTAATTCTTCATCTTCAGGTTCCCACGTGGCCTCCAAATAAGGCAAATCGCGCCACTTTATCAGATAATAAGTTGTCCCATTCCTCGATGATTTATGATTAATGATACGATGAATATTCAACCATTCTGGCCGTACACCATAAATATAAAATCTCTCTTCTAAATTATGAGGATCCTCTGTTTTTGATTTCCGCTTGCCATATGAGCTTCCATCATCTATAGGTGGTGGTTCGTCCATGTCATTCTTTCTAATGTAGTTGCGATACATTGCAGGATGGTAAACGTCCAACTGGAGTTCTGTGATCCAACTACAATGCCAGTAACTCATATCTGCCCACTTGATAAAGAACTGCCGGGTAGGTTTGTGTTCAAACTGAAAGATTCAGAAATAAATATATTTTAAGGAATGACCAACAAGAGTACCGACTGATTCCATGCAGAGGTATTTCACTGCTGATATTACAATAATCATGTATTGCAAATTAGTAAATAACACATATTAGATTCATAAAACGATAAAAAATAAAAAACAGGGTTTTTGCTTTTTAACTCAGGCACAATGCTGTGAAGAATCAGCATCTGGTGAGTATCCAGAAAAACAACTGTCAGTTGACTTATTTTATAAAATCATGCAAAAACATTTTACAATAGTTTAATTCCACTTACTGTTTTCTTAGTTGGACTGCTTGGTGTGTGGTCCAACTCATCTCCACCTTTAGGGGGCTCTGTCCACCGCCACGTGAGGATCTTACGAACCTTTCCTTTCAAAGGCTCACACTACAACAGCACAAAAAAGGCTTAATGTCTAAATGGCAAAATAGCAGTGTCTCTCTGTATTGGTATGCATATGGAAAATCAGAATTTGACTATATGGTATAGTATATTTAATAGACATTTTAATGAAATTTAGGTCCTGATGAGAAGATGTTCACTGGATTCTAAATTCAATTCATTGGAGCTAGGTTAGTTGTTAATGATTTTATTGTTTAAGAACATACTTGCTCAGTAGATCACTTACATTACATCTAGGACACACCCATGTACCATCAGGGAGGCCTGTGATTGGTGGATTCAGACAATGCGTGTGATAGGCTGAGGGGCAACTGTCACAGCACAGTAACTCTCCGCCATCTTTACAAACTCGACAAAACTCCATATGTTCATCTTCTTCCTGTTCCTGGACACCTTCGGATTCCTATAAACACAAACATACAAACGAACTATTAATTCATAGTTGGGGTGGTATGGAACTAAATGAAGATTCAAACTGCAACTTCAGAAAGAATAATAATCCAGAATCGCAAAATAGTTTTTTTCTGCTTTAGATTTTCATTCTGTACCAGTCCTAACACACATGAAGAAAAAGCATCTCGAATAATGTAAACACACTACTACATTGAATTATTTAGATGCTGACACAATGCTCTTGTATAAGATGCACAAAAATTTAAAATGGAATTATACTTACTATCGGAGAAAAGTACAGTACTCTATATTCAAATATAATTCATTTAAATAATTCATGAATACTATCTGACAACAGCAACCATTAAAATACATTGTACATACACAGTGTGGGCAGCTCCACTTGCCCTCTGGGGCAGCCTCTAGCTCAGGGTCCAGGCAGACCATGTGGTAGGCCTTGGGGCACGTGTCACACAGGATAATCTCGCCTCCCTGCTGGCACACTTCACAGTAATCTTGGTGATCCGTCTACAATATAGAGATATCTCTTTTCAATTCTTCAATTCTATAGTTATGATAAAAACAAAGTTAAGCATCATGTCTTTGGTGCTCATATGGACTTGCAGTAGATTAACGGTTAACAATCAGACTCTTTTCTTAACTAGTGGGATCACAAGGGCATAAGAGGAGAAATATCCCAGAGTTCTTAGATGACCCTATAAACATATAAGGAAAAGAGGAACTTAGATAGTCTCACATTCGATTCATCTTTTAAATTCTAGAATATTTTTATTTCTCCTCTTTAACCTCTTGAATCCCAGGCTCTAAAATCGGTTGAAACCAGAGATCTTTCTATTTTTGCCACCTTTTGACATTATACTACATACATATGCAACGTCAGATGCTCAACCTAGTAAAATTAGACGACAGAGATCATTTCTACACATTTTAAAACAATTTTTGTATAAATTGGATGAAAATTGTTTAAATAAGAGCAATTTTAGTGAAACATTTTGTGACGGATTTTCTCGTCACTCTGGGTTTCAAGGTCATTTCTGAGGTGACGGGAAATCTCGTCACTCCAGGTAGTCAAGAGGTTAAGGGCACGAAAGGAGATTAATCAAAAGAACTACCTACCTCATATCCATCCCCATTAGCATTAAGTGGGAACTTATTTGTTAATTTGGTCTTCTTCTTTGGTCTTCCCTGACCTCGTCCACGCTTGAACTTTGACTTTTTTGGTTTCTCAACACTTTTCTGTTCCAGTTTCTCCTGCTCAGCAAGCAAGGAAGCCTCTTCTAATTGTTTCTCAAACTCCTCATCACTAGTGTTGTAACCAGCTTTGATCTCTTCATCCTGAAACATATTTACATGAGTTTGAAATATATAAGTACTTTTTGAATAATTGGTTCAAATCTTTATACTCAAATTAATAGCATTGACTCAACAAGAATTAACTATCAAATTCAAACAAATAAAATGCTTAGTAGGGTTAAGGTATCAATTAAATAAAGTATATACTCAGGGTCAACACTCAATTTGATGCAATATAAATTCATTAAGTGAACACCCTGTACAGTAAAACCTGTATATCTGAACACCTGGCTAATCCGAACACCTTCCAATTTGAACACTTTTTTTCGGTCCCATTTTTTCCTCCCATTGACTGCCATGCTAAAAAAAACCTTGAAATCTGAACACCTCCTAATTTGAACAGTGAACAACCAGATTTGAAAAAGTGACCTGTCTAATCTGAACATTTTTATCAGAAATCAAATGTCTGGACATTTCAATTATAGCCAAATATTGAGTCAATGTTATAGTTGTTATTTATCTTTACATATACAATGTAATCAAAGAACCAATATTGTCCTAACTAACTTATTTAGTCTCAGTGACATCCCTAATTTGTGGAAAGCAACAGGATGTTTTGTAAAGGTGTGAATACAGGAGTTAATTGGTTTATCCTTATTGTAAATTAACTGGATGTTCTTGATTTGGATTATGAACAGGTCTTGACTGTTTTATATCCCATGGGTCTGTTATGATAGCTAAGATTCAATCAGCAAATGTTTTATAATCACAAGGACAACATAGACGACATTTGCAGACAAGATTTAGAAAAGAACTGAATGTTTTTGATTTGGATTAAGAGAAATGTGAGAATCTGGGAGATAATTGGTTTATCCTTATTGTAAATTAACTGGATGTTTTTGATTTGGATTATGAACAGGTCTTAACTGTTTTATATCCCATGGGTCTGTTATGATAGCTAAGATTCAATCAGCAAATGTTTTATAATCACAAGGACAACACAGACGACATTTGCAGACAAGATTATATTACAAGAAAGAGAAAAAATTCAACTTTGCAATATCCTATCACTAAAATGTCTCCTAAAAGGCATACATCTGACATCCTGAATGCCCTTGATATTTTGAAGGATTATACAATATACATCATCTCGAATGAACACTCATGAAAAATTATTTTTACTTGAAGAGGATATCTACTCAAATATTGCTAATGCTAAAATTGCCAAGAAACAAACAACAATGAAGGACTTTTTCAGGCAAAAGTAAAGCAGTGCTTTATTACCATAATATGGGATAAGTCATTTGATAAGCATAAGATTTCATATGAGACTATCATATACTTTTACATTGTATTACAAAGTTTTTGCCAAAACATAAGAGTTATTTTTACTAAAACGATGATATTGTTCAAAATATAAATAAAACATAGCATATAGGCTATATGACTATTGTAGAATTAACTCATCAACAACATTTATTGCTTTCTGACTTAGTTTTAAGTGTTCAATATAGTGGACTGAACAATGAAAATCCCCCCCCCCCCGACCAACAATATCCTCGAAATTTGAACACCTGCCAATTTGAACGCTTTTGGCTGGTCCCGTGGGTGTTCGGATTAGACAGGTTTTACTGTATATATATAAATATATACAATATATATATAAATACATGTATATACAATATATATAAATATATATCTAGTGATTCATACTCACATCACTGGTCTTCTTCTTTTTCTTTTTCTTGATTTTGATCTTCAAAGGAGCCAAAGCTTTCTTGCCCTTTCCTTTCCTTCCTTTCTTTGGACTTGGTGTCTCTTCGGCCGTTACTTCTAAATCGACCTCATCTTCTAAGTTGTTCTCTACTTCGCTATCTGAAAGTCAATTTTATATTTTATCAGTAATGCTTCTAGCCTAGAAGAACTTGGCTGATCAAATTGACTCTGTGTTCACACGTCCTTCATATTATACCATCTATTGATAAAACATGTCATAGCAGTAAACTGTCCCGAGCCTCATTCTTAACTGGGTAAAAAAAATCTTATTTAATTACAATAATTTGTTTTTTTCATAATCGGATTGGTGTTAAGAAATTTTCAAGACTTTGTTTGGAATATCTTCAACTATACTTCAAAATCCTTAAAGGAATATTCCTTGCCAAACCATCTCTCTCCTCATATGGTAGCTATAACCATATATATGCTTGCCATGTTTAGCAAAACACGCAAAAATGTTTTGATATGGTCGAATTTGATCACTTAGAAATGTGATGCTCAATTCCAGTAAGCTGCCATCTTTTAAAATTTCACACAGGAAGTGATGTCATCGACTCTCAACTTTGCATATAGCATTAGGTGAGGAGCTATTAAGAATTACAAAACCAGCTAAATATTCTTTTTCAACTTTGTATCTTATTTAATCCTTCTGAAAATCTCTTCTTTTATTCGAAATTGACAAGCCCTGAAAACATTTTTGCACAGAAAGTAAGGATCACTTGTCTAGAAGTGATTTTGTGCTACTTTCCTATGCTGTTAAGGTTATAGAAGTTGAGAGTTGATGACATCACTTCCTGCAAGAAATCTTTAAAGATGGCAGCTCACTGGAAATAAGCACTAGATTTTTAAATGATCAATATTGACCATATTAAAACATTTTCCCATGTTTTGCTAAATATGGAAACTATATATATGATTATAGCTACCATATCAAGAGAGAACGGGTCTGGCAAGGAATATTCCTTTAACTTCATTGCTGAAAAATCAAATGAACAAATTATCAAGTAATTCAGCCCAAACTCACCTCCTTTATCAGCAGGGCTCACAGTGAGACTGTCTTCCTCTGCAGGCTGCTGGGCAGGATTTGATTCCATGAACTCCTTCCAGAGTGCACCTATGAGAGTCACCATCTTTGACATTGCTATCTTTGGGTTCTCTTCTTGGATTAATGGCCGAATGTGCTGACTGAATTCTTTGTAAGTTGTGAGTGTAGTGTAGTCCTCTGGGGCATATTCAATCTCAACTGGATTCAGGCCCATCTCTATACATAACTGTACTACTGTCTTGGGTTCTGGCTGTAACACAAGATACATTTGCATTACATCAACACGTACATTTGCAGTACATCAACAGATACATTTGCAGTGCATCAAAAGATACATTTGCAGTGCATCAACAGATACATTTGCAGTGCATCACCCCATACATCAAGTGTAGTACATCAACAGATACATTTGCAGTACATCAACACATATATTTGCATTACATCAACACATACATTTGCAGTACATCAACAGATTCATTTGCAGTGCATCACACCATACATCAACTGTAGTACATCAACAAATACATTTGCAGTACATCAACAGATACATTTGCAGTACATCAACAGATACATTTGCAGTACATCAACAGATACTTTTGCAGTACATCAACAGATACATATGCAGCATATCACCAGATACTTTTGCAGTACATCAACAGATACATTTGCAGTACATCAACAGATACATTTGTAGTACATCAACAGATACATTTAGAGTAAAGTTCAGCATTTCCATGCATTCTCACTTTACTTGAACCTTTAATGACATAAAATTCGAACATTGTTATACTGAAAGGATATTAGGTTGAATTAATCAAATTTAATTAAATCTGCCATCTTATTTTCTTATTTGGATCTTTGGTTTAGACACATATAAAATCTTGCATGTTTAACTTTCCAAAAATATACCTGAGCAGGCGGAGGTGCTGGTTTAGGCTTGGGTGTCCGTTTTTTCTTCTTTGGCGCAGGTTCTGGAGTGTAGTCGGTGTCATTCCCCATGAGGCCACTGAGATCTGTGTCACTGTTGAACTCTACCATATCCTTAAGAGATACAAATGTAGAAATCAGATTATATCTCAATGACAGTATTGTTGCAATCAATAATAAAATGTTATAGAAAAAATTTATTTCATTTGTGTAGTCTATGTCTCGTCTTTTTGAGTAGAATTTCAAAACTTCAATAAAGTGAATGCAACATAAACTATGGGATGAAAATAGATGTTTCGATATCATTGGACATACTTACATCTTCATCTCCAAAATGCTTCTTCTTTTTCTTGCCTCTTTTCTTTCTTTCCTTTGGCTCTTTTGGTTCCTTTGCCTTCCTCTTTTTGCCCTTTTTAGTAGGAGTTGCTCCCGCATCTTCATCAATCACTAAGGACTCTTCCATGTCTACAAACAATCATAGCATATGACTAAGTTCCATGTCTACAATTATAGCATATGCTTAAGTTCCACGTCTACAATCATAGCATATGCTTAAGTTCCACGTCTACAATCATAGCATATGCTTAAGTTCCACGTCTACAATCATAACATATGCTTAAGTTCCATGTCTACAATCATAGCATATGCTTAAGTTCCACGTCTACAATCATAGCATATGAGTAACTTCCATGGCTACAATCATAGCATATGATTAAGTTCCATGGCTACAATCATAGCATATGCTTAGTTCCATGGCTACAATCATAGCATACGCTTAAGTTCCATGTCTACAATCATAACATATGCTTAAGTTCCATGTCTACAATCATAGCATATGCTTAAGTTTCATGTCTACAATCATAGCATATGCTTAAGTTCCACGTCTACAATCATAACATATGCTTAAGTTCCATGTCTACAATCATAGCATATGCTTAAGTTCCACGTCTACAATCATAGCATATGCTTAAGTTCCATGTCTACAATCATAGCATAAGCTTAAGTCCCATGTCTACAATCATAGCATACTCTTAAGTTCCATGTCTATAATCATAGCATACGCTTGAGTTCCATGTCTACAAACAATCATAGCATATGACTAAGTTCCATTAATCTACAATCATAGCATATGCTTAAGTTCCATGTCTACAAACAATCATAGCATATGACTAAGTTCCATTACTCTACAATCATAGTATACGCTTAAGTTCCATGTCTATAATCATATCATACGCTTAAGTTTCATGTCTACAATCATAGCATACGCTTAAGTTCCATGTCTACAATCATAGTATACGCCTAAGTTCCACGACTACAATCATAGCATATGCTTAAGTCCCATGTCTACATTCATAGCATACGCTTAAGTCCCATGTCTACAATCATAGCATACACTTAAGTTCCACGTCTACAATCATAGCATATGCTTAGTTCCATGTCTACAATTATAGCATATGAGTAAGTTCCATGTCTACAATCATAGCATATGAGTAACTTCCATGGCTACAATCATAGCATATGAGTAAGTTTCATGTCTACAATCATAGTATACGCTTAAGTTCCATGTCTACAATTATAGCATATGCTTAAGTTCCACGTCTACAATCATAGCATATGCTTAAGTCCCATGTCTACATTCATAGCATAAGCTTAAGTCCCATGTCTACAATCATAGCATACTCTTAAGTTCCATGTCTACAATCATAGCATATGCTTAACGTCCATGTCTACAAACAATCATAGCATATGGCTAAGTTCCACGTCTACAATCATAGCATATGCTTAAGTTCCACGTCTACAATCATAGCATATGCTTAAGTTCCACATCTACAATCATAGCATATGCTTAAGTTCCACATCTACAATCATAGCATATGCTTAAGTCCCATGTCTACATTCATAGCATAAGCTTAAGTCCCATGTCTACAATCATAGCATACTCTTAAGTTCCACGTCTACAATCATAGCATATGCTTAAGTTCCACGTCTACAATCATAGCATATGCTTAAGTCCCATGTCTACATTCATAGCATAAGCTTAAGTCCCATGTCTACAATCATAGCATACTCTTAAGTTCCACGTCTACAATCATAGCATATGCTTAAGTCCCATGTCTACATTCATAGCATAAGCTTAAGTTCCACGTCTACAATTATAGCATATGATTAAGTTCCATGTCTACAATCGTAGCATATGCTTAGTTCCATGTCTACAATTATAGCATATGAGTAAGTTCCATGGCTACAATCATAGCATATGCTTAGTTCCAGGTCTACAATCATAGCATATGAGTAAGTTCCATGGCTACAATCATAGCAAATGCTTAGTTCCATGTCTACAATAATAGCATATGATTAAGTTCCATGTCTACAATCATAGCATATGAGTAAGTTCCATGTCTACAATTATAGCATATGATTAAGTTCCACGTCTACAATCATAGCATATGCTTAAGTTCCACGTCTACAATCATAGCATATGCTTAAGTTCCACGTCTACAATCATAACATATGCTTAAGTTCCATGTCTACAATCATAGCATATGCTTAAGTTCCACGTCTACAATCATAGCATATGAGTAACTTCCATGGCTACAATCATAGCATATGATTAAGTTCCATGGCTACAATCATAGCATATGCTTAGTTCCATGGCTACAATCATAGCATACGCTTAAGTTCCATGTCTACAATCATAACATATGCTTAAGTTCCATGTCTACAATCATAGCATATGCTTAAGTTTCATGTCTACAATCATAGCATATGCTTAAGTTCCACGTCTACAATCATAACATATGCTTAAGTTCCATGTCTACAATCATAGCATATGCTTAAGTTCCACGTCTACAATCATAGCATATGCTTAAGTTCCATGTCTACAATCATAGCATAAGCTTAAGTCCCATGTCTACAATCATAGCATACTCTTAAGTTCCATGTCTATAATCATAGCATACGCTTAAGTTCCATGTCTACAAACAATCATAGCATATGACTAAGTTCCATTAATCTACAATCATAGCATATGCTTAAGTTCCATGTCTACAAACAATCATAGCATATGACTAAGTTCCATTACTCTACAATCATAGTATACGCTTAAGTTCCATGTCTATAATCATAGCATACGCTTAAGTTTCATGTCTACAATCATAGCATACGCTTAAGTTCCATGTCTACAATCATAGTATACGCCTAAGTTCCACGACTACAATCATAGCATATGCTTAAGTCCCATGTCTACATTCATAGCATACGCTTAAGTCCCATGTCTACAATCATAGCATACACTTAAGTTCCACGTCTACAATCATAGCATATGCTTAGTTCCATGTCTACAATTATAGCATATGAGTAAGTTCCATGTCTACAATCATAGCATATGAGTAACTTCCATGGCTACAATCATAGCATATGAGTAAGTTTCATGTCTACAATCATAGTATACGCTTAAGTTCCATGTCTACAATTATAGCATATGCTTAAGTTCCACGTCTACAATCATAGCATATGCTTAAGTCCCATGTCTACATTCATAGCATAAGCTTAAGTCCCATGTCTACAATCATAGCATACTCTTAAGTTCCATGTCTACAATCACAGCATATGCTTAACGTCCATGTCTACAAACAATCATAGCATATGGCTAAGTTCCACGTCTACAATCATAGCATATGCTTAAGTTACACGTCTACAATCATAGCATATGCTTAAGTTCCACATCTACAATCATAGCATATGCTTAAGTTCCACATCTACAATCATAGCATATGCTTAAGTCCCATGTCTACATTCATAGCATAAGCTTAAGTCCCATGTCTACAATCATAGCATACTCTTAAGTTCCACGTCTACAATCATAGCATATGCTTAAGTTCCACATCTACAATCATAGCATATGCTTAAGTCCCATGTCTACATTCATAGCATAAGCTTAAGTCCCATGTCTACAATCATAGCATACTCTTAAGTTCCACGTCTACAATCATAGCATATGCTTAAGTCCCATGTCTACATTCATAGCATAAGCTTAAGTTCCACGTCTACAATTATAGCATATGATTAAGTTCCATGTCTACAATCGTAGCATATGCTTAGTTCCATGTCTACAATTATAGCATATGAGTAAGTTCCATGGCTACAATCATAGCATATGCTTAGTTCCAGGTCTACAATCATAGCATATGAGTAAGTTCCATGGCTACAATCATAGCAAATGCTTAGTTCCATGTCTACAATAATAGCATATGATTAAGTTCCATGTCTACAATCATAGCATATGAGTAAGTTCCATGTCTACAATTATAGCATATGATTAAGTTCCATGGCAACAATCATAGCAAATGCTTAGTTCCATGTCTACAATTATAGCATATGATTAAGTTCCATGTCTACAATCATAGCATATGAGTAAGTTCCATGTCTACAATTATAGCATATGATTAAGTTCCATGGCTACAATCATAGCATATGAGTAAGTTCCATGTCTACAATTATAGCATATGATTAAGTTCCATGTCTACAATTATAGCATATGAGTAAATCCCATGTCTACAATCATAGCATATGCTTAGTTCCATGTCTACAATTATAGCATATGATTAAGTTCCACGTCTACAATCATAGCATATGCTTAGTTCCATGTCTACAATCATAGCATACGCTTAAGTTCCATGTCTACAATTATAGCATATGAGTAAGTTCCATGGCTACAATCATTGCATATGCTTAGTTCCAGGTCTACAATCATAGCATATGAGTAAGTTCCATGGCTACAATCATAGCAAATGCTTAGTTCCATGTCTACAATTATAGCATATGAGTAAGTTCCATGTCTACAATCATAGCATACGCTTAAGTTCCATGTCTACAATCATAGCATATGACTAAGTTCCATGTCTACAATCATAGCATACGCTTAAGTTCCATGTCTACAATTATAGCATATGAGTAAGTTCCATGTCTACAATCATAGCATACGCTTAAGTTCCATGGCTACAATCATAGCATATGCTTAGTTCCATGTCTACAATCATAGCATACGCTTAAGTTCCATGTCTACAATTATAGCATATGAGTAAGTTCCATGGCTACAATCATAGCATATGCTTAAGTTCCATGTCTACAATTATAGCATATGAGTAAGTTCCATGGCTAAAATCATAGCATATGATTAAGTTCCATGTCTACAATCACAGCTTGTTGATTAAGTTCCATGTCTACAATAATAGCATGATCAACTTGATGTATTTCATTTCACACAGGGATATATAGAAAAGGAAATACATTTTTGATTCTTCTAACAATAATTTATAAATTGTGTTTTAGCTTATTTTGGCATCAACTGCTACCATCTTTAAACTCAGTATTCACATTTCTTAAATTATCTCCTAGCAATGTATATTACAATATCAAAAGCATGAACATCCATTACAAGCAATACCTTAACAACATTGAATGTACAATGCCAGTAATGTATATACATGTACATGTACATGAATCCTATATGAAAATAATACCAATAAAGCTCTTTCACAAATATGCAACAAAATATAATTTAAATTGCAATCAATTTTGAACATAAAAGTTAAACCACCAGTCACCTGAATTTAACACTACTTGAATGTCGTCATATAATACAAATGCTTTCTTAGACCTATAATAATACTACTACATGTACCTTGCTGCATCTACATTAAAATAATGCCCTTTATGTTTAGGAGATGCAATAAGCTGATAAACAATGTCACTGTCCAAGTCTGGACAAAAACTTAAATTAAAGTAATACAACATCCATGCAGGAATAAAAGCAATATTTCGAAACATATCCTGCTGTCCCCTTAAAGACATTGACATTCATGAAACTGCCTGGGAAGTATGAGTTTGTAATGGTTGTTTGGGTTGATTTGTTATGGTTGTTTGGGTTGCTTTGTTATGGTTGTTTGGGTTGCTTTGTTATGGTTGTTTGGGTTGCTTTGTTATGGTTGTTTGGGTTGATTTGTTATGGTTGTTTGGGTTGATTTGTTATGGTTGTTTGGGTTGATTTTTTATGGTTGTTTGGGATGAATTGTCATAGTTGTTTGGGTTGATTTGTTATGGTTGTTTGGGATGAATTGTCATAGTTGTTTGGGTTGATTTGTCACGGTTGTTTAGGTTGCTTTCCCATGGTTGTCACTTGTTACTTTTAGGGTTGATTTATCATCAATGTGTGAATTGACTGTTCATGGATGTGGGAATTGATTTATCACAGATATATGAGTTGATATTCTGTTGCTATATCAAAGATTTGATCAGACACGTTCCCGTTATTATTTTCTCAAGGTTTGGCAAGGAGGATTGGAAGCTGTTAATCAAACTCGATACTCCATTGCCCTGCATGGACCAATTCGGTAACAATATTACTCATATTTTGAAGACTAGAACTGCTGAGGAAGCTTGAATACAACCAAAATATTTGTTATGACCATCTTCCAATGAAATACTTGGTCCACAGAGAACCTTATAGAAGTATGTTTACAAAATTGTTCCACTACAGGCAACAGAGCATTGAGTTTGAATAATATCTGCCAATCCTTCTTGAGGTTTTGGTTCCCAAGCTGCGAATGATAGTTAGACATGACAAGGGGCATAGGGTTGCCAGTACTGTTGGAACTTGTCTAAAATTACTTGTTCCCTAAAAATACTGTTATGGGTTGGTACATGTATATCTGTTATGTTATTTGGGGTCATTGTCAAATAATGCATAATTTTCAAATAATATGTGGCTGGACATGGTGGTGACAAAGACAGAATGTCACAGCCTTATGAGACTCTATCTAGAGTCTTAGTGCGACCATATCTACACCACTAATTCCCATCACCTTTTACACCAGAGACAATGAATAAAATCATATGACAAGACACCGATATTCTGACCAACTCCCCATATGTACTAACGACATCACGAGCAGTAAAAGCATTCATTTATATAATACTGAGTATACATTCATGCTTACACCATGGACCATGCATGTTCCTATCTAACAGTTACTTACGAGGAACCTGTCGAGGTAATTGAGCTGTGTCTAGATTGGGCTCACCCCCTTGGGCATGAATCATTTGTGGGGACATTGGTTCATCCATAGGACTAAACTTGGGGGTATCCAATGCAAAGGGTGTTTCTGTTACACAACCATGCAGAAGAAAACATGTTCAGAATTAGTTTTCTGTTTAATGTTCAAAATTAATCATGACCTTCTGGACAAAATGCATTTGAAATGGTGATAACTCCAAATGATTGACAAATTGGGTCAAACTAATTTACGTCTCGCGCATGCGCAATTATCAATTAAGCGTTAATATTAATCCTAATATTTATCCCAGTCATAATTAACCTCATTTAAAAGTTTAAATTGACCACATATTACTATTCTATACTCAGAAATCATTGCATAATATGAAGATTATCACTCGAAATCGTGAAATAACTTGATAACTGCTGGAATTCCGGGGAATTCCCTTGTTTTTATGATCGCAGCTTAGAATTTGAACAAAGGCCGGTGATTTTAGATTTCTCAACTTTGCTGCTAGTATTTACGTGTTATAATTGAAGATCAAATTCATCGAAGTAACTTTTTGAATTATCGATATGAACTTGATACAATGTACAATGAATATAACATGTTTGTACTTGGAAATGAAAAGAAAACGTGATTTGAAATTGAAAGCGAATTTAAAAAAACAACTCACCGTCATCCGGATCGGGCATGCTTGGTGATTCGGACATTTTCTAGGGTTTTCTTACACCCCTTGGTGAAACTTATGATGTCCTTTTATTCTTCAGTATTTGTTGCAATTGTATAATCATAGATTTAGTAGCTCGGTGTCCAACTTACGGCATAAAATTATAAAAAATTTAAGGGTAACTCGCACGTCTTATACCTATGCCGAAAACAGAAATGAAGTCCATTGTGCGCATGCGCACTATGCAAACTTTTGCGGGAAATTTGAAAAATAGATCATGTTCACAACTCTGATATGTCAAAAGGCCCTCGCCCTCGTTGAGCTTCGGCTTTTGTGAAAACTAACCATAATTTCAAAAAACTTCACATTTTAATCAAAAGTGCTTGAGATTTTAAACATAATTCTTTAAAAACTTAATGCGGTAAGACTTATATCAACTCAAATTCTAATACATGTAATAGAAATCTAACAGTTCACGCTTAGGCCTAATCAAATAGAGATTACACATTTGGGCAAGTTATCATGAGTCTTTCTTACCTAATTTCTTTATTCTTGATATAAAATCAGTTTTGAGAATTCTTTTTTGGATTTCAATAAAGAAATAACCCCGGGGTAGATAGACATGTCTTGCCCGTAGCCAGCTTTTACCAGGAGGGGGAGCTTTTTTCCAGGGGGGGGGGAGCTTTTTCACAATTTTGGCTAAAAATCATGCTTCCGCTCCCCCAGCTCCCCCTCTGGCTACGTCATCAAGCTCTTTCGAATGACTGTAGAAATACAGACTACCCTGTTTTCGAACACCTCAAATCTGAACAGAAATGTCAATGCTTTTTTCCATCTCAAATATATTTGTTTATCTGACTAGACTACCATATTAAAAAACAACACTTTTGGATGGCCGCAGTTTACTCCTGTGGCCGAAGAATAAGGTAAGCTGCAGTGGTGTTTGGATTTGATAAGTTCTAGGATGAAGAAAAGAATCCTTGTAACATTATTTTGGATGAAGAAAAGAACTCTAGGACTGAGAAGAAATAAATAACTTGGGATTGATAAAGCTTTGGACCATTTTAGAGCAATCATTATTTGCATTCATTGAAAGATGTCGCACATTTCTATGTAAAATGAATTAATGATCGCTCCCTCTATTATTTGAACAATCAAAATGCACAGTTCATTCAGTCCGTATATATTTCAATTAACAATTTTTAAAACATATTGAAACAAACGTATTTTGCAAACTTCTCATATTATTGATGCGTAAACATTGATGTCTAAAAAAAAAAAAGATACATTAAGAACAAATTTGACCAAGTATCAACGAATTAAAGGTACGGGATATGTGCATTTTACAAGCGTAACCAATGTAAACATTTTTTAACAATTTTGCAATTTTAGTCTACAGTTGGGGACATAAATAAATGACAGGTGGATTTGCTGAAGTGAGGATTTCCCATGTTAAAAATAAGAGAATTTACAAGAGGCCATAAATCAGAGGATGAGATTATACAAAATGTAAAATATACAAATTTTAAGGGATATGTATCTAGACAATATTGGAAATTATGGGCTTTCAGACCACCATAATTAGGAAATGGTGATCGAAAATCGACCTGTCATTTATTTTTGTCCCCAACTGTAGTAGTAGATCTAGTAGTCTAGTCTATATATTATAATAGATAGACTTATAACAAATCTCCTAAAATTACATTCGTGAGATGTGAAACTTGACATTCAACAGGAAACTAGAACTAGTGCTGTTTTTTCATGTTTTCTCTTGTGACTGTCTCTGGTGTTTTTGTAGATTTATTTTTGTTTTTTCTTAAAATCACTAAAGTTCCTTAGCTTGTAACTTATTTACATTTAAAGTTTATTTGCGTTAGACAATAAAATCTTTTTGATCAAGAAGGTTGTAAAAGCGTAGTTCAACCTTTTGTTGATGTCTGGTCGAGCTCTGTTACTTCCTGACATGACCCGAGCTATTTAAAGTTTGGAACATAAATAATGACTAACACTATGAAAAAGACATTCTGTCACACATATAATAAATTCCTTCCTCAGTGAATTGAGTGCTCTATTTTCTCCGACTGGAAAGTACATTAAATGAAGTGGAATTTGTGTCCATCATGACAATTAGGAACTTAAAAATTTGAAGTGATTTTCACATGTCAATCCAGACTCTTCAAATGTTGAGGTGATTTTGGAGCCTGATTACGCCGCAAGGAGGATTGGCTCCCAGAATGCAACGTAACAGCTTTCAAAATGCAGTTCCGCCATTCTGAAATCTGTCACGGTTAAATAAGGTTAACTGATGTTGCATTCTGGGAGCCAATCCTCCTTGGATCACAACAATGACGATCCATGAAAACATTCATTCGGTTTGGTAGGAATTTATCTATCATTTACAGGTATGAACTACTTAGAGTGAACGGGGATTATTTTTCTGCCATGTGGAGAAGTTTGAGACATAAAACTTAGAATTTAGCACATTGTGACAACTTTTGATGGTTGAGCTTTATTAAAGCTTTCCAGTGTGGGTCTCGGGGTAGTTATCAGAAATTTACACAAAACGGTAGAGATTAAAAGGTGGATTGGATCGAGTGGATTGGATTCATGTAAAAGGTGGATTGGATCGGGAATCTTCAAAATGTCGAATTTCTTATAAAAATAATTCTGTTGATCTCCCTCTTAACAATTTCCCTCTACAGTATTACAGGTCCCTTTTGAGAAATCAGAACAAAGCAATGACAAATACATACTCCAATTAGTTCATGGACACTCTTAAGTATTTAACTGCTTTCCTTGTAAATCAACTTTTGTAAGACATAGATCTTTAGAAAAAGAAAACCTGTCATTCAAATTGATGTGTGAATGTTCACAAAGCATTTCTGGCACGTTCAGTTTGGATTGAAAACGGATGATATGGATCTTCAAACCAGTCTGCCTTATGATTTATGAAATGTCTCAAATTACACTTGGAATGAATAAGATCGTATATCAGAAAGCGGGTACCAGGTCATCCTTCTAGCCCACCCAAGCAAAATAATATTACATCTATTATTTGACATTGTGCAAGTGAAGAGAGCACCAATCTTCCTAGAGGGAGATCAATAGAATTTTTTTAAAGGAAAATCCATATTTTGAAGATAGCCAATCCAATCCACCTTTTACATGAATCCAATCCACTCGATCCAATCCACCTTTTAATCTTTACCCACAAAACTGTACCTGGGAAGTTATCAGTTAGTAAAGCAGTGGCGTAGGAACAATGTACGCCAAAACGCCAGTGCGTAGTGTTGAAAAGTGAGAATAAAAAAGACTTTTTAATTTTCCTATGCTCTTTAGTCATATTTTCTCATTGTTTAAATTGTAAAAGTAATCTCGAGCACACTAGCCTAAAGAAATGTTTTGTGGATACCATATCATTATTGGTCTGTCTGGCAAATATCATTTAACAGATTGAATTCCCTTACCAACATGCTTTATTTCATGAAAATCGAGCCACTGTTGACTGTCTTATAAATACAATTTCGCCAAATATTCGTGAATCGCGTTCTCTTCACGAATTTGAGAGGAAAACTGTTTTTTTTCAAAAACTACTTGATGAATACCTTTGACATTTTTTCTGCATTTTCCGTAATGCTTATGCTAACTATGGTTTCATATAATTATAATGATGAACCTCTTTAAAAGATGTATATTTTTTTTATTCTCCCCTACCCCAATTTTTCAATTTCACTATCGATTTATATTCCGTTGCTATGCAAAATCATTTTCTTACTAAATCACTAATTGTTATTGGTAGTACTTTTTGAAATATGGATGTAAAGACAAAAACAACTTGAAAATGCTGATTATTCAATTACACGTTCCATTGATTTCAGTTCTAGAAAAGCGATAACCTAGTTTTTTTCATTTGAAAAATAATAGATTCTTGTTTTATAACATTTTTTGGCATCCCTTAAGTCACGTTGACCTCGATTTGACCTTTGTGGTGGGTGTGTTTATTTGTTTCATTGATCACGAATGCGTTTCTTTATATCAATTGATCAAACTAGTTTCTTTAATCTGTACGAATTGTATTGCACGGTACACGATGGAATCCGACAATACTATATATCTTAATTCAATTATTCGAAAATGATTAAAAAATCTCTAATTGTTTTTTGGAAATTGGTCGTCTCAATCGTTCGAGACATTAGCAAAGTGAGAATGATTTGTGTCGAGATTTAAAAGATAGGCTTTCCAAGGTGATTTTAAATGATGAAAATCATTCGAACATTTTAAAGCACATTAAAAAGGTATCGGGGATTTAAAGCTTGCATATGAAATCGAAACGCCAACCTATACGTATGACCAATCGCCCATACAACTGCATCGCTTAAGTATTTCCGTTCACATTTAGGTTGTGTATATTGCAAGCTTAAAATCTCTGTTACCATAAAATGACGTTTTACGAGCATAATATAGGCGTTTTGATATGGAATATTGACACAATTGTTTCATATTTTTTGGCGGGACTTTTGGCGTAGTGTTGAATTTACACCTTCCTACGCCCCTGTAAAGTACATGTTTGTGTTAGCACCCCCACTCTGTAGATCTGGATTTGAATTGCAAGTTTTGGTCTTATTTCCAAACAAAAATTCAAAACACAAGAAGTGGTTAGATATTAGTTCAAATCTTTTGGATCGCTGATATGAATTTATATTCAGTTATAGTGTCAGAACATAACAACATTTTTAAAGTCCTTGATCAACGCCGATATAGAGCTGGTACCCTAAGAGCCAATCTTCCTTCGCTGCACCTTATAGTAATGGTACCATGTTGGTGTCAGATAATATTAAAGGCACATTTCTGATGCTCTTAGTCACATTAGCATCATCTCAAAATCTCTCTTGCAGTACTCTTGATTGTAGAGCCATCTTCCCACTGTCAGGTACCTGCAATGTCAATCAATTCATTGTAACCAGTGCAAAGTTCACTTTTTCAATCAAAACATGTCATCTACCTAGAGTCATGGAACTAGGCTATAGTGAACATTTTTTGCAAGAATATCCGCTTACTATGATACACAGATTCTACATGTACCACATTGTATCTCTACGATGGCACATGGCATTTGGGTTTCGAGGGTGCAACGGTCATGTATATTTCATTTTCTATTTATAACCTGTTTTGCATATTGCAGATAGCAACACACCCTACTGCCCATACTGTTTGTATTGATGGACTGTGAGTAATGGCTAATAGATATGACTGATAACAACCAAAGAATCGGATATCAAGGCCTTGAATCTTTATCAGCGTCTCCTCGATCTTTAGGGAGTCCAAATCATGATTTCCCAAGAGGGCCTCCCGGAAGTCCCAATTACCCGGATTCTCCTACTAGACCCCCACAAAGCCCAATGCGGACACACTCTGCATCTCCACGACCACCAAGTAGTGCGAGAACAAGATCAAGACCAAAAAGCAGCCGTTACAGATTAAGAGCGGCATCTTTGGATTTAGGTATGCCATATAATCAAGATTAAGATTTTAAATGTAGCTCCTCCGCCAGATATACAATTCTTTGTTATGCCCTTCTGTTTTGAACATGATACTGATACTAATTCATTATATTAATGATAATGTGTATCTCTTAGGTAATGATGTAAATGATTCTTTCCATTGTTTTTTTCAACATTTATTGCTTTTTATATTTGCCCACATTAGTCATGCAAAACACTTGAACTTAATGACATGTACTTTTAGATGCGGCATCTCAAATGCATACACCAAGTCCACCAGCAACTCGACCAACGTCATCATTCTCCCGCCATCCAGCACTGCCCCCTATTGGCACTAAAATTGCTCCTGTTGATGATATCATTGATAAGATGAATGATATGGATCTCAAATCTATTCAACAAGATGTTAAAAAACTACAAGCTTTGGAATCTTCCAATTACAATGCCAGTCATACCCATGATACACAAACTGAAGCCTTATCACTATGCTCAGATAATTTAGTCACTCAGCCATGTCAGCCTGTGGAATCTCCATTAAAACAATCTTATGATCTGCCAACTGAGCCATCAGAGAATGAAGAGAGAATTTTGTTAGCTGTTAAATTATCTGATGGGAAAAGACTACAGCGTTACTTCCGTAAATCAGAAACCTTCTATTTAATTCTACAATTTGCCTCTATGGAATGCGACAAAGATTTACTAGGCTGTAAACTGGTGGATAATGCTACCAGGACAACATTTGATGATACAAGTACTAAAATAAATGATGCAGGTCTGGCTGATAGAACAATGCTTTATATTGAAATTCCAGATGATTAAGTGGATTTTAATTAAATTTAAATGGCTAATAATTAATGTACTGTAACAATTACTCATCATATCGCATCAAGCCCCTATAATGTCCCCCTCTCACCATTCTCTCTCATAACTCAGAGAGGGAATGCAAGAGGGACTTCAAGGGCTGGATGCAAAACTACTGGTATGACTTTCGACAGAATGTTATTCTCCAGAGAATGTGTAAGATCAACTACACATGTTTTTTAACAGAGTTTTGAAATTGTTCCCAGAATTTTGACATTTTCTTTTAAACCTACCGTAGTATCAGATCTATCAAGGAGTATTCAATTTTAGAATATTTCTGGCTCATATCATTCTTTGTCATTTCTATTTTTTAAAAATCCTGAAAGCTTATACTGTACTTTATTTGTGTAAAATCTACTATTAAATATGGTTACCATTTTTATTATTTGGGAGAATTTAAACATCGTTCCCAATTTTTAGACATTTGGTCGAGCCAGTTGTAAATTTTTTTAGTTTTACTCAAATAAAGTATACGCTTTGGGGATTTACAATCTCCAATATATAATAGTATCTCTCAAAAGATCCATGATATTATGTTATCAATTGGTGAAGTTGAAGTTTTACTCATTAATCCATCTATTAGTAGAGGTCAACTGTACATGTTGCTTGTAATTTTGATCTAATTCTCCTTTTTTAAAAGGAACCAGTCAGCGAAGTTGGAGGAATACATGCTCAATACATGCTCATTAACTATATATACTCAAGTGAGATCAGTGATTTATTGTAAACTGAAAGAGTGAAGACAAAGCTCTCTTTAAAGAAGTGAAGTCGAAAGAATGCAAAGGGTATGTATGAATGTGGAGTTCAAATTAATATGATACCATTTTGACTTTAAGCTTTGAAAATACTGATAAAAATCAAGATTATTGCTTGTTCTATCTAGTCTATCACATCTGGTTGGTGTTTGTCTTTTTGTGACTCAACTGTCAAGGAAATTCTCATTTTTGTCCATTCTTTACGATTATGTTTTGTTATTAGTGGGAACTTTGCTTTGAAATATATGACAGTGGTGTATGTTGCTGAGGACATGCACAATGAAATGGGCAAATATTATCATCTTTATCCGTCCATTTTGGAGAAGTTATAAATTCATGTATGAAACATTTATTGTTTATGTTTATTTTACAATTTTATTGCATGCATATTGCATAATCTGATAAAAAACAGTTTTATTTTTAAGTATTGACTGAATTACTTATTGTATGTTTTAAAGTTAACCATAATTAATATTGTTTATAAGGTATTTTCAGAGTATTTATCAATTATAAACTGAATTATACTGCTTCTCTTTTGTGCTTAATTTATGAACTACATAAATTATTTGACTGTAAACTTGGAAAAAGTGCTATTAAATGAAAGTGCCAACTGCCAATTTATTTTTTGTGTTTGCTTAATTTCACACAACCTCATCACACAATTTCAAGATACTGACATACACAGAAAAATATACAATTAAATTCTCTAGGTTTATTATGTTATTCAAGGACCTGGAAACCACATTCATGATTTGCAGTAAGTTAACATGTAGATTGTACAAATAGTATATTAACAAATGTGAAAATAAGCTTGTTAGTACTCAAGAACAAGCATCACACATTTTAGATACTCTCACATTTTCAACATTTTAGCCACTTAGAGAATGTCAGACATTTGGCATTTTAGATAAATAGTTGAAGGTTTTCATGCGTCCAGTATATTCCCTACAACCAAGTTTCCTGTTTCATCCACATCCAGGCACTGTTTTTTTTTCAATCCAATCATTCTTGGTCACTGCATCACTGGAACAGTCCCTGGGAGTTAATCATGTGGATACTAGTAGACTAATTCAATCTGTAATCAAAATGTTCCCGAATTTATCACTACATGCTCCTCTTGGGTTGAATGCAATGAATGTCCCTTTGCCATTGTATGTAAACAGAAAGTGTCCATCACAATCAAATATGTTGACGCAATCAGCTGTGCGATCTGAGACAATGATGTCATAGTTTGTATTTTAAAGGGTGCTGGGAAATCTTTTCATCATAGAGTGAAACAAACAAAAATCTGCGTCACACATTTCCAGAATCAGAAACAGTGACTATGTCACTACAAATTGGTTGTGACTTTTTACAGTTAGTTCCCAACAGACATCCCCTCGGGAATAAAGATATTGAGCAGCCCTCGTATTATAAATCATAAACTCTGTTTTCTGTCTTAAAGTATGCCACAAGCCTTCCCTTTGGCATGTTTGACTTGTAATAGTTCCCTACTGGTTCATTCCTGGTGTTAATTCACAGTTCCATAAGCCATAACTGCTAATTCACCTTTTTTCTTTATGTAATCAATAGATGTTTGTTGCATAAAATAACTAGTCATTTTTTCTTATCCTGCTATTGACTGCTACTTTAAATCACTTGGAAAATATTATGAATGGTTGGTGTCTTTGGACCCTCTGAGAACATTATTTTGGCTAGTATATAAAACCCACTATATAATACCCATATTCAATCCTTTGCAGTAAATAACATCTAGGCTATATAAGGAACCCAAGCTATCATGTCAGTTTACATAAGGAGACCTTATATTATATTTTTCTCATTGCTAACATTGTATTTATTTCCCATGTTATTGTTCTCATCTGATCTATTATCTGCTTCAGTTCTCTGTTCCTTGTTGCTATCTGTTCTTTAATCTCTCTCGCCTCATCACTTGCATACTTCATAGCATCATTAACTTTAGCCCTTTCCCCAGTCACTTCCCCATTTTCTAACATAGGGATGAGATTTTCAATTTGAGTCGTGTTATACTGGCTTGTTTCTTGATTAACAGCATCGTGTACAAGACGCAATTTCCTAAAGCTGTCCTCCATGTGTTTCATTGTCTCTTCAAGCTTTGCTTTGCGCTCTTGGTATGCATGTCCCGATGAAGCCACTCCTTGAGGGAACTGAATCTGTTTGAGAATTTGGAAAATATCCATAGTCTTTTGTACAATTTCTTGTACAGTCTCTTGACCTATTTTACATAATGTTGCCATGTTAACCTCTTTTGCTGGTGAGCCAAATTGTTGTTGCTGTTGTTGTTGCTGCTGTTGTTGTTGCATCATGGGCAAAGAGCCAGCATGCGGAGACATTTGTGTTTGAAAGTGTGGTCGAGGTTGCATTTGTTGCTGATAAGGGGGCTGTGGGTAGCCTCCTGCTGCCATGGCTGTTTCTGAAAATACATGTATTCACAATGAATCAATAGGTAACAACTCTATAATAATGGCACCGTTGCATTTCTCAAAATTTAATTATAATGAGATCATACAGGAACACAGGGAACAAGAAATCAGCAACTCCACTGAGTAGCAAATCCAATGTACACTATATAAATCATGAATCTGAAGTCACAATTACATGATTATTTGCATACATGTTGATAATTTAATATAAAATGAAATTCATCGTAATTATGTCAATAATGAAACTGAACATTCCCCTACAAATTATATTTTTATTGGAATGTGGTCTTGAATAATAACCCATAATGCAATACTCAAAGAGGATACTTTGATACCTCTTTTCCTTGTTGGTCTTTTTTGTTTACTTTAAATGAGATTATTTCTTAATCATGTTTCCTGTTCTAATCATATTGAAAACTGATTTTTCTTCAAGATAGTGTCCCGCGAAATCCCTAGACTGTATCCTTCTTCTGAATAAATTCAGACTGTAAGTCACCTATTGTAAAATGTGGTGTTGTATAAATGTAACAAATAAGTTAATGATTATCTTATATAGAACTTACAATATTATTTTTTCGTAATTTTTCCTCTTACTGAAGATATTCATGAAATATACAGACGCTTCTTGTAACGAAGGCATTGATTAGGTCAAGCCATTTTGGCAATTCCAATTCAGTCTGTTGGATACATACTCGCGAAATCCCGCTTTAGGGCACTTTGTTTAAAATATCTGTCCCTCTGTGAAGTATTTTGTGGTTACTTTTGTGTGTTAACTGTCCCCCAATTTGCGTATATATCTCTCGAATGGTCCCACAAAATCCTGCAATTTTGATAAAAAAATTTGGCAAATTTAGGTGGATGTCACGCAAAATCCTGTGAATTTAAGGCACTGGGCCTAAAAAATCTGTCCTGCAAGAATATCTTTTGGGGTTGACAATACTGGTGGTGGGGAAGGAGCTGGTCAATATCCAATAGACTGAATTTCCTGAGAATTCAGTCTATTGATCATTATGTCCCTCCTGTGGGAAAAAACAGGAAATTTCCTGCACACAATTATCAATTTTAGGAAACTTAATTTCTCAAAAATAAGCATTATAACAATTCAATTAAGTAGTAAGGTACAATTAAATGCTATAAAAAGTAACACAGCATATTGTCAAATGGAGGTAAAGCTAGGAGAAGTAACAAATATGCAAATTAATTTTACCAATCGGCCAAACACGATACAGATAGTGACTGTGTAAACAGAAAGTGACTGTATAAATAGATAGTGGCTGTATAAACAGAAAGTGACTGAATATATATACAGTGATTAAATATTATAATTTTAATTTCTTCTTTTATGAGAGAGACAATCAAGACATACAATATATATAAAATAATGGAATACAAAATCTGCGCAACAAGTGTACATTGAAGCACATGAGAGAGCACAAAGAGAATTTACAGTACACGAGACGAACTGCCGAGGAAACAGCGGCTTATGCAACACAACAACAACAAAATGTGGGCTATAGTCTGAATATTTTCATTCCAAATTTCAAAAAAAATTCAGACTAGATCTAGTGGATATAGTCTAGGGAAGGAGCATAGATATTTGGCAGATCATTTTGAAGTACAGTAGGATCATATCAACCCTGAGCTTCTGATCATACAACAAAAGAATCTGGCCGGGATCTATGGGAAGGAATGATTCAAATTTGAAAAATAACATGTGACCCTATTAGTATATTGAGGGTTGCAGCAAAATTCCAAACATCAACATGCACCCTGGAGAGATGGAGAGTGCGCATGCGCGGGACAAAAACCACTTTTCAAAATCTCCGCAGATATTTATGATTTAGAGATGATATAGACTCTATTTCAACACAAATATTGTTTAAAACTACTGGTAGTAGATCGAGAACGACTTAGCTCAGGGAAAAATCGAAAGTTCAACAATCCCAGACGGAAATCAGAGGTGTTTCGACGAAACGTAAAAACGATTCCAGCCTCAAGGGCGACGCCATCTTGGAATCCCCGATTGCTGATTGTAGAGCTTAGACAAAGATTTACAGTGCAGACTCCGTGTACCCAGGTCATTTTTGGTATATTAAAAGCAATTATGTCAGTCTAGTTGGAAAAATTTAACACCAGAACTTCTTACCTGACTGTACCTTAGACCCAAGATCTCACTTTATTGTCCCTGTCTATCACTATATCACTTGGCCTAAGATCATTTAGGCTAGGATTAATTTCTTAATCTAAACATATCCACGTTGGTCAACAAACAAACATTTGTGAATTAAGACCAATAATATTTGATAATATTTTCTACCTACAGGTGTGACAAAACAAACAATTCAGCGTAACTGTTGGACGGTATGTTATATAGATAGCGCTTTAGTACTCCTTTCTTAGATTAGTTTAGGTGTTATCCTGCTTGTAGCCTAGCCCAACATCTGCTTTTTGGCTTCTTAGGTGCTTTGTATTAGCTTTGGGCCTAGATTAACACCTGCTTTAACTGTAGTGTACTGCTTTAGAGTAGACTAACACCTGCTTGAATGCTTCTATATGAAAATGCAGTATGTGTATGAGTGTAGTGTTCTTATTTGAGCGTAACACCTGCTTGGAAGCCGATGTTGTCATATGCTGTGTATATAATCTTTGTTACTAATAACTGCTCGTAACAACATAAACATTATAAGTCATTCAGACTATTTCTAGGCATATGTCCATGAATATCAACTATATGTATATAATATGTAAATAGTGTATATAACTTGTTACTGCATTACATAGTTTACTTTACGGAAAACGTAAAATTTTATATCTATTATCTATACAGAGTCTATTTTTACTAGTATTCATATATATTAACAACTGTTGCAAAATCATATGACCCATACTAGTCTGGAATGCCACCAAAAAGTAAAAAAGTGAAAAACAAGCTAAAGTCTTCAAAATTGGACAAATGTCCATGCAACAAAGATTGCGATAGCCTTTATCTTAACTGCTCAAATTGTGATCAATGGTGGCACTCGGACTGTTTGGGGCTGGGGAAAACTAAGGAAGAATGTGAAATATTGGCAGTATATGCTAAATCAGATACAGTTTTTAACTGTCCCTACTGTATTATCAATAGTATAAATCTCAATACACCTCTAAAACCTCAAATACCTGAACACAAAGAGGTGAGACAGTCAACATCGACAGAGAAATTAAAAAATCATACATCTAGCAAGAGGAGCAAAGACTCAACCGAGGAAAAAAATCTTGGGAAGAACATAATTATTATTGATAACATCAAAAACCCAGGGCACTTTAAAGACAGTGCATCAATCAAAAAAGAAATTAACAAATTCAAACCCTCAATAAAAATTACCCATTGTTATCAACTTTGTAGAGGTGGCATCGCCATACATTTAGCAGAACCTGATCAGCGCAACATTCTCTTAAGCAACTGGCCGGAAGCCGCTTTTGGAGGGTGTGGAAAAGACTTGGACATCCACGACAATACACCAGCACCACGGTGCATACTCAGGAACGTCAACACTAAGATATCTACTGAGAAGGTAACAACAACATTACAAGAAATAACAGGGGCACCTGTAAGTATCAGGAGGCTCAAATATAAAGACAGTGGAAAGGCTATGCCAATAGTGGTAGCCACATGTAAAAATCACTCAGATATTGCCACATTATTTAAGACCAAAATAGTCTTACAAAATAAGGAATTGCTGGTGCAAGCCATAACCACAGCTAAACATAAAATTACAAGGTGTTTTCACTGCCAATCTTTCGGCCACGTGGCTAGGGGTTGCTCCAGCAAAGCTAAGTGTGAAAATTGTGCCGGAGCTCACAAGGGTAAATGCTCAAATCCCACAAAGTGCTCAAACTGTGGGGAAAAACACAAGGCAAGCTCTATAAATTGCCCCATATACAAAGAAATAAAACTCCAAAGGAGTAAATATGAAATATAACTGCATGATTTACACTATACTGACTGCACTAACCACCCTCATACCAACTCCCAAAATGAATATTTTTCAAGCCAATATACAATCCATTAATACCTCTGCCAAATACATAAAAAACCTATCCCCAAATGCTTCAATATTTTGTCTCACGGAAATTTGGCATCCAAAATCTGAAAACATCGTATCAGCCGGTCTTAAAGACTGGTCTTGGATTAAATCTGTTCGGCAGAATAGGGAGGGCGGGGGTGCAGCCATTATAGCCTCTCCCAATACCAAAATTGTCAAACGTGATGATCTCATGAGGGATGATGTTGAAGCGGCATGGGCCAACATCTACACTAAGGACATTGCAATCCTTTTGTGCTCAGTATACATCCCTCCTGAGAACATCATAGCCTGGGAGAAATTTATTGCAATAGCCCACAAAGTCTTCAATGATGGTATCCCAATACTTTTTACTGGTGATTTCAATGCTAGACATCCCCTTTGGCATGACAGCGCCACTAATAAACTAGGGGATCAAGTTGCCAATTTCATACTTGCACATAATGCACACATATTCAATAACAAACAATACACCCGCAAAGATACCATCATTGATTTAACTTTTGGTTCGGGTTCTCTGTCATCTAGGATACAGGACTGGCAGGTGCGGGAGGAGATCTACCTGAGATCTGATCACAGGCTGATTTCCTTCAGGATCGGTAGGCCTGAGTCAGAGATGAAAAGAGAATACTTAGATCTTAAGAATACCAACTGGAAAAACTTTGAAAGAGAATGTGATATAAAATGTTCTGATTGGTTGCAGGATACCCTCCCCAACTCTAACGTGGAGGAATGCTACACTACACTGTGCTCCCTGATACACAAGGTCGTTGAAGAGAATATACCCAAAAAAACGGTGTGTAGCAGGAGCAAAGGGTGGTGGACACATGAACTGACCAATCAGGTAAAAAATCTTAGAAAAGCAAAACGTAATTATAATAGACGCAGTGATCCAGCCAACTGGGCTGTCTACGCCGGGCTTGCCGATCAGTTTGCCTCAGATGTCAAAGAATGTGAATCTCAGTATTGGGACAAATTGTTCGGGGAGCTCTGTGTGGGCAGACCGGAAGGCATATGGAAAACTGTCAATCAAACCCAAAATAAAAAAGCCAAAAAGATTGTACAGCCAATAAAATCTAAAGATGGGAGCACCATATTGCACACTGATGTGGATATCGCTCAGGCGATGGTCCAACAGTATGGTAAACAAAATCTTCCAGTACAAAGGTGTAAAGTATGGTGCTCACATGTTAATGACACAACCAATGAACTCATCAAATCTGAAAAAGAAAAAATGCTCAATCCCAATTACCACAAAATATGCTCCGAGGAGAATAGGGACATAACATTTACAGAAACGATTGAGGCAATCAACAGAACCCCAACCAACACAGCCCCTAGTCCCAGAGAGAAACTTCTGGGAATTGTCATCAAAAAAGGAGGCAACATGTTACATCGATCAATCTGGAAACTAGCACAGAAATGTTGGGAGGGGGGAGTCCTGCCCTCTGAATTCAAGATAGACCCCAAATCTATGCTTGGAAAACCCAACAAAAAAGACTACAACACTGAGAGATCATACAGGCCTATAACACTTGAATCTTTAATTGGGAAAATCCTGCAGAGAATAGTAAGTCCCCGGCTCTCATGGCGCTGTGAGGTTAACAACATATACTGCAGCCACCAAGACCCGTACAGAGAGCATAGGGGATGTTCTCAGACTGTCATCAGATTCATTCAGTCTGTACAGGCTGCTCTCAATAGAGGTGAAACTGTCATAGCTGCTGTATTAGATTATGAAAGCTGTTTTGAGCGGATCTGGCGTGAGGGACTGATTTACAAAATGGCTCAAAATGGCATTGGGGGAAGACTGCTCGTATACATCTCCCAGTACCTGTTCAACAGGCAGTTCTCCATCACTGCCAATGACCATACTACCAGTCTTATTACATCAACAGTGGGTATTCCTCAGGGATCTGTGCTATCCCCATCCCTCTGCAACATTTATACTGCGGATTCCATGGCTAATGTTTTATCTCATACGGCGGGATTTGCTGACGACAACACCATTTGGTCTAGTGGTGTTGACATAGCAGCCGTAGAACAGAGAATAAACAAAGACCTGGAGGAAATTGCAGGTAAATGGTGCAATAAGTGGAATATGGAGATAGCGCCGGAGAAATCAGAGGTACTCATTTTCACCCCACCGGGAAAAGCGAAACCTAACATCAGCATTCACTTCAGAAACAAGCAACTTCCAATAGTCCACTCAAAGAAAATCCTGGGAGTCACAGTCGATGATGAACTCAATTTCGAACAACACATCAACCTGAAAAAGAAGTCTGCATTCGGAGCACTGGCAGGTATTACTAACTTTACCAGCTGCAACTCTGGGTGCAGTGAGGAAGTTTTCACCACACTTTATAAGACACTGGTGATCCCTCACTTTGAAACTGGTATAAGTGCTATTGCTACAGCCACAGACAAAGCAGCAAAAGCTTACTCTTCAGTCCAACGTGCTGCTCTCCTAAAAACAACAGGATGTTTATCAACAGTGAGCACAGAATCACTGGAGGTGATAGCAGGAGTACTTCCCATAGATATACACCTAAGAGCCAGACAAGCTCAAGAGGCTGTCAGAATATTATCTCATAATATAACTGATCCTATTACTGAAGAATACCATCATTGGGCAGAATCTGGAAAACAAGAAAGAAAGCCTACCTGTTTTAACATCTTAGCAGCTAGACTCAGATTGCATAACTGTCCAACCAAACCAACCAACTATGTCAAACACAGCTACTACCAAGCAGATGCAGAGACCTTTTTACCAGCTGATGCCATCGTGCATACCGAGGATTTCAGCAGATCTAAATCCGAACAATCGCATCGCATCAACAACTTGCTGAATGATCTTGATGGCTCGGAGACTGTTATCTTCACAGACGGATCCGCTGAGGGCAACCCAGGACCAACTGGTGCTTCAGCCATTATTTACATCAGTGGCTTAAAGAGCAATCCGGTATGCCTGGAGGAACCAGTAGCCAGTCAGGGCAACAACTATACGGGAGAGGTCACTGCACTCAAGCTGGCTGTGGAATTCATTGTCAAAACAAGGACGTCAGATAAAGTTATCATACTTTCTGACTGCCAACCAGCTATAACAACTGCCTTTCTGAACACTAAACTCAAAAATATGATACCTGAAATTTTTAGCATAAGAAAAGCTTGCAAATCACTTTCCATGCTAAAGAAAAACTTAGAAATCTTCTGGGTACCTGGGCATCTAGGAATTGAGGGCAATGAAGTAGCTGATAATATTGCCAAAAAAGCTGCTAAAACAGCCACAACCCTCCCACCCCCAAAAACAACAAAAACAATGGCTTACAAATCAATTAAAAATAAGTCTATTGATAAATGGCAAACTAGGTATAGCTACTCTGATAAAGTCAACTTGATTCAAAACCTTATCCCACAAGTAAAAGTACAATCACAATCAGTAAAGTTGGGTAAAAGATACAGTCAGACAAAAGTCAATCAAATTATATCTGGGCACACCCGTCTCAATGGCCACTACTACAAAATCAACCCTGATCTCCCCTCTCCTAACTGTGAACACTGTAATTCACCAGAAACTTTGCATCATTTCTTGTTTCAGTGCAGCAAATACAGTACACAAAGGGAGGTTATGCTAGCAGCTATAGACACTGTACTACTAGGAGCCAACCACAACCCAACCATAGACTTACAAACCATCACAGGTCTTAACAAGAACTTAGACCAGCAAATCAACATAAAAATAGTAGAACGACTACAACAGTTCATACTATCTACTAATAGAATTTAACTACGTAAAACAACACTGAGATAGTGACTCTTAAGGTCTCATGGAAGTTAACAGGAAATGACAAAACAAAAAATGACAAAGCCATGCTGGATTTTGAAAATTTTTTGAACCAAGATAACAGAGTTCTGTTTGGACCTCCAGTCAGTTTAACTAGTTCCACATATCATTTACATGACCAGGAACACAATTGAAATAGTCAGAATGACCATAAACATGATAGAATAATCTTTTCAGCCCTCTGAAAATGTGACTAAAAAATAGCTAAGAGTCTGTGCTCAGGAAAGGTCACTGAACAGAATCTTTTGACTTTTTCAGAAAATGTGCCCAATATATTGCTCTAAATGATACAATTTAAACAAATTTGATATCATTCTTAGAAAAAGAAAAAATTAAAAAAAACTGAATTGAAAATCGATCCATTTTCCTTTTTACAACAGCCATTATTGTTTCAGACAATTTTTTTAAATTTCAAAGATTGTGTCATTTAGAGCAATATATTGGACACATTTTCTGAAAAAATCAAAAGATTCTGTTGATTGACCTTTCCTGAGCACCTACTTTTAGCTATTTTTCAGTCACATTTTCAGAGGGCTGAAAAGGTTATTTTATCATGTTTATGGTCATTCTGACCATTTCAATTGTGTTCCCAGTCATGTAAATGATATGTGGAACTAGTTAAACTGACTGGAGGTCCAAACAGAACTCTGTTATCTTGGTTCAAAAAATTTTCAAAATCCAGCATGGCTTTGTCATTTTTTGTTTTGTCATTTCCTGTTAACTTCCATGAGACCTTAAACAAAAGTTTTTTAATATAACTGAGAAATTGACTCTTTTAGATGAAGAAAACGAATGTAAAATGCGCACTCTCAAAAAGTAAATCAAAACAAGTATTAGTGAAAAGCACAAGTGATAACATAGTACAAAGTGAAACCAATGTATCTACAGTGCTGATATATAATAATATAGGGTGCGTTTTCAAACTAAAAAAAGTGTTCCTACCAAAATGAATTTGCCTATACATACCCCTGAAACTCTTATCTGATAGATAGAATGCACAAATAAAACAAAAGTTTTGCAATTATAGGTAAAAAGTTCTCTTGAAATTTCGAAGTGATTTTACCTGTTAATTCTGTCCATGGTCGGCCATTTTTGCGGAAGTTACACTGAAACGCAAACTCCATGAAACGAAACGAAATCACTAGAAAAAACATGGCACACATTGTGCGCATGTGCAGCAAAGTTTAGACCAATTAGATTATTTGATTATTTTGCGCACGTGAATTATTTGCTTCCGAGCACTTACAAGCTTACCACAATAAACAAACCTGGCAGAGACTACCCTTAGCCTACTTCATTTTGGCGAAATTTCAGCTCAAACTCGTGAAAAATGCATTATGCATACGCTGGTGTGAAGCCTTGGAGACACTCATTTTGGTAAATATGATTTATGGGGTATACTTTTCTGCAGTTTGTGGGAGTTTGGGACATTAAATGTTAAAATTCAAGAAAATATGCCAATTAAACGACTGATCAATTAATATATACCAGCACTGTAGTGACCAAAGGCAGCATTAGAGTGCCATCGTGTTAAGTACACTAACACGTAAATTGGATAAAGAAGAAGAACCCTGACCTAAACTGGCACTAAAAAACGATCTGGCCTATATATCTATAGCATAGCCTACCTAATCGAAGCACTGTGTCGCTTGGTAATTGTTCTAATATTAGTTTAAAATATAGCCTTTCTTTCCCATTTGCAAATAAAATAACTTCCGGTTCTTTTGTATCCTGAACGAAACAAGATTGGGCCTCAAAATTGTCATCCCGGGAATTTGATTTGAGTTATGGAATCAAACCAGAGGCAGATAATTTCACATTTCTTCCAGTCGAACATATCATATTATTAGGCTAAAATATTTGATAGAGTTACCCAGGAATAATGTCCGCTATTGGATCAAGATATCGATAATGTTTTGTTTCTCAATCTCACTGAAAGATGTCACTCCATGAACTTCAACTGCGCAAGTGCGTAAACTACATCCGCCGGCTGGTCGAAAGAGCCTCTCTCGATTTTTGGATATTTAGCAGCCAAAAACTAATCAAAATGGATCCACAGACATTTCTAGACATTTCTACAAAAGTCTTGAAGTTAAAGATGTTTCCGTATTTCCACATCGCTCACTACTCTTTGATGTGCATCATGGTTAGAGAGGACAATCATCCCCCTTCACCAGGATCACAAAGTAGGTCAACTTCAACTTTTAGCCTATTTAGATCATGTAGCCAACTTAGGTAGATACATCATATCAGTACTACATTCGGTCAGTTCAACAAATTGAAAAATCGTATTTAATGTCCACCATATTTCTTTCCAGTCTAAATACAACACAGATACGTCTGTTTTATAAAGTAATCTACGTTTTGAAAAGAAATCTGCTGAACAAATCGTAATATTTGGAATGTATTGATTCCCGGGAAATGTATTTTCGTTCCATGAAAGTTTAAAAATTATCGCGTCACACTCGTGTTATGTCACATCACGTGACTTTATTCGGTGCAGAGAACTGACGAAATATTGACGAAATGTTGTGCCCATTTCAACATCAAAATAACAAACAAAACACCACATTTACGTGTAAGTTATGTACTCTTTATTTCAAATAAATACTTGGGTTTACATGTAGCCCAATGTTTTGGTAGGATGGCTAATAGGGAATGAATAATAAGTGATGATTCAGCGACATGTTTTTTCCGGAGTAAATCCCCCCTTTTTAGCATTTGACCTCGTCTGGCCCAGATCTACGGGGTCGGGAGTAGATAACTGGGCCAGACGGGTTTGGTTAGGTAGATAGATACCAATGCTTTTTGATAATCAACTGTTTGGCAACTAAAAGTCCATGCCTGCATTTACTAGTCATATATTGTTATCCAATGCCAGGACTATAGTCCTGAGAACGTCTCAATCTTTTGCCTGTACGATTACAACATGGGAGAATTTTCTACGCCTCTTACACTTAAGATTCCAGCTTTTCTACGCCTCTAACACTTAAGATTCCAGTTTACTTCTACAAAACTTAGTTCTTCTCGATAATTGGAAATACATTCATCTTGTTGATGTACGACCGATACTTGATAGTTTAAAAAAACCTACCATCAATCGATTTCACTCATCCTTTTTGCATAAATATTCATTTATAATTGAAAATGTGGCTATTATGGTTTAATTAGTTCTGCTTGGCGGAACTATTAACTTAACATGCTGATGCCAAAATTACGATGGAGGTTAGCCTTAGTCAGGGCCAGAAGACATGTCAGATAAAAAACGAGGCCCCAGACTGGGTGTAACATTGTTGGACTAGTCTTAACTGTGACCTACATCATTGGCATCCATTTGTGCAACTTGCAAGTAATTGAGCATTGGAGTGACTGTAATACTCCTATTCAGGATAAGAGTTCAGGTGGTGATTTACATAAATATCTCCCATGATGCATTGCTTTGGAAGGGACAAATTTTCATTGGCCCGCCGAACCAGTTGATTACTCTGAACGTTTTTCAGCTTCTGATATTCAATCAGCCCTCAAGGATAGTTATATGATCCAATATTCAATAATCAGAAAGAAAATCAGAGATTCAAAGTAACATTATTTATATTTTTTCGATCTTCGATGGTGTCTGAGCAATTTCTGGGAAATCAGTGACGTTACTGGAATTGGACGGCATTTTCAACTACAGATTTATTCGGATTTGGGGATCATTGTTCAAATAGCCTTGTTATATATCTTAATTACATACATACCTATCGTTTGTGCAAATGCAACTCTACATAAATGTTTAATAGAGTCGCAGTGCGGCATTGAAAATAGCACCCCTCTGTAATCCAATGGGAAAGAACCCGGATGTACACGAAGTTGTACCATACATGAGAGCTCTTCAAACGGGAGGCAACTAAACTGAACTAAACAAAACGTTATCACATATTAGAGTATTGTAATTGTTGGTCAAGTGAATATTTTTTCTTCCAATATGGCGGCCTTTGCTCCAATGGCGTAGCATCATATAGGCATAAAACGCCATGGCGTACTCTCAAAATTTAGAGAAAAGTTTTCCAAATGACCTAACTATAGGAAATGCTGTAATACTGAGTAATCTTCTGAATTGTAATATTTGGGATGTGTTGATTCCATGGAAATGTATTTTATTATGTCACCACCAAAAAGTGGTGACATATTGTTGTGGTCTCCGTTTTTTGTGACGAAGGTTGGTGATGGTGATCGGTGGTTGGCGTCTGTAACAATTCTAAAAACTTCCAATAACTTGACAAATACTGTTTAGACTGACTTCAGTTTTTTTCAAAATCATCTACAAGTTTTCAGAAGTTCAAATCTGACTTTATATTTAAGATTTGACCTTCGATGACCTTTTCAGGTTCAAAAAAAGTTAAAAAGGTCCTTTTTCAACTTGCTTCAAATCAACTAATGTTTTTAAATCATCCACAAGTGTTCAGAAGTTCAAATCTGACTTTAGATTTGAGATTCGACCTTCTCAAGGTCAAAAAAGGTCAAAGGGTCTTTTTTCAACTGGCTTCTAAGTTTACCAAATTTTTTAATCAAAATCATCTAGAAGTTCTCAAAACTTCAAATCTGACTATAGGTTTGACCTTCAATGTTTTGGTTTATATCACAAGCCAATGAGGTGTGTATTAATGATTAACTTTCCTGTTATCTCAAAATCTGCTTAGAACCATTGGATTACTATGGGAAATTCCTCAAAGAGAAACTTGTTGGGATTAAAGAAGGGAAATTATTGGCAAACATGAAACCTATTTAAAACAGCATTAATATTATTTAAAAGTGATTGTTATAATTATTCCCAGCCCTCTGAAGTTCGAAAAATAACAATACCTGGGTTGAAAATGAGAAATATTTTTTAGGATCATATGGTGCAATCTTATAGTCAATAAAATGTTTTAAAGTATATTAATGTTTTTTAGATGAAAAACAAAAGCGAAATGCATGAAAAAGCTCCCCAGAATCATTCTACAAACACACACCCGGTGATCGTGAATATGGGACGGAGGGGGGAGCAGACAATTTCTGCTAGGAAATTCAACAAATCTGGAAGATTTATTTTTTCAAGAAAAAGTTTACTATTGAATTGCTAAATGGATAGGCGCACGGTATGGTAGAATATGTTAGGTTTTCTGGGATTTTTCTGAAACGATACGCATCTAAGGTATGAGATCTATTAAAAAAGGTGCAAGGCCATCAACAGGCACAAATCAACGTTTTTGCTATAAATCAAGCAACAATGGTCTGGACGACCTGTAATAAATACTTGTAAGTGATGTTATCATAACTAAATGTCATTGCTGAATTTATAAAATAAGTTTCCATATGTGAAATAAAAAATAATCTAAAATAATGAATTTGGGACGGAGGGGGGAGGGGACGGAGGGGGGGAGCAATATGTATATAAGACATGATTAGAGATGTTTCGCGACTTTAAGTCCTTTTACTCCAAATGTCCCCATTTTTCAGTCTCCAGGGGTATATCATCCAGTTTCTTACTAAGTTAATGAATTCATTTTTCAAATACAAGAATTCGTGTGAAGTTGTTCCACTTTATAGAATTATTACTCCCCCCCTCCATCCCCTCCCCCCCCCTCCGTCCCATTTTAATTATTTTCGATCATTTTTTATTTTACGTATGGAAACTTATTTTATAAATTCAGCAATGACATTAATTTAGTTATGATAACATCACTTACATGTATTTATTACAGGTCGTGTAGTCCATTGTTGCTTGATTTATAGCAAAAACGTTGATTTGTGCCTGTTGATGGCCTTGCGCCTTTTTTAATAGATCTCATACCTTAGATGCATATCGTTTCAGAAAAAATCCCAGAAAACCTAACATATTCTACCATACCGTGCGCCTATCCATTTAGCAATTTAATAGTAAACTTTTTCTTGAAAAAATAAATCTTCCAGATTTGTTGAATTTCCTAGCAGAAATTGCCTGCTCCCCCCCTCCGTCCCATATTCACGATCACCGGGTGTGAACAACTTGCGGTCCTTTTATGAAAATTAACAAGTTTATCCGGTAGCCGGTAGTTGCATTATCAAACACAGGCCCTGATGAGTGGATTAAGTGTGAGTAGGTCATAGATATGGGATTGTATTTTGCTCATTTGTTTCAACACTATCCTGGATCAATTATATAAGATGCTCATAAAGCAAATACATCAAAGCTCAACATTTAGTTAAGGATGTACATGTATAGTGAAAAGGCATTTATCCAGTCATGTGAATCTAGTGGTACAACATAAAATGCTACTTTATAACTTTATAAGTTATTGTACTCCATTAACATATTGCTTGACTCATTTCAAAGTCTGTCAAAGTATTTATCAGCATCAAAATCATATATATTCATTTGTTGCTCTCAGAGGTTAAAATCTTACTTTTAGCCTCGTTGTGTCAGGTTAATATTCTTTGCAATCATTTGACTTTTAAATAAACAATTCCAATGAAGAAAGGGCCTAAATTATTGAAGAATCGGCCTTAACCATCTGAGATGGGAATTAAAAAGAATATGGTCCCTTTGCCAACTTCCTGATTTAGCTAAATGAATTGTATGTATTATTTATTGGGTTCACTAATGCAACCAAAACATAAAGCAGTTTGCTTTGTTCACTTTATATCCAGTAAAACTATATAACCAAACAACTCTCTAATCTGAACTGCAAGCAATGTAGATTCTTTTCAGCCCCAGTTTAATTTATCTGCCATTGAATTCAATGTTAAAAAAACTTGAAATATGAACACCTGCCAATCTGAACACTTTTGGTGGTTCCAGTTGGTTGTGTTCATACAAGTTTTAGTGTACTTATATCCTGTTTGCAAATTAACAAAGTGACTGCAAGGTAAAATTATATCAAACATCTTTAGAAACCAGTGTTTGTGTGCAGTACCAAAGGGTTGGTTATATCCTCCAAGAACTATGTGGGTATGATATGAGGAAATTAAGGAAATTCCATTTTTCGTTTTCTGGCAAAAATTCAATGGAGCTAAAAGCCGGTATTGCACTGAAGATTCATTATGTGCTAAACTTGAAAGAAGATACTGACTATATGGATGTGCTATGTTGTATTTGCGCTATATATAACTATAAGCCTCCTACCTGAATTTTAGCTTCTGCCAACTGTAGGTACTAGCTAGCATAGATAGTGGGTTAACCTTGCAAATGAAGATAAGCTACATGCTTCATATAAATAAAGCACATATACTGTTTGGCCAGTATATTTGTTCATTTGAATATGAAATGAAATTCAATATGAAATATAACTTGATTTCTATCCTATTTTATTTGAAATAGAGGTATGGCATCACATAAACTCTACTTTCCTTATCTAGTCTTGCTTCAAGACAAGTGGATCCCTCCCTTTATCTACTTCAATATACCACACTGTGGGGAGATGTGTATTAGGGAGGGGGAGGGGGGCTCACAGAGGGGCTTGTAGCTTCTTCCCCTCATGTATTTTGATTGAAGGGTTCTGAAGTCAGCTATATCGAGATGAAAGGCTATGGTAGTTGTTTCTAACTGTGTAGGATAAAGATAACATTTTTCATCTCTATCGTGACAAGATGTTTGAGAAGTTAAACAGGATTTCCTGTAGAACCATAGATACTGGCAAAATTATTTTGTTGTAGGATTAGTAGCTCAATAAATATTCCTCAAGATGAGTCCCCAAAAAAATTTCGAAATTTTAAAATGACGATTTTGCAGCCATTTCTGAAAAATATGAGACAAATCATACCTCATTCGAAGTGTCTTGTTATTCTTTTACTTTTTCATCACTAATGAACGTTTTTCCAGAGATGTGACATCAGAATTACAATGATATTTGGACACACAAGAGCCCGGATCAATTGAAAAATATTTGCCGTATTAAAAGTCATTACTACGTCTAAAGCTTATTTACCAGAACCAAACAAGTAGAAATAGAAAGATGAAGATCTCAGCTATAAATTAAGTGCAAAATCTGTCACGGGGAAGCAGGTACCATTTTGTATAAGGAACGTTTTGAAAGGTGGTCTTTTTTGAAATTTTACAATTTGGTGTCTCATCTTCTGAATTTTTTTTTAGCCTATGAGATCCTACTACAAAACGCTCTGGCCAATATCCATATGTGTAGAACGATGTTCTCAATAACTAAGGCTGGACTATTTCAGTTTTTTTCCCAGCTGGTACAGAATTTAAAATTATTAGAATTTCAGTTTCAATGAATTTTGGTATTAACCAGCAACAACAAACAATGGGCATTTTAGGGTCCTTGTAAAGCAGATCTCACTACTGAGTTAATCCCTTCCTTTTAAAAATTGATGTAAGCTGACAAAATAGGATGGATTTTTACATATTGCAAAAACATAATTATTCATGCATATCATGTGTGTCATAATATATTGACCTGTTCCTCATGTCTTATTTTATTGCAGGGTACAGTGTCTGATAGTTGACCAATACATGTACATGTCACTAATACTATATAGATATGTCACTTATACACACATATTGTTGTTATTTGCTTTCAGGATCACCAGAGTTTTCCAGGAAACATCCTTTAGCCAGCTGGATGGCCAGTATGCTCATGTGCTTCGGGGGAGGGATCATCGGCAATTTACTTTTCGGCGAGTTTCCTTTAGCACCATTCAAAAGCCATGAAAATGTAATAATAGCTTCAGCAACTTGGTAAGATTCTATTTTTGCTTTTGTTGTTGAATTGTTATAGGACCTGATAAGAACAATAAGATCTCAATGTCAGCATTGATCACCATACTGAAATATGTAGTTTGTATGACGTGATCCAATGGCATCTGTAACAAATGGCAGGTGGTGACAATGGCGGGTGGTGACATTTTTTTTGTTTAATCTGCCATAAACTTCCATGTTCTTTAACCTGAACTGTGAACACTTTCCAATCTGAATAATTTTGGTCAGTCCCAGTGAGATTCAGACTAGACAAGTTTTACCTTCTCCATTATAAAATCATTTCTTACTGAAAAGTGTTAGAGAGAATGGGGGAGGGGGTTACAGCAGATTAATGGGTGTATCAAGCAACATATACATAATTCTGAACAATGTTTATGTTATATCATATTATGAAATATAACTACAATACTACATGTTCATAGTTAATCATATCAATATGTTGAGCAACCAGTTATATTATGGTCCAATGGACGTTATGTAATCAGTATATATACATTGTATATATGAATTAATGTAGAAATACAGTATGAAATAATCAGCTTGAATGCCAGTAATCAGCCCCAGATTTAAAGCTGGTTAAATGAAATCATCTGCCACTCAATGCAACAAGCTTATTTTGCTGTTAGTCCATTTTAACATTAAGGTACAGGTGAAAGGAGGGGAGAGATTAATGTATCTATAACAATACATGATAAGAAATGTTACTTGGCTTTATTTCTTATAACTCCAAACCTCCCCTATTTTTCATTTTTCAGAGATGAAACATCCAGTTTCTTACTGAATCCATTTTTCAGATGCACAAATTTGTGTAAATTGTTCCTCCTTAAAGACCTATTATTCCCTCCTCCATTCACCCTCCCCCTCCCTTCAATTATAATTTATTTTTATAATATATGAAACTTTACTTTTGGGATAATAACATCTAAGTATTTATTACACGTTGTGTAACTGTAGACCATTGTTTAATTTATAGGAAAAACGTCAACTTTTTCTCATTGATGGTGTTGCGCTTTTTATCACATCATCGGTGGGATATAGTCGTGATCGTGGTCGTGGTCGTGATCGTCCCGCTTTTTGTCATCGCCGTTTAAGGAAAACTGCTCATCAGATTTTCTCCAAATTCGCAGAGATGATAGAGCATATGAAGTACTAGAGCTGATTAACTTTTGGGTGGCCATCTTGTTTTCTGGCGGCCATTTTGAAGGTTTTTCGAAAAATCTTATCGCCATTTCAGGAAAATCGCTCATTGGATTTCCTTCAAATTGACACAAATGATAGAGGATATCAAGTACTAGAGCTGATTAACTTTTGGGCGGCCATCTTGTTTTCTGGCAGCCATTTTGAAGATTTTTCAAAAAATCTTGTCATCGCCATTTCAGAAAATCCGCTCATCGAATTTCCTTCAAATTTACACACATGATAGAGGATATCAAGTACTAGAGCTGATTAACTTTTGGGCGGCCATCTTGTTTTCTGGTGGCCATTTTGAAGGTTTTTCGAAAAATCTTGTCATCGCCATTTCAGGAAAACCACTCATCGGATTCCCTTCAAATTTACACAAATGATAGAGGATATCAAGTACTAGAGCTGATTAACCTTCTGCACTCTGACTTATTTCAGCAAATATATCACACGCATCTGACTTATTTTTCAAAAATGATATGCCTGGACTAAATAATTAATATCTCGATAACTACTGAATGAATCTGGATAAAATTTTCACAAAGGGAAGATACACTAGCGTGGCTCATGAGAAAAATGTTCTCATGAATTTTTTTCGTACATAAACACGACTGGGCATAAATATACCATGAATACTCCTCCGGAATCCGCCGTTTCGCCCCTCGGGAGATTCAACGTCTGGTCAGAATCCAAAACTGAATTTGCAGCGATCGAATGTTCATCTTTTCAGTTCAGAAAATATTCTAGTTTCTATTTTCGATGACCATTATCGGCTTCCAAGAGCCTAAAGAGCTCGAAATTGCAATCCATTTCCTCCACATTTTCGTTGTGATCGTATTTTGCCGTCATTTTGTACGATTTGTTCACTAAAAACGACTTAAACACTGTTTAAATTGTTGAATTAAGAAATATTTTTCGAAACATCGCCATTTCTAGGTCAACAGGAAGTCACCTACTAAGGACTGAATAAATCGGGCAATCTAATTGGATCATAAGAACGGCGGGAAAAAGTAAAGTTTTCAAAAGTTAGATTTGTGTCGTCCGGATCCGCCGGTGGATTCTGGCGGTAGTTTTGAATGGGCGGATGCGGTCGCCGGTGGTCTGCTAAAGGTTTGGGTGGCAATCTTGTTTTCTGGTGGCCATTTTGAAGATTTTTCGAAAAATCTTGTCATCGCCGTTTCAGGAAAACCACTCATCGGATTTCCTTCAAATGTACACACATGATAGAGGATATCAAATACTAGGGCTGATTAACTTTTGGGTGGCCATCTTGTTTTCTGGTGGCCATTTTGAAGGTTTTTCGAAAAAAATCTTGTCATCGCCATTTCAGGAAAACCGCTCATCGGATTTTCTTCAAATTTACACAAATGATAGAGGATATCAAGTACTAGAGCTGATCTTGTTAGCTCACATGGTGAGCTTTTGCAATCGCTCACTTGTCCGTCTGTCTGTCCGTCCGTCCGTCTCTCTGTTCGTCAACAATAGTGGCACGTTTTAAAACCTCTGTCGATAGGATTCCTGTTTTAAGTTATTTCTGTTCAACATCAATACAGAAAACTCCCCTATGACTCCTGGTTCAAAAGCTTGCTATTTTCAAAATGGCCGCCATTTTTGTCTCGCGAAATTCACTTTTGACCCATTTCCTAGCTTTACAAATAATTTCAGGTGTCCTACATTGTAAAAATCCATGTCAATGTTAAGATTAGATATATGAAATAATTTTGATACAAAAAATCAGCGAAAAATTATATCCATTTTTTTATTTTCAGCCATTTTAGTTAACATTGATTTGTCCATCTGATTCGCGAAATCCACTTTTCTGTCAACAACAGTGGCACGTTTTAAAACCTCTGTCGATAAGATTCCTGTTTTAAATTAATTTTGTTCAACATCAATACAAAAAACTCTCCTATGACTCTTGGTTCAAAGGCTCGCCTATTTTCAAAATGGTCACCATTCTTGTCTCGCGAAATTCACTTTTGACCTATTTCCTAGCTTCACAAATAATTTCAAGTGTCCTACATTGTAAAAATCCATGTCAATGTAAAGAGTAGATGTATGAAATAATTTTGTTACGAAAAATCAGCAAAAAATTATATCCATTTTTTTATTTTCAGCCATTTTAGTTAACATTGATTTGTCCATCTGTCTCGCAAAATCCACTTTTGGACCATTTGCCTTAAACCCTCTGTCGATAGGATTCCTGTTTTAAGTTAATTTTGTTCAACATCAATACAAAAAACTCCTATGACTCTTGGTTCAAAAGCTCGCCTATTTTCAAAATGGTCGCCATTCTTGTCTCGCGAAATTTACTTTTGGCCCATTTCCTAGCTTTACAAATAATTTCAGCCATTTCACTGTAAAGAGTACATGTAGTTGTATGAAGTAATTTTGTTACAAAAAATCGGCAAAATATTATATCCGTTTTTATTTTCAGCCATTTTAGTTAACATTGATTTGTCCATCTGTCTCTCAGTCAGTCCAAAATAGTGGCTAGTTTTAAAACCTCTGTCTGTCAACACTTCGCTCTTTTTAAATCCTCTGTAGATAGGATTCCTGATTTAAAATATTTTTGTTCAACATCAATAAAGAAAAAAACAAACCTGTGACTCCTGCTTCAAAATCTCGCCTATTTTCAAAATGGCCACCATTTTTGTCTCAGGAAATTCACTTTTGGCCCATTTCCTAGCTTTACAAATAAGTTCAGGTGTCCTGCATTGTAAAAAGCCATGTCTTTGTAAAGAGTAGTTGTATGAAATAATTTTGTCACAAAAAATCTGCAAAAAATTATATCCGTTTTTTTTATTATTTTCACTTTTGAGCAACACCATGTGAGCCCAGTAACCACGGTACTGATTTTTTTCTTGTTCTTGAAATTTGTAAACATAATAGAACAGTTTTCCTGGTTCATAGTGTCTGCCTATTTGATGGTGTGATCTCTTCTGTTTGAAAAAATCTTAGATGACCTTGCATAATGTACCAGACCATTTGCCTTTTCATTTAGCAATTCAACTGTAAACTTTCTCTTGAAAAAATAAATCTTCCAGATTTGTTGAATTTTCCTGCAGAAATCACCTGGTCTCCCATGACCAGGCGTAGACATACTGTAAAAAATATCTTAGAGGATTTGGTTTGTGAAATTTTGTCTACAGTAAAACCTACATCTGAATACATGGCTCATTCAAACACCTCCCAATATGAAAACAGTTTTTAGTCCAATTTTTCCCCATTGATTTCCATGTTACTATTACTTTATAATATTTCCTATATACCGTATGTTGTATATACTATACATGTACTAAATGGAATATGTATTTCTACTTTCCAGGTATTTAATCAACTATTCCCCATTTGACGTAGTGTACAAGCTAGCAACAATGCTCCCAATCAGGATAACACTGTGGGTCATGAAGGAGATTGAGAGAGGGAAAAAAGTATATGACGGAGTAGCATATGTCGCCAAGTTATATCCAGATGCGTACCTCCTCATGGCATTTATGGGAACAATAAAAGGTAAACTACAATTATTGAGAATTATTTTGAATCATAATAATAATATTAGAGGTTAAAGATTATAAGTACCATGTTTTTAGATTAAGAATAACTTATAGTATTTAGTGGAATTATCGTTTAACGAGTGCTTGGAACATTTGGCATTCGAATCTTGCTTGAAAAGGATTCCTCTCAAAACTTGATGATTTGTAACTTTAAGAGGCTAGACATCTACTCTAGTGGCCCTTGAAATGGTCATATTGCTTTAAATGATTACTTACTATGTGCTAATTTGGGTTTTATGTGGAGTTTTGAGCCTAAAGGTAACTGATATGTTTGAGCATGACCACCAAGGTAATGTTTTTCCTTCATAACATTTGTTTGGCTCACTAGTTCCTTTACTACAGTATTAGAGGATAATTAGAGGTAGTAAGCTGTTTACCTAGATTATTTGACAAGCATTGTGTTTTGTGAAGTTTATATTCACTCCGTTTGGAATTGATCACAAAACTTTTGATGTTTTGACGTGAATTATTGAATATTTGGTTCTGTTTTGTTGAGTTCAATGACTTAAAGAAGGCAGAATGGAATCAGTAATTAATAATCTTAATGTCTTACAAAAAGTCCCCTCTCTCCTTTACTTCTACTTTAAGAAGTGGCTAGGACCATCCCAGGGTCACCAGATTTCATTAAAGTAGTTTTATGTTGGGTATTTCCATTTGCAAATCAAGAAGGCTCTTGGGAATTCTTGTCAGGCCTATATATAACTTTTATTGACATATTGTATCATTACATGATTACATTAGTCACAACTACTCACTAAGACTAACTAAAACTACTTCTACATTTACAAAGTAATGTACAAAAATTCCATATGCATATTGAAAGCATACAAGAGAGGCAGAATATTTTTAAGTGTGATGTACAAAATATGCTGACTATTCTAAATTGTTAAATGAGTGATATATAAATTTACCAAGATGTCGTTGTATGATGGTATTATCACTTGAAATTATATTTGTAAATAAATTATCACTATTTAAATCAAATTTTGGTAATGTTTCAGAAATTTTGCTGAAAAATATTTGCCTGTGTTGAGAATGCTTTGTACAATTTATGATAAAGTGAAATTCATCTTCTACACATTTACATATATTACATAATCTTTCATTTACAGGTTTGGATTTTGGCTTTGTGTGTCTTCCTGTTTCTATTTTTAACTGATGTGAACTCAACCTAAATCTACTTATTGCTAATCTATATTTTTTATTGTCTAACTTTGTATATGGTTCTAATGCAAAATCTTTCTTAAACAGCTTATATGTTCTTAATTTGGGATATATCAAAATGTCCTTCTTCCAATTTTCTACAAACATATTCTTTAATTTCTTGTCAACCAAATTTACTAAGTGGTCTGTAATTTGACTTTGGTCATCCCAATACTCTGTTAGTTCACATTTATGAAGAATATCATAAACCTTTCCAGACCAAGATTTAAACCCTAATTCATGTTTTTCTTGTCCATATAAGTAAGCCTGGTTTAAAATATTAGAATTTGGTAGTTTAATCAGTCTTAACCAGTATTTCACAATTGATAATTCAATTCTGATAGATAAAGGAAATTTACCAAGGTCACCGTACACTGCGGGATTAGCTGTTTGAGTTTTGACACCTAAAATAGATTTTAAAAAGGACAAATGTATTGTTTCAATCGCTTTCATCTGCTTCTTGTCATACCAAATTTCACAGCCATAACATAGTATTGGACTGACTAATGAATCAAAAAGGTGAAGAGCAACATCAGGTGGCACGTCATTGAATTTCTTATACTGCTGTTTGATTTTGAATATTGCCTTTCGTGATTGTTCTTTGAGATAACTTGTGTTGATATCAAATTTATTATTATCAGTAAGAATTACTCCTAGATATTTATATTTATTTACACGTTCAATTTCTTGATCATTAAAAGTGAAAGGGGCAGAAACTTTAGAGTTAAAAATGAGTACCTTTGTTTTTAAGGTATTAACTATAAGTCTATTAATTTTACAGAAAGAGAAAAGTGAATCTAATAATAACTGAAGTCCATCATGTGATTCGGAAATGAGTACTAGATCATCTGCCCATAGAAGATGGTTGAACCTGGCATCTTTTACGATAACGCCACATCTTAGTGGTAATACTTCATTTAAGTCATCCATGAAGTGATTGAACAAAAATGTACTTAAAACACTTCCTTGCAAAACTCCTATTTCAGTGTCAAAAGTTTGGGTGATTCCGTTTACTAATTTAAGGCATGACTTAGATTTAGAGTACATATTCTCTATAATCCTGTACATTTTAGTATGTGGGTGAATTCCAGCTTTACACAGCTTGTATAACAATACTGAGCGATCTATATAATCAAAAGCCTTCTTAAAATCAATCATACATGTATATAATGGTTTCTTATGCTGATTGAATTTGTTAATTAATGTTTGCAAAATAAAAATATTATCAGTTGTACGTCTCTTTTCTTTGTAAGCACCCTGAAGTGGGTCTGGTGAATTTTGTACTCCAGCATTAAAGACAAGACGATTTTGAATAACGGAGTCAAATAAATTCCCTATACAGGCCAGTACATTAATGCCTCTATAATTATCAGCTTGAAAACGGCTGCCTTGTTTATAAAGTGCACTGAGCATACCAATACTCCAGTCACTTGGATATTCTCCCTTTTCGAAAATAGCATTAAAAAGTGCTGTAAAATCAGAAACAAGGGTTTCACAATTTTTTAAAATATTGGATGGAATACCATCAATACCCGCTGATTTGTTTGCATTTACTCTTTTCAAAGCACATTGAACTTCGGCTTGAGTAATTCTCATGTTGATGGTATCATTGCAAAGTTGTAATTTTTTATCTTCAGGATTAATTTGATATTTTGTAACAAAATGATTCATTTCCTCAAGTGCATTATCATCAAAATAATCTATGTTTGGAGGTTTAGATAGACTTTTGAAAAAGTTGAATAGATCTTTAGATGGGACTGGCATCTCTTTAATTTTATTTCCTGGCATTGCATTTATCAGTTTCCAGAAATCTGTAGAATATCTGCATTTATTCTGAATTAAACTATTGAGCATTCCTGCTTAGCAGGCCTAAATAGTGTCAAAATCCCACAAAATTCAATGATATTTGATTATTTTATTCTGCATATTTATCACACTGTCTAAGTATTAGCCGTCTCACAGAGGGGTGGGAATGTGGGGTATGTTTGGGGGTCACAAGAGTCGATACGAGACAATGTATACTGTCACGCAGGTTTACTGTTATCATGTGCAACTACTCAAAAAATTTAAACCACTCTGCCTTCCTAAATGGGCTTGCTGTTTTTGTCTGTTTATGTATATAAACTTACCTATAGTCTATTCAATCAGACAGCGAGACATCAGAACTCCTCAGCTTTACGAAAATCATTTCAGTTCCACAAAGTATGTTTTATTAGTAGCTTGTGTTGATGCATGCATTGAATCCTGGGTAATTTCAGCCGGGGGATCCAATCTGATGATTCCGTTCCAGCGGGCAGTGAGGGGCATATGGTTGCCTCAACTGAACGAATTTCTAAGACCTTCATAGTAAGTATGGGCCGGATTAGGCCTCAACTAACATTGGGTGCGGCTCTAACATGAGGCGAGGCTCTATCATGGGGCTAGACTAATACAAGGAGGCTCATTTGTTTTTAACAAATTGAGAATTCCTCCCATAACCTGCTTGAAAACTGAACACTGTAAAGCATTAGTAATGCACTCACATATTTTTGCAATTTATCTAAGAATTACTTTACAATGTTGAAATGCATTCTTATATATTGTCATTGTAAACCAATACGTGCTTATATCAAAACGCACTAATAAGAAAGAATGCTATCTTGAAATGGATTCCTTTGAAGCAGAAATAAATGTGAGCATTAACAATGTTTTACAATATTCAACAACTATCAAGCTAACACAGACATTGCTGAGATAAAATGCAGCTTAGATGCACATGTATTTATAAATAAGTTCTGGTGCATTTTTTCTAAGGTAATGTGTTCTCTTGATTCCCTGCAGTAGTTAGGCACAGATTGAGCAGGTGGTAGAGTCTAGTGTAATAAGCTTGCAAACCCTTGCAATATACAGTAAAACCCGTCTCATCTGAACACCACTTGGACAAGCCAAAAGTGTTCAGATTAGCAGGTGTTCACATTTGAAGATTGCTTTAACATGGAAGACTATTGGAGGTTAAAATTGAGATCTGAAGAGTGTTCACATTCAGAGGTGTTCGTATTAGGGAGGTGTTTTGAGGCATGTATTTCCTGAAATACATTGTACATTTCTGTAGTACATGCATAAACCATATGTTCTTGAGATTATCATGAGTTGTGTTTCTTATTGCAAGGGTGTTGGTGTGGGTTGAGATTATTAATACATTTGCTTGAATCTGTGGTTAGCTCAGTGTGTTTGTTAGAGTTGTCAACATAGGACATCATAAAAATGCAGAAGATCAGATGGCAGAAAGAAAAAATGGATTATCCTGCAACGTGTCCAGTTAGATTTTTTAGGTTTAGATATAAACTTCAAACTGCTTCTATGTGGCAGAGTGATTGAGTAATTTCTATGATGTTCTATGACTTTACATTATGTTAATTCGATGTGCATAATCTCAGCAATTTTGTGCTATATTATTATTTGCAGCGTGCGGTTATTATTACATTCAACCATTTGAGCGTCTTTTGCGAGGGCTGTGGATGCCTAGCACAAATGTGTTATTACATCCACCATTGTGAGTATGGATGGGAGGGGTGTGTGCAACCTACACATGCACTTTGTAGTCTTTCTTCCCAAGCTGTTCTCTCCCATTGTATTGTATGGTGTTTTTGTACACATTATTAAGGCTCATATCACAAATATAAATTTCATGATATAAGAAATTATATATTTTAATTTAAATATATATCCATGCTATAAGAAATTGTATCAAGTTTTCCGATATTACAAATATAAATTCCATAATATTAGAAATTCTACTCAGTACCATATCTATATTACATGATTTAAGAATTTTTATCCAGTTTCCCCATATCATGAATATAAATTCCAGTATATAAGAAATTGAATCCAGTTTCCCAATAACATGAATATAAATTCCATGGTATAAGAAATTTTATCCAGTCGCCCGATATCATGAATATATATTATGACATAAGAAATGAAGTAGATTTAATTATCACAATGTATTTGTATTTGAGATATGGCCCTTGTATAGTCATATTTGGGTTTTTAAGAATTAAAGTGTATCCATTGTATGTACTGTTTGTGCCCCTTTACTAGATTCCTTTCTAGGCTCTGTTTTTAACATTTAAAAGGTGTAATTACGAATGATCTTAGAAAATATTAAGACTTAAATTTCTCTTATTATTGGTGAACTGTTTGAAAAGGGAGGGGGGTATTATACATGCACGGTGTCCAACCCAAACGCTCTTACATGCACTACGGAGCGTTTCATTCACGCGGAAACGCTGTGGAGCTAATTAAAATGGCGGCTAATGAAGATCCCACTATGACCGTAAGTATTGTTTCACTTGTTTCTCTCAAATATCACGTTATGGTCACATATTATGTACCATTGGATGAACAATACCCTAAGCAAAGATCTTATTTATTCAACTTCTGGTGGTAAACTCGTTTTCCTTGAAACACTCTGTCGATTTTGAACACAATTTTAGAAACGCTCTTACCATTTTGCTTTGATATTATTTTTAGATTACTAGAGAAGAGTTTGGAATCGAATCTATCTCTCAAAAACGTGTTGTTCTTGTAAGACAAAGCGTTTCTTTGTTTATATTAGTTTCAGTAATGAAACGCTCCGTCGTGCATGTAAGAGCGTTTGGGTTGGACATTGTGACATGGATCTTACAATATGATTTTAGCTATCTAGGTACAGATTTCAGTGCACTATTTATGCTGTAGTTAGTGTTTGTAATTTGTGTGTCTCTTGTCCCTTTGCTAGGTTATCAAATTTATTTGTTTTTTTCACATAATTTAGACTACCTTATTGTTAAGATGACACTTCTATACAGACATAATTTTGGAAAATTCTCTACCTCCGTACCTGACCATATTACTTTTAATGGTTAAGTATGTATAGCAGGGATGCATTATATGTAGAGTCTTTGTTTGAAGTAGAATGTGCCACTATTTAATGAAGAATAAGAAAAATAAGAAATTGTTCAAATTATATCCACAGTTGTATGTTGTCCATATTTGATCTTAACCCTGAGGTGATACAAAGAAGTATAAAAAATTAGAAAATCCATTCCCTTGTTAGTATAAATCTACTTATTATCCCATCGAACGAAGTTCGGAGGGATATAGGGAACGCCTCCGTCCGTCCGTCCGTACGTACGTACGTCCGTACGTCCGTCCGGGCAATAACTCAAATACCGTTGGCCCGATTTTATTCATATTTTGTACACATATACCCTATGGGGGTAGAAGTTCTGCTCGAAAGCCGATTTTCAAAATGGCCGCTCATTTAAAAATGGCGGCCATTTTAGTGTCGATTTTACAGTAATTTAGGTGCAATATGTAAAACTGTAATAGCAATATGTTTTAAATGTAAAAAAAAATATATAGGACATTAATAAAGCTAGAAATGTAGATATTAAAAAAGCACATGGCAGCCATCTTGAAAAATGGCGGCCTTTACTCGTTATTTTACGATTTTTGCTATAACTCGAAAAGTAGTGGAGCGATTTTGTTCATATTTGGTATGTGAATACTATAAGCATGGCACACTGTCTAATGACACTTTTGGTAGAAGGCGGCCATTTTGAAAAATGGCTGACATTTTGAAAAATGGCCGCCATTTTAACTTATTTTACTAAAACTCGAAAAGTAGTGGAGCGATTTTGTTCATATTTGGTACGTGAATACGTATAAGAATGGCACACTGTCTAATGACACTTTTGGTAGAGGGCGGTCATTTTTCAAAATGGCCGCCATTTTAACGTATTTTACTATAACTCGAAAAGTAGTGGAGCGATTTTGTTCATATTTGGTATGTGAATACTGTAAGAATGGCACACTGTCTAATGACACTTTTGGTAGAAGGCGGCCATTTTGAAAAATGGCGGACATTTTAAAAAATGGCTGCCATTTTAACGTATTTTACTATAACTCGAAAAGTAGTGGAGCGATTTTGTTCATATTTGGTATGTGAATACTATAAGCATGGCACACTGTCTAATAGACTTTTGGTAGAAGGCGGCCATTTTTCAAAATGGCCACCATTTTAACGTATTTTACTATAACCCGAAAAGTAGTAGAGCGATTTTGTTCATATTTGGTATGTGAATATTATAAGCATGGCACACTGTCTAATGACACTTTTGGTAGAAGGTGCCCCTTTTGAAAAATGTTCGATGGGATTCGCTACGCTTTGGCGTTGCCGTTGTTCTGGTTAAACTAGTAGCTTATGATTGATATTCAAGTTCTGTAGTTTAGTAGCCTTTTACCATGTATAGTTACAGAATCTTGTTATTTAGGATACCTTTATTCTGCATTGAGACCCTTTATTACACCCCCCCCCCTCCCATTCCCCTTTATTTCTAACTATCTCTGCATATGTAAGCATAATTGTTCAAATGGAAAAATCATGATACTAACATTAGAGAAAAGAACATAGAAAAGTACAATCTGAAATGATAAGCAGTGACCTACCTCTACCCAGCATTGGAACAAGTTGGTACTCTGTTAGTCAAATGGATTAGCTTTATTATGTCAACGTGGTTAGCAATTGTATGATTGGTCAAAGTTGGGTGACATGAAAGATCACACGCTTCATGTTTATGGAATATCACTTGTGAAAGATGCTCAGATATTTACTTCATTAGAATTAAATATTTGTTTCACTGAAACAGGTGAAATGAGGGTTGAGGACCTGGGAGGATCAATGATAAGGAAACATCGCAAAATACCAATCGGTGACCCAATGCAAAAATAGAATTCTTACTTCATCATGTCAACATTTGGGGGATTATCAAAAAATGAAATGAGTTTTCATTCATATGCAGATTCTTTATTTGTACATGTAAAATACAGGGTGTCCCAAACTTAACCCTCTCAATTTATGTATATTATATACTGCATTATAAAATCGATGATACTACAGAAAAAAAAAATTATGCCATGGCATAATTTGAAAAAAATATTGTCAGTAAAATCCTATTAATTAAAATTCCTGCTTGTTTTGTTGTTTTCCTTTTTTAGGTCCTATGCTTAGCTGCTGCATTGTGCATTGGTGTGATAATGATGTATTGTTCATAGAAAAATACATTTTTTCTTATGACCCAGCATATTTAACCCCTTGAATACCAGAACATTTTTACCAGTATTACTTGTTTAATGTACAAGATGTGATTTTCAATTTGGTTAAAGTTTAGTTACATACAAATTTGTGCAAATTGGACAGATATTGTCAAAGTCAGAGCCATTTTGGTAAAGAATTCTGGGTATTCAAGAGGCTAATGTTTTCATGTTAATTAAAGGGTTACCCAAAAAGCAGAACCAATAATATTTATTCAAAGGTTTGTGGGTTCTGAATTTTGGATCGCCCTGTATATGCACTAGTAATAGTATAATTTCTTAGTGTTTGATTTATTTATGAGAAAAACCTGCCTTCAAATGTAACTCATTCTTGATTGGAGAGCAGTTGTTATGTCTTAAGAGAAACGCAACAGCTATTTCCACTCAGGAATGAAAGATATTTTACATGTTGACATCTACTGCTAGAACCATGTTCAGTGAAATCTGTCTGCCAAAAGTGTTCTGATAAGTAGGTTTTCACATTTCAAGGTTTTATAAACTTGTTAGTCAATGCAAGAAAATAAATTTGTGGGACCAAGAAAGTGTTCACATTGAGAGGTGTTAAGATTAGAGAGGCGTTTGACTGTACAGGTTTCCATGTAATGGTTCATAGATGCAGTATCTTACATAAATGTATTAAATGATATGTGTATTACACTGTCGTTATTAGATGTCTACAACTACTGTTAAACTATTAATTAAGAAATGATATTTTTGAATGTTTTGGAATGAATGTCCTAAAAATTGAATATAAAAGTAAATAATATAAGAGTAACATTTTGTTTAGTTTTGATCATGTTGAATATGAGAAGTATAATATAGTGACCTGTTACTATGCATTGAAAGTACTGTTAACCATCAGATGAATTGTTGTTTGGGCCATATTTTAAGTACATCATACTGTTGGGGCTGTTGGGAATCGAGAGATCACTTTTAGGGGGGCAATAATGCTAATAGCCTTAGCCCTTCACAATTTATGTAATAAATGTTTACAGTTTATTATTATGTACTATTACAAAAAAACAATAAACCTAAAACTATAAATACAAAGTTTAAAACACTAGATTATACAGGAAGGTAAAATTAAAATATGGCCCAAGTCAAGTCAGTAAAGACTTATTGCAACTCAAATATTTACTTATTTCTTTGTTTTACTTACAGTGTGATCAAAGCCTCTCTAGGTGGTGCTATCATCTTTATCCTGGAGAGAACACAGATCCTTGTTGCGCCCCATGCTGTCATCTACTTCGGTGTCGTCATCTTCTTCATCTACTTCCGATTGTCAGCCATCTTGCTCGGAATAAGCGATCCATTCGTACCATTTGAGAACTTGTTCTCAGCGATATTTTTCGGTGGAATGTGGGATGCGTTGAAGAAGGCAGTCGAGAAAGAGAAGCGAACTGAGAATGGAGCGACACCTGGTGAGATAAAAAGCAAGGAAGAGAAGAAACGGGACTAAACACAAATAAGACTCGAGCAGAAGCAATTGTAATGGAGAAACGAATCCTCAGTTAGTTGTCCCTGCTGATTTATCTATTCTCCAAGGGAACTTTCGAACATGCAAGAAACTGAATCAGGTAGAGATAAGTGGAGAACCTGGTAGGGACGGCAACGTTGGCAGTTTATGTGCAGTGTACCAACCTATCAACCAATCATGACATCAATCATAATTCATTAGAGAATTTCAATCAAACACAAATTTTATTTTTAATTTTGGCCGCAAATTTTTAAAATCAACACATGGTTAAATTATTCTGAATTGATAAATACAATTTTTAGATATATATTTCCATAAAGGTCACATATCAATTATCAATTATATGCCATATTCACCGTTTACATGTACAGTAGGTGTAACTTACATGTTTAACAATCTCACAAAACTAACAAGCAATATACATACCTATAAATCTAGTCTTCATAAGGACCAGATGATAGATATAGTGTTTTTAAACTGAGATTAATATTTTAATCTTATATTATTATACCATTTTTACATCTTATTCAGTCATTCATACCAAGTTATTTATTCATTTATACATGGAAAAAGTAGAAACTAGACAATCCATTAAGAATTGGAAATGAAAGAACATGCAAAGTTAGAAAAGGTATTTTGAGGAAAAGAGAAAATGTAAAAATAAGCTCATTCATGTGGAGAAATCATGTTGTTTATAGTCTGAAACATTTGTTTGACTATGAAATGTTTATATTTTGTAATATATAGACAGAACTTTATGCTTTAAAATGGATTTTTACTGGAATAAACTTTCCATTGAGAAATGATTGTATTGTAAAATATCATTTTAAAGCAATAGAGCCCTGTTTGTATAATTATGGTTTGTAACAAGGAGATCTGATAATATTTACTTTTTAAGGTATGGGCTGAAACTTGACTTGGGGCCTATTCTTCGGAAATGTCAACGTTTTGTTTCATATATTTTCGAGGAATAGACTCATATTGTACATCGGTATACATGGTGGATCCTCTTGCATACAGAGTGGGCCAAAAATGTTATCCTTATATTCAGATTCAATCAGAATGAGTAACATTTTTTGGCCAACCTATATCTTGTCTGTAATTTTCTGTATTGATGTATAGGATTGGTATATATCAAATCAGAATTGTCTCTAAAATATGTATTCAACAATAAGACTTAAGAAGAAGCATTGCATTGTGCAGGAACAAATGCATCCACCTTATACCACATATATACAGGGGCGTAGCCAGCTTTCAGTCAGGGGGGGTGCGATCGCCGAAAATTTTTCAGTTTTCGGTCAGGGGGGTGCGATTTTGCCATAAGCAACACAAAAAATTAAGATTTCTTTTTAATTTTACAAAAATTGATGCAACTTCCTTCAAAATTGAGCTAGAAGCTTCAAATAAAAAGCATTTTAAAGCTCTTTTCTACCTCTATCCAATGGTCATATTTTCAAAGGTTATGGGGGGGGTGCGATCGCACCCATCGCACCCCCCCTGGCTACGCCCATGTATATATATATATATATGATTTGTATCAGTATTTATTGAAAGACCCTTATTGATGTACAGTATAACCTGTATAAGTGGAACACCAGTGGTACCTCTATATAGTTGACAGTTCCATTTTGACAGTTTTTATTGTACAAAAATGTTGGAAGATACAGGAATTTCGATATATGTGTTGAAGTAACTCGTGACCTGTTTTGGACTTTGTCTCCTATTGTTTTGATGTGTAGTGTATAGATTAGTTTTTGCTTTGTATATTGCCAGATTAAATCTGAACATCCTGTAGATTTTACCTCCGAGTCAGTGGCCATGGTGGTCATGTATGTTTCCATGATTTGAAAGAACTCACCAATTTTCTGGCTTTGTACACTATTCAGGGAGTCATTAACAGAATCTTCATTGAGAATTCCTTAATCGATGTCATAACTATGGATATAATAATGACGTCATAGCTAGAGAACAATGGGCTTTAGGAATTCTCAACTTTACAAAGTTGCTGTTTATGACCCCTAGTCTATTAAGTGCATACATACCTTCCTTTTAGTACATAAGTACCTGTATGTTTCATGCTGATTCTTCTTTTTTCCACTCTATTTTGCATTTCCAAACATGACCACCAGAACACTTGCTTAAGTTCTCATGTAGAAACACAGTATGTTACATTGGAGAAAGTTATTAGAGAGACCAGCTCAAGACTGCCAGAATTTTGTACAATTGTCTCTTGTACAGTTATGTTTAACCTTGGTGAAAAACTGTATTTGTTAAGAAAAAATGTATCTGTGATATACAATGATTTTTTCTAGGGCCTCAGTTTTTCGTGAGGATTATTTTCTGACATGCAGCACTGGATTTCAATGCATTGAGATAATTTTGTAAATATTTGCGATTAAGAATTGTAGTTCGCTTTATATTGACGCCACCATTTTGTATTGTCCATACCTTGCCTTGAAATCCTTTCGCATGTTAGAGATATGTAAAAGCTTTTGTATAAGTTATAGATATGCATCCAATGATAAGCTAAGGTATACCATGTACTGCTTTCCTATCATTCATGGATTTTACTCATTGGCTAGTTCTCTCTTTTGTATGATATTCCTAAAAATGTAACTTTAACAAAAATTGCAGAACACCATTTCAACCAAAGATGAGCTTTAATCTAGTTTCACATTCAATATGTAGAGCATTTAGGCTAATTTAAATTCATCATTTCTTGCCATTTTATTCATCTATGCAACACTTAAATTATTCAACAATTCTATTCTTTTGTTTCATTTACAAAATTCTCAAAAATTTATTACATTACTTAGAAACGTACAGAAATTTAGGGTCCATATTTCCAATCAATATCTCCACTCCGAGTGAAATAATGTTTTTATAAAAAATGGTTTATTGACAGGGTGCATCATAAATATTTAATTTAGTAGTTGACAAAATAAAATTATTATATTTGAACCAAAACAAAGGTGATAGATATAACTTTTAAATAAAGATGGCAGTGCTGTAAATAAATGAGAATACAATAAAATTCTACCACTGCTGCCACCTTTATATCAGCAAATAACAATCCTAGATTGAGCCATTACTTCTGAATAAAACCCTGTTGTTGAGAAGATATAAAGAAGGCTAACATGGAATGTGTTGTAAATTAACATGTAGAGGGATTGTTGGTTATTCTAATCCATCTTGATGTCTTTTACAACTTATGTTTTAAAATACAACAAGACTTTGTAAAAAAAATCTAAAAAGCTGTTTTTGTTTTCTATTTAACTGGGTACATGCACAGATTTTGTAGTCTTCTGATTATTTGTAATTAAATTGAGGATTTCTGCTTGCAGCCAATTAAACTCTTCTTTAAAACTGAACAATGAAAGATATTTGGGACATTATTCAGAGCTGATCAAAAGCAAGATTGCCACAACATAATTGTTATTTAGTCCATATTCAACATTTTTTCCAAGTTCACGGTTTGGAGAACAGTCTACTGGGCTAATAATCTTTTCATGAAAAATATAGAAATAACACCCAAATTCAATCATGAATATTCAAAAGAGGACATTTAAATCTACAATACTAGTATGTGAAAAAATATCAAAATTGTCCCAAGCCGGCGTATTATAAAAAGTGATTGCCATTGGCAGTTGCAGCTGTGAATTGCGAACCTCAACATTATTGCAGTGTATCATATATCGCAACCTGTGGCCGTACATAAACATTTCAACATTTATTTTGAGAAATTCAGGTTTGGGTAAATGAGTAAAGCAAAAAATACCAGTACAGTAAGTTTTTTTCATTATGATAACTTTTGGAAAAAATTGATTCAAGAATATTTATATTTCAATTCTAATGATTTACATAATATTTTTCAACATGGTTGAAACTTCAGCCAAGTAGAATGGTTTTCCAGAGTTTTCATTGAGTGTCCCATCTGCAAAGGATTGAAGAAATGGAAATGGAACACCCTGAGATCCTCAGAAAATGAAGTGTTCTTATTTCAATGTTTTGCACTTGTGTGTTTCTGAATATTGAAGAATTGTGAACACTGTGTTGACTACATAACTTTAAAGTGTGCGCCCGACCTGGCTACGTATATAACAGAGTTTATACTGGCGGATTAGACTAGTTCATTTTTTATATGTGTGTGAAAGCTTTCTCTTATTTGCGTTTTTTCGTTGAGTACGGTATATAACCGGGATAAAACAATGATTATCGTTGACTGCGCACACACAAAACATTTACGTCGAGTGAACAGTGTTATTAAAAACAACAATCTTTAGAATACAAAGCCCAGTAGTGTGATAATAATCTGTACACTACCACTGCTGCATGTACATATTAGGGCTCATAAAGAGTGGATAGGGAGGTTGTGTTTGTCACTTTTAAATTTTACATTTCAAAATTGCCATTTTACATGTCATAATTTCTTGGTTTCATTCGTTTAGCCGATCAAAACATTGTAAAACAATAAATCGCCTGTTACGTATAATCAATTTTGTTCAGTTTTGATTAGTTGTCATAATGAAGTTACGTTCATCTGAATCCATGTTTCAAAACAAAAATCATATTTTCTTCACTTCAAAATACTTTAGTGAGATGAATGCTCGGAATTGTCGTTTGCAATAACTTATTGTCGTATTCGTTCTTTTATCTACTCGATAGAAGCATTTAGTCATACATTTGATGCCAGGTCACCTTCTCGCGTACCTCTTGGGGAGCCCCACATTTGTGTCTGTACTCATGGAAGTAAATTCCCTGGTGTAGCCGAGAGCCACAAACTTTCAACAGGTTCCAAATGGCCAATTTCTCTCATATATACTCATATTTTATTAATTATCACCTACAAAGTATTGCTAATAACTATATGTAATTTCAATAAGGAAACTTATCTGGCTACATGTAAATTCAATATCAACACTAGATGTTCGCTCAACACGTCCTGGCTTACCTTGTGATGACAAACCCTGGGTTTTCGCTATTTATAGTTTATCAACACCTGGACGCATGCGCATTTTATAGTTTATCAGGCACTTTAAGGCATTGCATATAATATATAACACATACAAGTCATGTTAATCTAAAATCTTCATTTTTATTTCATTTTATAA